AATTGTGTGGTCCTGCCTGCCCTTGCCTGCTCAGGGACAGTGATACCCATAGTCTCTAACCTTCCCCTCCCAAATCAGGTGCTCACTCACAGAGATGCACACAACTCTAGCACCATGGAAACCACCATCCAAAATAGATTTTATGATCAACCTCGATTCTTACAATAACCCAGTGACAAAGCTTCTATAATGGATCTCCCCCTCTTTAATGTGACAGACTTCCAAAAACAAACAAAAAAAAAAGGTTTCAAAGACCTGGAGCAAAGCTTTCACAGAAAGAGGAGCTCTCCAATAACAGAAAGCATAGGCAAGCTATGATTCACATGTTCCAATACTACTCAAACGCACAAGTCCTACAATGCCTGCAAATAAATCCTGCACTGAATATGAAGCAACAAGGAGGGGTGTTTAAATGGCAATTGGGTTGGGACTTATGCACACTGCTTGATAATATTTTTGCCTACAAAATCAGTCACTTCACTTGACAATAATTAACTTTTAGATTCTTTGGCCACAATGAGGTGCTATAAAATTGCAGGTCCTTTGGAGGGAGTATTTGTGCCAGCTTTGATGAACAATGTGTTTTGGATTCTGTTGACAGTAAATACCATGGTCTTGAGATGGGAATAGCTAGACTATTTGGGTTTAGAAAAAGAATTCCAAATCAAATTTATCTTGCTCAATATACAAGGGGCTGCAAATGGTATTATATGATTGGATTGTCCACCGTTGAGATTCAGAGGCCAGCCTTTGATTGTCAGGACTAAGCAATGCTCTCTTGCTGAGAAATCTCCTAAATACCAATCCTTAATTTTACAACAGAGTGGAACAATGATGGTGCAACATCCTCGCTGACCTATCTACTTACTGTGGATGGGGCCAGTGTGCAGGAGCCTGTCTTAGCTTTATTTTAGCATTGAGAACCTAATGGGAGCCAAATGTGGGCACGGCTGTGATGCGAGCTGGAAAATTAGTGAAATTCATCAATCTGAGCTCTTGGTAACAACAGTGGAAGGTAATTGCTCTGGCAGATAGATCTTACTCAATACAACTGGAGCAGTGCCAGATCCAATAAAATTTGTTTAGCAGACAGAGGCACTTCATCTTTACCATGGGAAGTCCAGAACCACGATGGTAGCTCACGGCCCCTTAAATTTGCAGCAAATCTCGAGATATTTGTGACAAAACCTGCAGTGATTTTTTTTCCATTGTGGGGAAAGGTACTGAAAGATTTGTCTTGTCCCTTCTTCAACCTTACTAACATCTGGCCAAGAAAGATTTATAATAATACTTATATTTGATATTTTATATCAAAAGGATATGTCGAAATGGTTCACAGAAGTCACCATAAATTGCTAAGATTGTGCATTTCGTAGGCGATCGTTGCAGCTAATTCATATAGAATTATGTCCCACAATCAGCAGGTTGCCAGAAAGGGTGGTTGAGGCTATTATAGTGGGACTTTTTAAAAAAAAAACTTTATGGGATGGTGGGGATTTTGGAAGGATGAGAGCAAATGGGCCGAAGAGCCTTCTTCATCCGAATCGATCTTCTGGGTATCCTGCAATATCATTTAATCATTAACAGAAAACAAGCTGCATCACAGAACCCAGCCTCGTCTCTTTGTACCTTTGATCTCTTTTTGGCTTGGTCCACTTACAGCCCCCCCGCCCAGTTCCACCTGTGGGGTGGATGTTTGAAAAAGTTGGAATTGCTTCCTTGATTGCCATATCTGTTGAGCTGCAACCTCGTACAATCAGATCAGCTTGTTTCCAGAGATTGTAAACTCTCGACTTCTATCGATAGCTGTGAAGTGTATAATTGAGTTAATTCAGAAACCGGGCACTCTTGCCACCCACACAACCAGCCTAATCCACTCATTGATCCCTTATGTGCTTGAGCTTCGCCGATGCACATCTCCTCAGAATCCAGAGGCGTGGAATTCTCACTGTCTTGGCCTCAACTGTTACAATTTTAAGATCATGCAGAAATTTTAGAAAAACATTAAATGCCTCGTTAATGCAGGAGTCCTGAAATTTTTTTTAAAAAATTCAAATTTAAAGTTTTACGCAAATTCTGACATTACATTTTAATGCCAAATTTGTACAGTTCAATGTCAGCAAGACTGAGGCCCTCTTGATTGGCTCGTGTCAGCACCTCCGTACCTCAGGCACTATCAGCATCCACGGATGCACACCCCACCTCACCCAGGGCTCTTGTTCGACCCTCAACTGTCCTTTCTCCACATACGTGCCATGACCCATTCTTCCTGCCCCGCCTGCACAACATTGCTCGACTTTGCCGCTGCCTCACCCCTCAGGCCACTGAAACCCTCATACATGCCTTCATTACATCTAGGCTCGACTATGCCAACTCCATGCTCGTCATCCTTCCCAAGTCTTCCCTCTTCAGAATCTGCAGATCATCCAGAACCCTGCATCTTGTGTCCTCTCCCACACTCGCCTGGCTCCACTGGCTTCCCATCCCTCAGAGGATTGAGTTCAAAATCCTCGACCTCACCTTCAAGGCCCTCCATGGCCTTGCCCCCTCCATGTTGCTCCATGTCCCCCACCTGGCCCACACCACCGTCAGTGATTGGGCCTTCAGCCTCTCTGCCCCCACCCTCTGGAACTCTATCCCACATTCCCTTCGCCTCACTCCCTCCCTGGCCACCTTCAAGGCACGCCTCAAGACCCTCCTCTTCGACTGTGCCTTCGGCCATCCTCTCTGCCTTCCACTCTCCATTATCCCACCCCACGCTCACCCCCAGGGTCCTAATCTCTGACAGTTCAGTGCCTTGGGATGTCCTGACATGAAAGGTGCTTTACAAATGTAATATTGTATTGTAATATGCATTGAAATTCCTCCAGAGGCTAATATACATATATTTAATAAGAGGATGTTGTAAATCTGAAATGAAATTTGGAAATTGCAAGGCAGATTAAATCGACATCAGAGAGAGAATCGGAAAACAAGTTTCAGACTTGATCCTTCATGAGAACTTATGAAAATGGGCTTATTGTCCTCATTAATGGGTGCAATTTTTGAGTTTAATTTGTTAATGTCAACCATAATGGTTACTGAAGGATGTGGAGTTGAGAGTGGATACTCCCAGTGGGGGAGCATACAATCCTAATACAATTGCTGTGAGGCTGCCTCTCTCTGTCAATGTGTTATATTTAATATATTTGGCTACGGTTCATTAATACTGCTGCTTTCCTGACTGGATCTGAAAGTCTTTGATGAGACTGGAGAATTTGGGGTTGAGTTTTTTTTAAAAACTTGGGTATATTTTGGCTATTGAACTGTAGAGCTGGAGTATTTGTGTCCTGTTAATTTGTTTCTTTTATTATCCAGCAATTTTTTGAGCATAGGGCTGGGTGGGGCAAACCTTTTGAATTGGGCTGAGCAATGGGATGACCTAGAAAAAGGTAGGGATTGATCTCATGAAGGGGTGAAATTTGCAGAATTGTGTAACTCAAATCTTTGTGATAATCAGCGATTCCTCTTGATTTAGCTTTTTTTAAAAAAAAATCCTATTTTTCACTCTTTCTTTATCTGTTAATGTTTTTATCTTATGACGTTATCCCTTTGACTTAATTTTTAAATGGGGGTGGGGGGGTGAGAGAAGAGGAAGGGGCTTTTTTTTAAACCTACCTGGTCATTTATTTAGCTCATTGTCCCTTCTCACGAGAATGTCTTGCCAACCATTAGAAATATTGCCAGCTTTCTGTTAAAATCTCCCATCAGAAGGCAAGCTTTCAGCCATTCTGTCCCCTGCTCTCTGAAACTCCATCATCCCGCCTACTGACTCGTTCCCTCCTTTCCCTCATTCATGGTCTGTCTCAAAACATACCTCTTTCAGTCATCTTTCCCACTGCCAACCCCAGCTCGGGTGACCAGCCAGCATTGTCAAATGCTTTGAGAAGTCCTCCAGACGTAAAAGGTGCTATATAAATACAATGTAAATTGTATTGATTCCAAATAATTTTGCAGAGAAGAATAGAACAAAGATTGTATTGGAGGGAATTTTTTTTTACAAACCCCAGATGAACTGTAGAAACGCCATTAAAAGCGAGTAGTGAAGCTCTGATTTACACTCTGCCATGGTGTAAGGTGATGGTCCTTTTGAACTGGTCGGAAAACGAGACGGGGCAGAGAATTGCTGAAGAGCATTGGTTCCCAAGAGCAATACCTTGCATGTGTGTGCTGGGGGGGAGAAGAGTGCGTTAGGCTCGAAAGATGTCTTGCCAGTGTTTCTTGTCTTTTGAGGTTAACCAGAGCAATGGAGCAGATGGTGTCCGTTCGTTTTTTTTTCCGCTGATTTGCCCTCGTGCTTTGTGCAGTTGCTGAGAGAGGCCCTGGCCAGCGTGCTGGCTGTTAGCAGATGTTGTCGTGGCTCTGGGGAGAATGTAGCTCACTCTGACAGGAACTGTCACATACTGGCAAGCTATGAAAGAACGCAGCCGTGTGCCTGCTTTTCCTGGAAGTCCAAATCATTGCTCGAGTTAAACAAAAAGCTCTTCCCAACATTGTGTTCTTCTTTCAAAGAGATTTGACAATGTTCTGTGAACTCACATAACCATTGAGTATCATTTTTTAGATTTGGGTTGGTGGGGGAGTGGGGTAAGATTTAATAATATGCTCACAGCAATATCTCACAACGGCCATGAAGTGAATGACCAATTTTTATATTGTGGATTGGTGGCCAGTACACCAGTACATCATCCAAAGGATGGCACCTCTAACAATGCAGAGCAACTTCATAATAATCCTTGCATTTGATATAACGCCCTATCACGTCTTCGAGACATCTCAAAGCGCTTCAGCATTGGAATGTCAGCCAAGACTACATGAGTTCAAAGTCCTGAAGTGGGACTTGAACCAATGACCTTCTGACTGAGGCGAGAATGCTATTAACTGAGCCAGGCTGACATCCGAGAACTTTGCATAAGGGCATGACTCTTGTGTAATAATCGTCTCTATTTCGTTTCTTCAAGAGGTGACAGACTGAAGGGATCCTGAGGATGACCGAGTACAAGCTGGTGGTGGTCGGGGCTGGAGGCGTAGGAAAGAGCGCTCTAACTATTCAGCTGATTCAGAACCACTTTGTGGACGAATACGATCCTACAATAGAAGTAAGTGCACCGAGAGGAAAAGAGGCCAAAAGTGCAATGCCACTGGATTTGGGGGCGAGTCATGAAAGGAATCTTCCCTTACATATAGATGTAAGACCTGAGTAAGACCGGGTTAATAATTATGTTTTTCAAGGCCATTTACATTTTATGGCCCTGCTCGGACTTTCCTTTTATCTTGTAAAGTCTTTCCATTACTTTCTGCTCAACCTGTACCCCCTTTCAAATTGGATAAAGCTTGGCAATTTTAAATCAACGTATTTCTCAAACTTAATTTAAATCCTTTTTTATTCTGATCTCCAGAGAAGATCTAAAGCAAGCACATTTTTGGAACCANTTTTTTTTAAACTTTACTGAGACTTCACGAGAAAGTGTTTGGCCTTCATCCATTATCAAACATTGATGCCTTTGGTAAGAACATTCTGTCCCACTTGTATCCATGTTGGATTAGTGCCTGACCCACAACATAGTAAATGTTTAATTCCCAGATGGAAATTGGTCAACGGATCACAGTGTGAAGTTCAGATTCTGAAGTCTGGTTTTGTAATGAAAAATGTGTTTGCGGGATGAAAAGGAAATCTGTGGATGTTGAAAATGACAAGATGACAAGTGATGTTCTGGGAAAGGGGGGGGGGGAAATTGCCCGGAATGAAGAATCTCCCATCAAGATGTATTTTTTTGCCAACTAGGATGATGAAAAGGTACAAAGCAAAGGTCTTCTGTGGGGAAAAATGGAATTGAAAGATGTGATGAAGTGGCGGAGAGAGTGTGATGGGCTGAATGAATGGTCTTCTCCTGTTACTATGTAATAGTATAATTTTTTTATTAGTTTGACGTGCTTCTTTTATCCCTTTCTTGCCCCACCCCTACCCTTCGACACAGGCTTCAAAATCTGCCAGCTTCGTATATTTTAAGCACAGTACTAATGTGTACAAGAGATGCCAGTTTACAAGCAGCTTGTTGTGTTGTATCATACAAAGCTAGAACCAATCTTGTGAGAGACCTACTGTATTACCTTATAGAGAAAAGCACAGCATAGGATTGTGTGTGTGTGCATGTACTGTTCTGCCAATTTTTCTAAAAGCTATATATTTGTAAAGCTAACTCTTAATCTACCGGCAACAGCTTTTGTTTAAATAAAATTGGTCATTCTCCTCAAAAATTGCTTTGGGACCTCACTGTAGCCAAAATTGGCATTTTCCTATATATTTTTGAAAAAGTCACTACACTTGGCAGTAATTGGAGAAAACATTTCTCTTGACATATTCTCATATCAAGGTTCTCAAGATTATGAGTGGCAGTAAAAATAAAAATGATTTTGTTCAGTTATTTTAAGGAAAAAAGAAAATCGGGGATAACAGAAAGGTAAAGACTAAAAAGACATGACATTGCTCGTAAGCCAAAAACAAAAGCCACACCGCTGGCAGCTGGGAATAGGTTAATGAACGAAGCAAGATTGGGGATCAGGAACCTCACAGATCGCCACTTCTGATTGTTCTCATTTGTCTTCTTTATTAATTGCAGGATTCCTATAGAAAGCAGGTAGTTATTGACGGAGAGACGTGTTTGTTAGACATTCTGGATACAGCGGGTCAAGAGGAGTACAGTGCGATGAGAGACCAGTACATGAGGACTGGCGAGGGCTTTCTGTGTGTCTTTGCAATTAACAATACAAAATCCTTTGAAGATATTCATCAGTACAGGTTGGTATTGGTGCAGGGTTCGTTAAATTGAGGAGAGAATGCAGCATTATGGAGGATCAGTAAAAGTGACTTATTTCTCCCTCCACTAAGTCATTAGAAAAATTAGCCTTGGTGTTAGTAACTGCCCCGCGCTCACTGAATCACTCTGAGTGAGGTGGGGGCAGGGTATGATTCAGCCTTTGGTCAATTCTCAGGCTGGTAGTGGAAATAGTTGTCTTCTCTTGTAAATATCATCTCACCGCTATTCCCTGAGGTCCAGTCTTTCACGATCTCTTATAGTGTGTCTGTGTGTCTCTGTGTGTGTGTGGTGCGCGCGCGCGCGCGGCGTGTGTCTGTGCGTGGGTGGGTGGGGGCTGGAGGAAGGGCAAATTGATAAGATTTGTGGAGTCCTGTAGCTCAGTGGTTAGAGCACTCGCTTTGCAAGCCAGACACCTGGGTTCAATTCCAGGCAGGGCGAAACCTTGGGCAAGTTTCCTTACTCCACACAGAGCCTAATAATAATCCCTCCAAAACCAAAAACAATAATAAATTGGTCATTTTCAATCTACGACTGTTTGTGGGACATTGCTGTGCGCAATTGGCTGCCGCGTTCGCCCACAAATATACAGTCAATTCACTTTACAGTATATTCTGTGAAGCGCTTTGGGACGTCCTCCCGACGTGAAAAGCGCTATATCAAATGCAAGGATTATTAAGATATTTGCGCATGACCACGGAAATTCGATGTGATCTAAATTGCGGCAAGACTGAACCATTGCTTAGAGAGAGAGTAGAGGCAGCTCAAGGGCATGATAAAGAGCAGAGAGCAGTAGAAAACCGGAAGCCGTTTAAGAGCGAGGCTGAGTTTGACAATTTGACTGTATCTGCACTTGAAACGTGAAAAGGATCCTCTTCCCACCTCCACAGGAATTATTTTCTTAAAATCTTGTATTTTTTTGCACACAAAATATACAATCAACAATCAATTCACTTTACAGTCAATTCACTTTACCGTGAAGCGCTTTGAGACGTCTCGAAGACCTGATAAGGTGCTATATCAAATGCAAGGATTATTATTATATTTGATGGGAATGGAAGACTCCTAAAATGCTACTCAGATTTGTTGGCAAGGAAGCTGAATCTGGATTGCGCTCATCTTGGAGTGAATCAGTCCCCCCACCCCCACATCTACTAAAATTTTACCCTAAACTAAGCTAAATCAACTGATTAGAATCCGACAGGAGAAAGACGTTTAATAATAAACCTTGCATTTGATGATATTTCAAAGCGCCTCACAGGACCGTTCAACCCAGATCCAGTCTGTTCCTCTTCAGTGGTCGTTAAAAGATCCCAGCCGGCAATTCCCCCAGATAAAAATTGTTCATTCACTTCATGGCTGTGTTTGTGGGACATCGCTGTACACACATGTGCTGCCAATTTAGCTTACAAATACACAATCACTACACTTGTAAATCCTGTGAAGCTCTTTAAGACATCACTGACCGATAATGTGCTGTATCAATTGCAAGGATTAATATGTACTGTAAATTGGAGTGACTGTCTTTTGTGGGTGAAATTTGTTTACCCCCTTGGATTCCTAAACAAAACTCGAGTCTGCTTTGAAGGTGTTGACCGTGTCCATGACTTAAATCAGACACTTGAAGGCATCCTTAGAAAGGTACCGTGTGCTTTGTTGTATAATCCCACCCGGGATGCTACACAGTTTGGACAAACATAGACAAGGGAAAGCGAGCATAATTTTAGCAAGATGTGATTGAAAACTAATGCAGATTTCATCTGTTCTTTGAACGTTTCCACTTTGTTGCTACTGTGGGAACATAAATTTAAGGGGACATCATCGACAGTGGCTAATGGTGTTAAATATCGGCTGCCTTTGGTGCTAATCAATAACTGAAGCTTACTTGCGGCTCCCTGTGTCTTTGCAGAGAACAGATAAAAAGGGTAAAGGATTCAGATGACGTCCCTATGGTGTTGGTGGGAAACAAATGTGACCTCCCAGCACGCACCGTGGAGGCACGACAGGCACAGGACCTGGCCCGGAGCTACGGGATTCCTTACATTGAAACCTCAGCCAAAACGAGACAGGTACGGTCACCAGAAGAACACTGAATGAAGTTCAATTGTGCTCTGGGACGCTACCCTGCCTGAGGGGCACTATATAAATGCAGGTTGTTGTTGTTGTATGTGTGCACACGTTTCCTTATCCCCCTTTCCATTTTTCACTCTCAGGCGTCTAGCCCAAATATTACACCCAGGGCATTCTTGTGAGGCTGTTCTCATTTGGACTTTAAGGTCAGCTCCCTGCCCTATAGCTCAGTGAGTTTATGTCCATGTAACTGAGCCATACACGGGGAAGGTTAGCAACAAATTGTCCCTCTGCCATTTCATTCATCGATGCTTCGTGTTGTGAGGATACAGCAGACATTCTGTGCTCTATAGAATCACTGACAGAATAGCAGGATATACAGAGTTTAGCCAAATGTTCTGTTCCAACCCCGCCTGCCTTCATCTTGGAGAAAACAGCAGTGCTCACGGTTCATGATCCCCAGTTTTGCTTAATTTGCCACCTGGGAGGTCAGGATTTCATTTTTTTGAACAGGAAACAATCCCATATGCAGCTGGCAAGTGGATTGCTTCCATCCCAGGACCAGCCCTATTGGAGGCGGCTTGGAAATTATCCAAGACCCACCCTGCAGCTGGTGGGAGGGAGGGAGGGAGCGGGGATATGTCTCCGAGTCTGCGACTGTTCCACATGTTCCAATGTCCCATACATTCTGAACTGCAAAACCAGGCACTGCTGTGTAACACAGTAAAGTTGGATAATATTCGACCAACTTCCCAGAATTAGGATAAGAATTAAAATAAGCTATGCATTTTTATGTCCACCCTTTCACGTCGGGAGGATGTGTTCCTTAATGTTTCACCGTATATACTATAATGTGTAGTGACTGTGTGTTTTGTAGGCCCTGTGAGCTGTTCCTGGCTCAGTCAGTAACATTTGCCTCTGTATCAGAAGGTGTCATTCGTGAGTCAGCCATTAGGTGGTGTGAGAGGCACTGCGGTCTGTCGCTCCACGACTGTTTGCGGCTGCTGTGTTTCACCCACAAAATATACAGTCACTACACTGTACAGTATATTCTGTGAAGTGCTTTTAGACGTCTCGAAGACGTGATAAGGCGCTGTATCAAATGTAAGGATTATTATTAAGCGGGTTTGTGTTGCAGGGAGTGGAGGATGCCTTTTATACCTTGGTTCGTGAGATCAGCCAACACAAAGTGAGGAAGTCGAACCCTCCCGACGACAGCGGCCGAGACTGTAGCAACTGCAAGTGTGTAATATTGTGACCTGCGTAAGTGAGTCTTCATTTACCTTTGGGTGTGCGGGAGGGAGGGACACTGTCCTGTACGGCCAGGTGCTCAGAAAGGGAAACCGTACACCCCACACTTCGCGGCTGGTATGGAGTTGATAACCAGGTGGATTTCCGCACAATTGTTAGGAAGATGAGCTATTAGGAAGCGATGGAGAAACTGAGTGTGAAATGCATCCCCCTCTCCTTCTCCCCTCCCTATGTCTCAATGAATCTAGCCCTTCAGTCGCTGAGCTATGCAGACTGGGAATGTCCCAGGGCAGAATTGGCCTTGCTTTCAGCTTCATAATCAGCTCCAGCAAGGACTAGAGCATCTTCCCTTACATTTTCCTCCTCTTTAGCTCCACATTTCACCGCTTTTGGTCAATTTAACATAGTGGCCACTAGGTGGCGCTTGGCACCTGAAGTTAACTTGGTTGTCTAAGGGCATCTGTGCGTGTGAGGAAACTGTTTATAGAAGTTTTTAACACTGGTCCAATGAAAAGCGTCTGCTATTTTTAAATTCTATTTTAAAAAAATAGTTGCTGCGTTCATATAGGAAGGGGAGCTGACTCCTTTCAGGAGAAGTGAGAAAAAATGGCATGTGCAAGCACACTCACACACACTCACACACAATACAGTAGTAATAATTCTTGCATTTGGTGTTGTCGTGCCTATAATCATAATATCTCGAAACGACTCGCAGTAATCACTGCTAAGTGTAGTGACAGTGTATTTGTAGGCAAGCGTGGTAGTCAGTTTGATCTCACAATACTGAATTGGCGAGGCTCCAGCCTTCTGTAGCTGAACTGCAAACCTAAGAGCTCTGCATGGCACCAGTGTGCTTACATTGGCCCTGCTCATCACTTGCTCTGAGAACTTTCTCTGAGGGGAAGTCTAACTCCGCAGAAGGCCATCGTCCACTTAAAATTAATTAATTTGGTCTTTCACCTCAGGGCTGTTTGTGAGATCTTGTGCATGGTTTGCATGTGTCAACAGATGCCCAGTCATCACTATTGACAGCAGAAACTTGCAAAGCACTGCTGACATGTTAACACGTTTTGATGTTAATACAATACAACGCAATTTACATGTACACACAGCCTTTCACGTTCACAATGCCTGATGGGCAATTGAGCTGTGAGTGGGAGCTGAGAGATGTGGGGGAATGGGAAAAGAGGAGAGAACAAGCAGGTCGGAGAGAATCTGGGCTGGAGTTCTAGAGAGTAGGACAACAAACTAATAGGTGCCAAACCAAATGTTAATATCGCCCGACTCCGCCACTCCCTCAGCCCTCAGGTCACTGAAACTCTTGTTCATGCCTTCATCACCTCCAGGCTTGACTATGCAAACTTCCTGCTTGTCAGCCTTCCCAACTCCTCCCTCCACAGGCTGCAGATAATCCAGAACTCTGCAGCCCGTGTCCTCTCCCGCACCAAACTCTGTGACCCCATCACCCCCACTCTCGCCCGACTCCATTGGCTTCTTATCCTTCAGAGGATCCAGTTCAAGATCCTGGTCTTCGACTACAAAGCCCTCGATGACCTCGCCCCACCCTGCCTCTGAGGCCTCCTAACTCCCTCCGCTCAGCTGGCTCCTGCCGGCTCCACGTCCCCGATCCACCCGCCCCATCATTAGTAGGAGAGCCTTCAGCCACTTTACCCCCAGCCTCTGACATTCCATCCCTCAATCACTCCGCTTCGCTCCCTCCTTAGCCTCCTTCAAGTGCTGCTTCAAAACCCTCCTCTTCAACCGTGCCATCGGTCAGCCCCCTTCCCCTCCCCTCCCTTCTCCCTCCCTGACTCCAGCTCGGGTCTGAAATGCTGTACACTGTCCAGCACCTTGGGACGTCCTCCCGATGTGACAAGCGCGATACAAATGTAATCTTGTTGTTGTTAATTCTGAAATGCATGATTAGTACATTTAATGTATCTTCTTCTTTTCAGCTGCTACTGCGACCCATGATTTTTGTCAGCACGAGGGCGTCTGCGGGAAGTCACAGGTCTCTTTGAAGATTGATACACCGTGCTGGTGCAAGAAGACTGGGGGAATGGGTGGGCATGGGAGGGGGAGAAAAAACAGCCCGCAAGAGAAAAGGATGGAAAGCCTTGGGGGGGTGGGTGGTGGGGGGAGGGGGGGAGGAGGTAAAAGAGAGAAAGATGCATAAGGAAAAAAAATTCTATAGAAATATATCCACTCTCTGCAAAAAAACGCTCTTACCCGGGAGCCTTTCATGTGGCTGCTTTCTCGCACCCAACAGTTCAATTGTACAGAGCCGTAGCCTTATTTTAAATCGCACTAAATTATTATCCTTCCCTCGTGATCGTGTTTAATTGCTCTTCACCCCAGTTTGTCGCGACCTCTTTTGTTTTATACTTCGAAAGGGCTGTTGGGGAACCATGTTTCTCTCTTTCTCTCTCTCTCTCTCTCTCTCTCTCGCGTGTGCGTGCAGCCCTTTATTGTTGTACATAGATCATTGACTGTAAAGTGACTGGATCTTGGATTTTTGTTTTATACTTTGAGCCAGTGCAATTAATTTTTTTTACACACACAAAAAAAACACAATGTTGCAGGGCTTTTTTTTTCAGTACTGGAATTCCTCACTCTGGAAAAGAAATGTAAACTGTTTTTCCTCTGTCCTAATGAGAAATGTGAAAAAAATATATATGAGTTTCCTTTTTGTACATAGACTGAAGTAGTTAGGTCTAAATTGTGTAATTTTTCCTTTTTTTTAAACTCAATTTTTTTTCTTCCGACGCAGGAAATTTATACTGTGTGTGTGTGTTTACGCGCGTGTGTGCACGCACGTGAGGTGTGTGCGCACTCGTATGTTTTTGTGAGAGGAGTGCAGGAAAAAGGGTTTTACTGGTAACAAATTGAGTATTAGCATGATTTTTTTTCCCCAAAAAAATCAAGGATGTGCTAACCTAAATGTGAATGGAGTGCAACACGTATCTCTAATCCTGGGATCAGCCAGCATTGGTCTGAGCTGTATATTTCCTGGATTGCACAGAGTGTCAGGAGCAGTGTTTGAGGCAGAATCCAGATAATCTTTAAAATGGAACTAGATCGACGTCTTTGAAAAGGAGGAAACTACTGTACAGGCGAATGGGGAAAAGGCAGCCAACTTCTGCACACCAATATGGAGGAGCATACCATTATATCACAACAGAACTCCTACAGTACTATAATTGTTAACCCAAAACCCAAGCGCTTGAATTTGATGTAGCTCACAGAATTTTGATGTAAAACGTAGTGACTGATCTTTGTAGACAAAAATAGTAGCCAATTTGCACACAGCAATGTCCCACAAACAGCCATCAAGCTAATGATAACTTTTATCTTAATCTGGAGAAATTGTTGGCTCAGACATCAGGGGAAACTCCCTTTTCAAATGGTGCCACGGGATCTATATTGTCCCCCGCTGGAGTGTCAGCCTAGAGACGATTTGGGCTGCTCCAACACTGTCGCAGAAGTCTCCCATTGCAGACCAGACACAGAGCCTGTGGAGGTAACAGATAATTAAAGAGATTGCCATGAGGCAACCTCCATTCTGTGCATCAGTGAAATGTATGAAGCCCACAGATAATGCATTACTGTACGTGTGATCGGGAAATAAAGATGAGAGTAGAGGGAGAAAAAGTAGCAGTTGCCAGGGTGGTGGTGTGGGCAGTGTGTGTTTAGGGTGGGGTTAAATTTAGAAGATGAAATGTAGGGGTAAGGTCAGGATGACTTCAGCTAATTATGGATTACACGTGACTGAAGGAGAATGTCCCAGAGTGTTTCATGGGATTTACTGTGAAATGGAGTGATTGAGTAATTATAAGTGAATGTGGCAGCCCAATTGCGCACAGCAATGTCCCGCAAACGGCCATGAAACAAATGAACGATTTTATTTGGTGGATTGTTAGCTAGGACATTGGAAGAAATTCCCTTCTCTTTTCGAACAATGTGTAACGTCCACCCAAACAGGCAGATGGGACCTTGTTTTTTTTAAAAGTGAAAGCATGAAAAGCTCCAAACCACAGCTGTTTGCAGATTTCAGGTGCAATTAAATGTATGGCCCAAAGAATTATGCCTCCTTCCTAATCCTGCCCAGCATTGTCATCTTAGATTGAGTCAACTTGTTTGACTGCCTTTTAACCAGTCATATTACTGCACTTTACTCATTATTTTCTGAATTTGTGCTGCAATGTTCAGTCCAGATCTTCACCGTAATCTCATTAGCTCAGTAAATAATAAGACGTAGGAGTAGGCCATTTGGCCCCTTGAACCTCCCCGCCATTTAATAAGATTATGGCTGATCTTCTAACCTAATTCCATTTACCCGCCCTATTCCCATATCCCTTAATCCCTCTATCCTTTAGAAATCTATCAACCTCAGTCTTGAATATGTTCAAGGACTGAGCATCCACAGCCTTCTGGGGTAGATCATTTCACAAATTCACTACCCTTTGAGTGAAGAAATGTTTCCTCAACTCAGTTCGAAAAGACTGACCCTTAATCTTGACACTATGACCCTAATTTTAGATTCTCCAACCAGGGGAAACAGTCTCACGGCATCTACCCTGTCAAGACCCTTAAGAATCTTATAGGTTTCTATAACATCACCTCTTATTTCTTCTATATTCTAGAGAATATAAACCTAGTTTACACAACCTATCCTCATAGGTGAACCCTCTCATCCCAGGCATCTTGTTGAATGCCTTCTGGAAATCCAAATACACCACATCTATTGGATTCCCCCCATCTAACCTGTTAGTTACATCCTCAAAAAACTCTCTTAAGATTTGTTAAAAATTATTTCCCTTTTGTAAAGCCATGTTGACTCTGCCTAATCATGTTATGATTTTCTAAGTAATATAATCAGAAGCATTGGCGCGCAGCCAGGTCTGAGCAGGACTCAACATTAGGGGCTCAGCCACATGGGACAATTATCCCTTAGTTGTTTGAGATCTCAGGTGAAATTTAATTTACGACAATTATGCTCCCTTACGGTGCCACGCTAACCAGCTCTGCAGTGCGGGTCTGAAGTTCGCCGCAATGGAGAAGCCATCCCTGATATCGATAGTTAATTAAACATCAGTGGAGAGGACTGTGCGACAGCCCTTTTGCAAAGAGTCCCACAAAAAGCCATGAGGTGAATGACCAATTTTACCTGGAGGCCATGACACAGAGGATAGGATTCTCACAGCAATAGCATCACGAGAAGAACAGAGGGACGGGACCTCGGGTTTAGATGTCTCATCCCAAGTTCGACACCTCAAAACAATGTAGTTCCCCCAGTGTTGTGGCCTAGTCTAACAACAAAAACAAAATTACATTAGGCTAACGTGCAGTATTAATCTCCACCGCAACTCGTCTCCCACTCCCGCACTCAATTCCATTTAAAGCGAACGTTTGCTTTAGTGTAGCTCAGTGTCCTATCTTTAGATCGATGATACAATAGTGACTGGAGGCCTCTGTGGTCACTTCATGTAGGTCACATTCGTGACTTTCCTGCCATTGAAATAATGCAGCCAATGACACAGTCGAGTGGACATATAATCTGCTCGTCTGTTACTTTGTGGCCAGAGCATCAATTTATGTCTCTGCAAATGTCTAGCCTTAAACAAAAAACAATGCATTTTTAGAGTGTAGCAGAGAAGCAGCTAAATATCTGCCATGTTTCTGTGACCCATTTTGAGTTGCTGAATATGGGCCAGGATTCCAGGAGGAACTCCCTTTTCAGATCATGCCAAATATCCACCTGGACAGACAGATCGCGTGACATCAGTTTAACGTCTCATGCAAAGGATGGCACACCCAACAAAACAATGTTCTCCCTGCACTGCACTGCCAGGCAAAACTCTGAGCTCTACAGATCTCCAAACCGGAGTCCCTCTGACTGGCCTCCCACACTGAAAGGTGTATAAATACTGTTTGTATTGTAAAATACACACAAACTTCTGACTCGGAGGCCACGGTGCAAGCAATCGAGCCAGGCTGACGGGGAGGGAGGGATGTTAACCTTAAGGAACTAAACAAGGTCAGACCACAGGAGAAAAGAGGAATCTTGTGAAAGGCTCTAAATAATTGGGAGTTTGTAATGTTTCTTTTGATCGATTCTCAAAAGCCACGTCAGATACTCCACTGCTCGTGCCCCTCTATAAAAAAAATCCATCCCACCAAAAAGAATCAAAATCACACAAAGAATGATAAACTCCTCTGTTTATAGCTACGGAGCTTGAGTTAATGGGATCCCATAGCGTAGCAGTTAAAGCACTCGCTTATGAGCGAGAGGACCTGGGTTCGATTCCCAGCTAGGGCTAACCTTTAGGCAAGTTTCTTTATTCCACACACCTTTGTTTACCCAGCAATAAGGAATCAGATTGGCAGAACATTTTTCAGGGATAATCCCACACAAAAAAAATTGGTGACTCAAATCCACGACTGTGGGACTCTGCTATGTGTAATTGGCTGCTGCGTTTTGCCAACAAAATGTACATTTAATCCACTTTATAATATATCCTGTGAAGCGCTTTGAGACATCTCAATGATATGATAAGGCGCAAGAGCAAATGCAAGGATTATTACTACTATTAATCCTGCTTCAGTCTAGATCAGAGAGTTAGTTGTTAGTCGATTGGCAAATTGCTTCCCAGGTGTAATATTCCTTCCCAAAAAAATGTGGTCACTCAATCCAGGACTGTGGAATATGCTGTGCGCAATTGGCTGCTGCGTTTTGCCTACAAAATACACAGTCAACCACTTTACAATACATTCTGTGAAGGCTTTGAGGCATCTCGATGACATGATAAGGCGCTATATTAAATGCAAGGATTATTCTTATCAGAAGCATGGTTTCCACATGTGTTAGACACCCGGCTGACCAAAAGAAACAGCACACATCGCAATTAGGGTTAACCCAATTAGGTTCTGAGTTACAGAGAGCCTTGATAACCAATAAACCATGTTGCTTCGACACAGAATTGAATCCAGTGACTGTGAACATGAGATGAACCACGGCATGTGTTGCATGCAGAATGCATGACTCGGACCATTTGCGTGCAATAAAAAAAGTTATGAAGATAGGAAATCAGCTGGTGCACATCACTGACATGCTCCGCGTGTCCACGTCCTAAAGATAACGGCAAGTTCACTTGTATTTTGGGCCAACCTTTTTGGTTGGCCAACCAAATAAATGTTCTTTATTTAATATTTCTTGATTTATGGCTCTCCGGTGGGCATTGTCGCTGGGTAGTTGAAATGCTCCGGGACGCTACCCCGAGTGAATGCAAGTTGTTATTGGAAACAAGACGTTGATTGCCTGGACCGATGCAAATGTTTTTTTGGCCATTTCTTGACGCACCCACCCACCCCTCCCACCCACATGCCAATTTTGGCCCATGGGTCATTGGGTTGGACACCACTAATCCAGGGGTTGCAATCCCACTGCTCTTTCTGAATCCTGGGATTTTAATGCCCTCTAGGCCTCAGATCCAATTAGGGTTAAATCTTGCATCGGAAATACAAAAAGGAACTTCCAAGATTGTAGGCTATGCACAGTTATCTCTCCAAGAAATAGTTGCCGACTCACCTCCCTCCCTGCCTATCTCAGCAACACTGTCTGTCTACAAGGGACTGACAGAGTCAGTGAGCGAGGGCGTCAGCGGTTAGCAGATTAATTGACAAGGAGAGGAAGTGGCACATACAGAAAGACTGAAATAAGCCAATAGATACTGAGAGAGAGAAAAAGAGAGATAAAAGGGGACTGAAAGAGTTGGTGGATAAACAGAGGGGGAGAGAGGTACAGACAGAAACAGCAGCCAATTGCGCACAGCAGTGTCCCACAAACAGTCGTGGATTGAGTGACCAAATTACTATTTTTAAAAACAAATTTTGTTGGAAGGTATTATTACCCCAAGGAAAGCGATCTGCCAATCAGCTAACAACCGGGTTCCTACTCACTGCGAGGTAAACAGAGGCATGTGGAGGAAGGAAACTTTCCCAACTTTTCACCTTGGCCGGGAATCAAACACAAGTTGAGTTTACCAGGTGAGTGCTGTAACCATTAAACCACAGGCATGTCTGGGGCCCGCAACTTAATGTCTCACTTGAAGGCATAAATACCAGTAGTTTAAACCAGAAAGATCCTGATTTAAACCAAGGATTGCACAACAATAGAACTTGCAGGCAGAATACCATCAATCACCGGAGTGTTGAGAAACTGACCCCCGCTGTAGGGAAATTGAGCTGGGTCAGATGTTAACAAAAAAAATTAAAAATTGATATAAACAGATAGCTGCATTGAAATGCATACACAAGCAAAGAAATATAGCTGGAAAAATAAGGCTGTGCAAGCACACAATAATAATAATGATAATAATAATAATCCTTGTGTTTGAATTGTTGAGACCCCTCAAAGCGCTCAGTACGGGATTTTACTGTAAAGTGGTGTGACCGTTTGTGTTTTGAATCTAGGATCAGTTTTTTTGGGGTCAGGCATGTGTATATAAATGCAAGCTGTTGTTGAGAATTCCATGCATCCCACATACACACGGACATTTGAGAGATAGCTTGTTGGAATGGAATGTGCACACTCTCCCTGGAGGGACGCTTCCGGCCGACCTAATTCTGGAAAGTAGGATAATAAAATAATAATCCTTGCATTTGATAGAGCACCGTGTCGTGTAATCAAGGCGTCTCAAATCGCTTCACAGGATATACAACAACTTGGATTTACAGAGCGCCCTCCACGCCGGACGGAGTCTCAGAACGCTTATACTGTACCGTATATACTGTAAAGTGAGTTAACTGAATACTTTGTGGGAGAAAAGCGGCAGCCAATTTCACACAGCAGTGTCCCACACACAGTCGTGGATTGAGTGACCACTTTTTTTTCTTTTTGAAGGGATTATTACAGGGGGGAGAGGGGGTGCGTGAGGTGAGGGAGGAGACGGGACAGCACTTTCTCCACCACACTCCCCAAGTATCAGGCGCAGATCGGCAAGAGCCAAGGCTTGGGGACCCCAGACTGTGTGTTGGGGGTAACTGCTGGAGTCTAACCAGCTAAAATCGCAATAGCTTATCATTGATGAGATCAATTTGCATTGGGAGGGGAACACAGACCAGGATAACCCTGAGAAAAGACCCCCAAGTTTCTATTATGTGTCACCCAGCAAAGCCCTGCAGTCAGCACCTAAAACTCTTGTCCTGTCTTGTCACCAGAGAGAAATGTTGCCCACAAGCAGAAATGCTTAAAATGTTTCTCTGCTGTATAATGGCTGGGAAGCTTTACTGTTAGGCGCTGTTAATGGACGCACTTACTCTCTAATTGCAGCTGAGGACATATTGGTTCAGTTAAGGTGGGGGTGGGGGAAGGGTGAATCGATCGCTTTTTTTATGTGTGTGTTTTGTTTTTCTTGCTGGTTTTCCACTTCTCAATACATTTCCGCATTGTGGGCAGTGCTGAATAACGACTCTGGTATTCAGTGGCTGGCCAGTTATTGGGTAATGTCTGAGACTCAGGCAGAATAATATTTCCTTCCTTCCCTCCCACTCCTTTACGTTTCATCCGATTTAAATCAAGTGAGACAGAGAGAGTGTTCAGTGCAAAGTAACGCCAGCAGCCCAGCATCCCCACCTTTTTATAACTTTTTATTTTGATCCCAGTAGATTTCGAACCTCATAGGAAACGAGTATTTCAAGTTTTTTTTAAAAAAAGGTGTGTGTGTATATATATATATAAGCAACCCACTATCGCTGCTTTGCACATATATATATGTACACACACAAAATATAAAGTACTCTGAGTGACTGTGCACAGTTTCTTTTGTGTATAAAGACAGACGACAACCATTTCAGGAAGTACTGTACTGCGACAGCTAAGGACCACGCCTGTTTATTTGAAGGTATTATTTCTGTGTTATTTTGTTTGCAGATGTGCCTTTCAATGCCTTTCCCACCCCCACCCCCCCACCCCCGTTCAGATCATACTCGGTACTGCCTGACTAACTGACTTGTTGATGATGTCCGTATATTTTTCATTAAAAAAAAACGGTTCCGGTTATGAAACAGTTTGACTGACTGATGGTGTTCACTGTGGGGAATCATTGCAGCTGGGGTTAGGAACTAAGAAAACATTTTGGAGTTTGCCTGAGTTAAACTTGCCTAAACTCGTCCGATCATATCATTTCCTTCAGAAAAGTCAGGGATCCAGAGAGGAGGGTGACCATGCCCGCTGTGCCCAATTCGCTGCTGTGTTTTGCCCACGAAATATACAGTCAATTCACTTTACACTATATCCTGTGAAGAGATTGGAGACATCTTAACGACATCTCCAGGGGAAAAAAATATATTTTTAAAATATATATATATATATTGAATAATTATCAAAATATTTGAATTTTCACCCCCTAAACGCCTCTTCTCTCCCTCTCACCACCCATTAGCCATTTACTATCAGAGGTGAAATAGATAATACTGTAATAATAATCCTTACATTTGATACAACGTGTTTTTTCACATTGGGAGGACACCTCAAAGAGCTTCACGGGACTCATTGTAAAATATAAGGCCTGTCAATTTACTAGGCAAATGTGGCAGCCAATTTACTCTCAGCACAAGTCCCACAACCAGCTGGGAAGTGGCTGTTTGTGAAACATGAACATCAATTTTACTTTGAAGGGACTTTTGGCCTGAACATTGGGAGAAACTCCCTCATCTTTTCAAACAGCAATATGGGGATCTTTGATGTCCGCTTGACGGAATAGGGATAGACGGAACACAGTCGTTTTTTTAACGTCATCCAAAGTTCACCTAGTTGGAGAGTGGTCATATTACAAGGAGAAATGTAAGCCCCGTTTGGCAGACAGTGGTTTAGGGAAGTTACTCATGTGATTTAATTCCATCATATGTGCCAGGGGGAATGATACTGTAACTCTGAGCGGTTGATTTTAGGCCTTATCCCTTTGTGACGTTGGATGCATGAGATGGTTGGCAAGTCACAGAGGTCTGCAATAACACTGCTACTAATAATAACCCTGAAAGTAACCCCTCTCTGCCCCCATCCTCTGGAATTCCATCCCACAGTCCCTCCACCTCACCCCCTCACTTGCCTCCTTCAAGACCCTCCTCTTGAATCGTGCATTCAGTCACCCTCCTAACACTCCCCTCCCTGCCCTCCACCCCTCCTGATCCCAACCACCAGCTCAGGTATAGATCCCTGACTGTCCAGCACCTTGGGAAGTCCTTGTGACATGGAAGGCGCTGTACAGATGTAATTTGTTTTTATTACAGTAGATATAGCTCCTTAATCATGTCTTGTTGTAAACTTGGCGACAGAGTTCATGTTCATGGCGAAACCGGGGTGCGTTTAATGCCAACTGTTTGGTACGTTTGCAAAGGGGAAAACTGGACAAATATTATTTTCCTGAGGAGTTTTGAAATATTTGTGATTGAATTTTAGTCTTTGTATGTTTTTAATAATGTTCCATTAACCCTTTAACTTCTGGTCAGTTTCAGGACAAGTAATTTTAGTTCAAGTTACGTTACCGGTTACACAGTGTGATATCACATGGATTATAGGCCAGTCAGCCCAACTAGTTGGTGCCAGTGTTTATACTCCGCACCCCCCACCGTCCTCCCCAATGTAAAAGAATGAGCACACTCTCAGCTTACCTAATTCCAGAAAGTATTAGGTGCAGGCTGGCAAGACCCAAGGTTTAGGGACCCCAGAGTGTGCATTGGGATAACCGCTGGAGTCTAACTGGCTAAAACCACGTAGCTTGCCATTGCTATCGCTGTCTGGCAAGCTTTCCCGCTGCTTGTCCAGCTAGGACCACCCTACCCAATAGGACGTTGGCTTGCAAGGTTTACAGGAGCTCAGTGGGATGACTCCCTGCCCCCAGTGACTGGTTGGCCCTTCCAGGTCCTGTTGATGAGCCAGGCTGGGCTGTGCTGTCATCAGCAGTGCTCTTGAATATTGCAGACCTGTCTGGCTCAGGAACCGGACTACTGAGACCGCCACAGAGGGCTGGCTGGATTCCGGTATTCCGTTGCCAAACATGTCACCTTGGAGCCAGTTCAACTCCAAGGAGAACCCACTAAATAACAAGAAATGGCTTGCAGGGTTAATAGAAGCTGAGTGGGAGGATTCCCTCCCCTCAGTTATCTGGTTATCTGAATGTCTCCTGGTGACAAAGATAGGGTCAGCTGTTTTTGGTCTCTGACCTTTGGGGCCCCTAGGGTTGACTCCCATACAAACATATCATCCCGTTTACACACCACTGTCTCGCTCTCTGTCTGGCTGCCGAACAAATAAAAAAAGCAGCAGTATGTTCTTAAAATAGCCGAGCTACTGGGGAATAAATACAAGCTCCATTCTCGGGCTGCCACACTCACAATCAAGGTCTATCCATCCAAGCTTGGCTGCCTTTTGGGGTGAGCGCATTTTGACGATGGCTTTCCCAACGCCTCCAGGTAAGGGCACCCCAAGGTTGCTCTCTTTCTGGGGCGGAAAAAGATACATGTCTTTGGTTAGAATCATGATTTGTACTTTGAGTTCTCACGATTACGACCTTCTGGGGGAATTCTTTTCATTGGAAGGAAGAGAGTTGACTCAAGAGCGCAGGAAGGCAGAGACAGGTTCGAAGACTGGATCAATGTTATCATTGCCTGGCTATAAGTCAGAGAGAAACTTTCTCCTTCCTCCTATCCTCAAACACACTCTCTCTGCCCTTCCTCTCTTCCTCACACTCTCTATCTCTCCTTCCACCCCTCTTCTTTCCCCCCTCTCTCTCACTCTCTCTCTCTCGCCTTCCTCCCCTCCTCTCTCTTTTCTTTTCCTCTCTCTCTGCTTCCTCCCCTCCGGTCTCTTCTGTCCTCTCCTTCATCCCCTCCTCACACTCCCGTTCCTCCCATCTCTCTCCTTCCTCCTCTACTCTCTCTTTCCTTTTCTCTCTCCTCCCCTCATCCCATCTCTTTCCCCCCTTTCCCTGCCGCAAATGACCTTCTCTGGGATAACCTGCTCACTGTCACCGTTCCGGTTGTTGTGTTGTGTTGTTTCCTCTGGAGCTGTGAGCTGTTTATTTGACTTGGAGAGACTTTGCATTTAACACACGCTGTTTTATTATTAAAACAGCCAGGGAGGAGTGGGGTGGGTGTGGGGGGATAGAGAAGCTCACCTGGAGAGGTAAGGGAGGGGATTTAAAGGGTTTGGGGAGAGTAGCAAAGATAAGTTGGTGAAATTGATGCGGGAACATCCTTAAGTTAAAACAAGACTTAAATAACAGCTTAATTTGTGACATTGAAGAGCTTGGGAGGATATTCTTTTCCCCAGAGGGATTTTGGACAGTTAGTTTTCGGTCCATCATTTGAGTCGTTTTTTTTAAAAAAAAAGGTTGTCTTTTAAACAACATTTTTAAAAAAAAAAAAAATTTTTTAAAAAAGTTTTGCATTTCAACTGAAACCCAACAAAACCAGCCAGACGCAGGCTTGTGCCAACAAGGTTTAGGCGAGGCGACCTGCATTTCTGTTTTCTGTGTGTTGATGAGAGTCTCTGTCTTTGGGTATATGGGGTTTGTGTGTGGGTGGGGGTGAGGGGTTTGTGTGTGTGTGTGCGTGTGTGTGTGTGTGGGGTGGGGGTGAGGGGATTGTGTGGGTGGGTGGGTGGGGGGGGGATAGATTTGTTCCTCTGCTGTTGTGGTCTGTGTCCCCTTTCACCTCTGGGCACACTTGGCAGTGTGCTTTGCGCAATGCAGGAGAGAGGGCGTTTCCAATCTGATCTGAATATTCCTGTGAGCTAAAGTGTTCAGATCTGAACAGGCAAGACAGGGAATAGCCATCACCCTCCACCCCCCCACCCCCACCAACACACACACACACATCCACTTCCTCGTGTGTGGATTTCACTGAAATCAATCAAACCACAACTTTGGAGCAAAAGAACGTATGATCACATTGAGAAATTTGTATTTCATGTTTCTGTGCAAACTCCTCTCTTTCTCTCTCTCTTCTCCCCCCCTCCCCACCCTCCCCACCACCACCTTCCTCAATTTACTTTCTGAAAGTAAGATTAATAAAACAAAACTTAGAGGGATTAAGTGGATAAATCGCTCTCAATTTACTTGCTGAAAGTGATCTGTGCAGATCGATAACTCGCCCAGACCCTGCACTTGTATGGGAATCTTTCTTTTCTCTCTCTCTCTCTCTGTCTCTGTTTATCTGTTTATAGCAGCACAGCCTTGGCACGCACATTGGATTGCAACCCAGTGGCAGAACTTGCTTCAAGAACAATACCTTTAGAATAGACAATTTACTGCTGAAGTTTATTTAAAATGGAATAATCCCATCCACTGGTTTCTGACACACCCACACTACACCCCAAAACTTTGGAACTCTCCCTCAATCACTCCACCTTGCCCCCTCCTTCCCCATTTTCAGATCATACCTGAAGAAGACCTTCCTCTTCGACCGTGCTTATGGTCTCCTCCTCCAGGTTCGGCGACAGGCTCCGCCAATGTTAAGCGATCCGAGACGCTACCCCGCATGAAGAGAGCTGTGTAAATCCAAGTTGTTGTTGTTGATGATGGGAGCACAGTTGATTCCAAGTGACAAATTCTCTCTCTTGTTTTCCTAGCTGAGATGCACAGACAATTCCCAAAGCTCACGCTGACCGAGATAGATGAGCAAGTCCGGGTGATTGCGGAGAAGGTCTTTGCCTCCGCGATGCAGGAGGAGGACATCAAGGATGCCGTGTCCTTGTTCGACGTGCCCGATGACTGTCCGATCAGCAAGAAGGAGGCCAAGGAGAGGGAGCTGCAGAAGGGGATCACAGAGCAGCAGTCTGAGGCCACCGCAAAGAGGTCTGTGCTGGAGATGTACAGAGGAGAGAATGTCAGTCAGATTCTTGTAACCCGCTGAACCAGCCCCTGTCCTCGTCCTCGCTTTGCGACCCTTCAGGTGTTGGATGGTAAAGTCATTGGTCACATTCCCCTGTTAGAGAGTTTCTTTCACATGCCCTCTGGCCAGAGTGACAGAGGTCACAGAGTGGGTGTGAATCCAGAAACTGTGGTCCACAGGATCCGGACTTCCGAAGAAATCCTTCAGGCCATGTGCGAGCATAGTCCATGAACACCATTGGAGCAGTTGGGAGGGGCGGAAGCATGGGGGAGGAGGGAGCTTGGGAGAGGAGGGAGATTGGGAGAGGAGGGAGCTTGGGAGGGGAGGGAGCTTGCGAGGGGCGGGAACTCGTGAGGGGCAGGTTCTTGGGAGGGGAGATCCTTATTTTAACGTAGGAGTTGTCCCAAGGGTCTGATTGTGTTCCTGTGTTTTTTTTTGCTCTAAGGAAGAGGAGTATGAGGATGATCCGATCCCAATCTTTGTTCTTGCAAATCCCAGCAGCGGATGGAACACTCCCAGTCGTTACCCCGGTCTCATCTCCGCAGTTACCCAATGCTGCATCCTCTCTGTTAGTTGACATACAACTGCCCTACGATGTGCCTGAATTTCAGAGAGTGACTATCACAGGAGACTACTGCTCGGGGGTAAATAAGCTGACGATTATCTTCGCACTTGATACAGCGCCCACAATGTTGAAATTTTCAAAGTGCATTGCAGTTATTAATAATAATCCTTGCATTTGATACAGCGCCTCATCACGTCATTGAGACGTCTCAAAGCGCTTCGCAGAATATATTGTAAAATAGATTGACTGTGTATTTTGTAGGTGAAACGCGGCAGCCATTTGCACACAGCAGTGTCCGACAAACAGTCACGGATTGAGTGACCAAAGTTGTTTTTTTTTGGGTTGGATTATTAGCCCCAGAAAGACTAACAGTAGGTCCCTACGCTCGGTCCAAAAGAGGCATGTGGAGTAAGCCTGCCTTAGGCTTCGACCAACCTGGGTCCTCTCACTTGCGAGGCGAGTACTCCAACCACTTGCTGGGGAACTCCACAAAGTGTAGACAAAATGCAATTGCCAATTTGCACACAGCAAGTCTACAAACATCCTACAACCTTTCCTTTATCCATCTTTAAAATCCCACCTGAAAACCTGCCTCTGTTGTCCCATGGTCATCTTCCCTCTCCCCCCTGCTCCATTGCTCGGGGTCCAACCCCGAGAGGTTATCCTATGTGAAGGTCACTTTATAAATTCAAGTTGTTGCTGTTGAAGCTCTTTGAGGCGTCCTCCCGACGGGAAAAGCGCTTTGTTGAAAACTGCTGTGTGCAATCGGCTGCCGCGTTTTGCCCACAAAATATACGTTGTAAAGTCAATCCGCTTCATGATATATTCTGTGAAGCTCTCTGAGATGTCTAAAGACAATGGTGAGGCACTATACCAAATGCAAGAATTATTATTGATTGTAACAATAATTACATTGAAGTGTTATTACATTCACGGCCCCTCCTATCTTGCCTAATTCAAGGCCCATCTCGAGACGCCTAATAGTAATCTCTCCAAAAAAACAAAATAATAATAAATTGATCATTTTCAATCTACAACTGTTTGTGGGACGCTGCTGTGCGCAATTGGCTGCCGCTTTCGCCCACAAACATACAGTCAATTCACTTTACAGTATATTCTGTGAAGCGCTTTGGGACGTCTAGAAGACGTGAAAAGCGCTATATCAAATGCAAGGATTATTATTATTATAAGATCTTCCTCTTTGACCGCGCCTCAGGTCACACTCCTATCTCCACCCTCCCTGCTTTCTGCCCAACCTGATCCCAACCGCCTGCTCGGGTTCACAACCTTCGCAGTCCAGCACTGTGTGATGTCCTTCTGCCCTCTTGCTCGGGTCCCGACCCCTGACTGTCCAGCACCTTGGGACCTCCTCCCAATGTGAAAGGTGCTCTATAAATGTCATTTGTTGTTGTTGTTGTTGTAATTATTTGTTGTTGTTCTGAACTCGTTTCAATCTCCGCTTTGTCCCAGATCACAGTGGAGGATTATGAACATTCGGCCAAGGGGCTCATCAAAGCCCTGTTTATCCGGGAGAAGTACATGCGCCTCGCCTACCAAAGCTTCCCCAGGACCACAGCCCAGTTCCTGCGCATACTTGAGAACGAAAAATGGACAGATGAAAATGAGGTGCTGCCAGGTAAACTGGCTCAGGAGTTTCCAGCTGGCGAATGGGTTGGAGGAGCGGAGTCTACCATTCAGGCCACAACATGGAGGGTCAAGCTCTCCGTGCTGGGCTAGCTCATCTCAGCCAGCGAATTAGATGGCGGAGGGGGGGGGCAAGACGGTTCTCCTCGCACACACTAGGCCAAGGAGGGTGACACGCAGAGGGTTTTAGCGGGCTCTGTCGTGTTGTGGACATCTGCTCCGTTCAGGCAGACGTTAAAAATCCCACAACACAATTCGAGGGAAAGGGAATTCCTCTCTCAGGTGTCCTGGCCAACATTCCTCTCCCAGATAAAAATGGTTGCTCTCTTCATGGCTGTTTACGGGAGGCGCATTGCCCTGCGCAAGTTGGCTTCCGCTTTGGCCTACAAAACACAGTCACTCCACTTTGCAGTAAATCCTGTGAAGCGCTTTGAGCCAGGCTCGTGGCATGAAAGGATTATTTTTGAAGAAAAGATATCATTAGCTGTTCAAACTTTTGCTTGCAGGGTTAACAGGAGCCGAGTGAGGGGAATCCCGAACCCCCAATAGACCTTGTGATGCTTAAGCGCTTTGGGACGTCCTCCCGACGTGAAAAGAGCTATATCAAATGCAAGGATTATTATTATTATTATATTATAGAGTGGGTTTGAGAAAAGTGCATTCCCTTATGTACTGAGGACGTGTTCTGAATGTCACTTCCTTTGGCCTGCTGGTGGTAGATTTCACAGTAAAGTGGATGTGGTCTTAATATTTGCACACAGCAAGGCTACGCTCTCCTTTATCTTTCACAAATGCGATGCACGTACTGTGGCTGAAATACTGGGCGGAATAGATAAACTGCACCCGTAGCATCGCAGCTTCATAAAGTCCACTGAGTAATGCCACATCTCAGTCGCACCACTTTACAGTAAAATCCTGTGACGCGCTTTATAATATAATATTATATTTATAATATAATAATAATCCTTGCATTCAATATAGCGCTTTAACATGCCATTGGGAGGTCTCAAAGCGCTTCACAGGATTTAAAGTGAATTGACTGTGTATTTTGTGGGCTTTGAAACATCTCGACCGCGTGATAAGGTGCTGTATCAAATATAAGGTTTATCATTACCGTAGTTAAATGGCACGAGGAATTCAATTCATTACGTTTTGCCATCATGGTATGCTGTGCCAACTATGAAGAGGAAAGTTCCTTTATCTGTTGCACCTAACTTTTTTTTTTCTTCTGTGTTTTCTGTGCGTGTGTGTGTGTGTGTTTAATGCTGAGCAGATATCTGCCCACCTCCTAGAAATGGAGAGGATCCTTACAGCTTCAGTGACATTCCAGAGAACACAGAATGGGTGGCCAAGTTGAAGGACGGAGTCATCTTCGTCTACGACAACAAGGAGAAGCTGGAGAAGGACATACCGAAGAGCCTTCCCTACCCCGACCTGGAGACCTTCACCCTGGACTTCAGTCACATCCTTGCCCTCATCGCTGATGGTCCCACGTATGTGGTGATGATGGGGCGCTGAGGAACCATGGGTCACTGAGAATGCGCTGTGAATCATGGAGTCACAGTTTGGGAGCGCCGTGTTCGGAGTGCGGTGTTCCAATCCCGATGCTAAGTGTACAATTTGCCAAAGGCCTAACGGGTAACATGGTCTTAGCGGCAGTGCTCCCATTGGCAAGCTGTGCAGTTCGGGTTTTAGCTGGTTAAACTCCAGAAGATCACCCCCACCCCACCCCCACCTAAAGCTCAAGTGTTGGCTCTAACCAACCTATCTGCATCTGCCACCGCAGGCCAGGATATTGGGAAAGCTCCCTCTTTTCACGGAGAGTCACGGGGATCTTTGACATCCACTTGACCAGGCAAGACGGGACCTCGGTTCAACAACATTTCCGTTGTGAAGGACGTCACGTAGCGCTTCTAAGTCACGTTCTAAGTCTCAGCAAAGGGGAGGGGCGGTGCGGGGAGGGAAGAGGGGAGGAGAGGTAGAGAAAGAAAGGAAATGTACTTGATGAGCAGATGTTCTTGACTTACCAACCTCGGTGACCACATTGCCACCTTGCTCCCCAGGAAGACATACTGCCACCGGAGACTGAACTTTCTGACGTCTAAGTTCACCCTGCACGAAATGCTGAACGAGATGGCAGAGCTGAAGGAGCTGAAGAGTGTGCGGCACCGAGACTTCTATAACGTTAGAAAAGTAAGTGATGAGAAGGAGTGGGGGCTGGGCATGTGGGTGGGTGGGGGGGTGGGGGTGGCGTGGGGCGGGTGGTTGGGGAGTGTCAGCATTTTTTTCAGCCCCCCCTGGAAAGTATATTCCGATGCTTTGCATGTTCTGGGGTGTTGCTTACCCCCACTCCTCTCTCCCCCCCCCCGCCTCCCCCTCCCTCACTCCCACCTGGGCCTTGGCTCTTGCCAACATGCAGCTAATACTCTTCGGAAATAGATAAGGAGGATGCTTCCCTCAAGGGGGAGAGAGTACGCATTCCAATTCCAAACACAAGGAGATCGCCATGCGTAGGTGGCCTACGTATATGGAATTCCCACGGGGATAATAATCCTTGCATTTGATCACGTTGTTGATCATCGCGTATTTTGTGGGTGAAACGCGGCAGCCAATTGCGCAGAGCGGCGTCCCCACCAACAGTCGTGGATTGAGTGACAACAATTTTACTATTTTTTTTAAGTCATTATCGCCCCCAGAAAAGCGCTTCTGTAAAGCGAACTGACTATTATATTGCGAGCGAACGTACATACACGATGCGTTTCTGAACGTGTCAGACCAAAGACCGCAGGAACGAAAGCTCCAGCGCTTTCAGCCGTAAGATCGCGGTGTTGGAATCGTGGCTCGGTGCGGTTGAGGTCCCCGGTGTTCGTCACTAGCCACGTGTTCCTCGGCGGCCGAGAACTCTCTAAAGGCCTCTGTTTAAGTGCAGGTGGACACCCACATTCACGCCGCCGCCTGCATGAGTCAGAAGCACTTGCTGCGGTTTATTAAGCAAACCAGCAAAGATGAACCTGACCGCATTGTCCATGAGAAAAGAGGCGAGAAGATAACACTGAGAGAACTGTTCGCCAATCTCAAAATGGATCCTTACGACCTAACCGTGGACTCGCTGGATGTGCATGCGGTGAGATGATTTCCTGTTGGTTGATAATGTCACGCTTGTAAATAATAATAATAGAATAATAATAATGATCCTTGGCATTTGCTATGGTGATTTATCACGTCTTCGAGACGGCTCAATGCGCTTCACAGAATATACTGTAAAGTGAACTGACCGTGTATTTTGTGGGTGAAATGCGGCAGCCAATTGCGCACAGCAGCGTCCCACAAACAGCCGTGGGTTGAGTGACAACAATTTTACTTTTTTTTTAAGTGACTAAGCAATTCGCCAATTGACTTAACAACCGGGTTCCTACTTACTGCTGGGTAAACAGAGCTGTGTAGAGTAAAGAAACTTGCTCAACGTTTCGCCCTGTCGGGAATCGAACCCAGATCCTCTCGCTTGGGAGGCGAGTCTTCTAACCATTAAGCTACAGGACTCCGCAAATCACTTTTTATATTAACTTAAACTTGTTTTTTTTTAAAAAAAGTTATTTCAGATTCACCCGAGGGCTCCTCACAACTAGTGTGAAGTTCATCTCGAAGAGGCCGCTCTGAGATTCAGAGAGAGTCTGCAGGGCTCAGACTCTATGAATCCTTTTCGAATGTCTCAAACTAGTCCTCTGTCTTCCCTCGACAAAGACGCCACAAATCGCGTTACACAGCTTATTCTAATGTATGATAATAATAATAAATTATAAAAATAATAATCATATTGATCTACAAATTGAATGTGGACACATGTGCCAGTACAACACAAACATAATTCCTATAGTCATTGGTACAAGTGGGACTGTTAATAAGACTATTCAGAAACGGGTTGACAAAATACACGGTGAACAAACTATCAACGTCCTGTAAACAGCAGCTATTTTAGGAAGTTACATTCTAAGAAAAGTAACATCCACTCATGTGTAACATGGCAGTGTTATTGGTCTGGCTGATCATCACTGAAAACCACTTTGAATTCAATCTACGGTGATTTAAACTGTAATAACATAATGATAATCCTCGCGTTTGATGCACCTCCTTTCACGTCACGTGTATATTTTACAGGCGAATGGAGCAGCTGATTTGCGCACAGCAATGTCCCACAAACAGCCATGATGTGAATGACCAATTCTATCTGGGGGATTCTTCTCCAGGACACCGAGAGGGAGAAACTCCCTTCTCTTTACCAGGAGTCACGCAGATGGGCTTATAAAATATATAAAGATATATGTTTTATATATGTTTATATGTGACAGGGTCGCTGATCGAGCAGCACTAACGCGGGTTTTATTATTATTATTATTAATTCATTAAATATTTACACCTTTCCTTTCCAGGGTCGTCAGACATTCCACCGATTTGATAAATTCAACTCTAAATACAATCCGGTCGGGGCGAGTGAACTGAGGGACCTTTACTTGAAAACTGATAATTACATGAATGGGGAGTACTTTGCTCGTATCATCAAGGTAAGATGTGTTGAAAAGTGTATCCGACCACAGAGCAGTTATTGCAGTGGATCAATATTCACCGAACAATTTGCACAACAACTTGCATTTATATAGCACCCCTTATGCAGGATGGAGCCCTACATTGCTTGAGAACCAACCATAAAACATACAAACTGCACCATCACCATCTGGTGGAGTCCTGTAGCTCAGGGGTTAGAGCACTCGCCACGCAAGAGAGAGACCTGGGCTCGATTCCTGGGCAGGGCGAAATGTTGGGCAAGTTTCCTTACTCCACACACCTCTGTTTAACCAGCAGTAAGTAGGAACCCTGCTGTTAGTCCATTGTTGGATCGCTTTTCCGGGGATAATAATCCCCCCGAAAAAAAAATTGGGTTCCATGATGTGAATGACCAATTTGAAAGGTTGGGCTGTAATGGCTTAATGATGCTTTGGCTATAAAGTCAATGGGTTGCCTATACTTGGGTACAGTGACCATTGTACCAGCTACTCCCTGTACACAACTGGGTGCGTTTAGCTCTTCATTCACTACCGTGTGCTCAAGGCTTCTTCTTACAGCATGTTTCTGCTTTTTGTGAACAGGAGGTTGCTCACGAACTGGAAGAAAGCAAGTACCAGCATGCAGAACCCCGCTTGTCCATCTACGGAAGGTCACCCAACGAATGGACCAATTTGGCCAAGTGGTTTATTGACCAGAAGGTGTACTCGCCAAACCTTCGCTGGATCATTCAGGTTCCTCGGATTTAGTAAGTTCTGGGGCTTTGCGTAAGATCAGTGAAGTAACTAGCACTTAACCAGCTCACTTGATTAGTGGACCAACAACAACAACTTGCATTTATGGAGAACCTTTGCACCTTTCACCGAGAATAATGTCTCAGAACACTTTACAGTGGTGGGGACAGGTGCCAAGCCGAGGCGGGGGGAGAGGGGGGTGGGGAGGAGAGGAAGAGAGAGGAAGGAAGGAAGGAAGGGAGGAAGGGGAAGTGTCAACTGGGCTCAGTTCGTAGCACTCTCGCCTCAGAGGCAGAAGGTAATGGGTTCAGTTTAGGCTGACACTGCAATGCCTTGCTGGGGGAAGCAATGCATTATCAGAGGTGTAGACCTTCCATTGAGATGTTAAACCAAGGTCCCATCTGCCCGTTCAGGAGGACGTTAAAGATGTCATTTAGAAATACCGTAAATTAGACCCCCTCATAACATATATGTATTTATATATTTTTTTAAACGTCTGCAAGTAGACTATGAAATTAAAGGAACATCAAACATGTAAAATAGACACTTGGTTGGCAGAAGTGGAACATGTGCAGAATTGTACCGTGCGATCCATCTCACCTGACATTTGGTTGATTCCAGCGATATATTTCGATCGAAAAATATCCTACCCAACTTTGGCAAAATGCTGGAGAATATCTTCATGCCTCTGTTCGAAGCGACCATTAACCCCAAGAAAAACAAGGAGCTTCACCTTTTCCTGAAATATGTACGTACTCCCAAGTTATCCATCCTCTCATTTTGTTGTTGTTGATATTGTTTAGTATTCTCAAGCCTAATATATATCCCAAAAATACTGCTTTATTATGAATTGCCCTGACATTAGGTGGCTCCGTGTTTTATATTCTTATTAGCTTTAAAGCACTTATTTCAGTTGGTAAAGAAAGTATTTCACAATGGCCAGGGATGCCACAGGAGAAGGGAGCAATCAGTTGTCCAAAGACGGTATATTTGTCTCCTCGGACCCCAGCGTGGTATTTGGGTGAATTGGGGGGCTGTTAGTAACAGTGTCACGTTGGCTTTTTCAGGTCACTGGCTTCGACAGCGTTGATGACGAATCCAAGCACACCCCTCACATGTTCTCATTAAAGAGCCCGAGACCTGGAATGTGGACAAATGAGCAGAATCCCCCTTACAGCTGTTACTTGTACTACATGTACTCAAATATCATGGTGCTCAACAACTTGAGAAAGTAAGTATTCCCTGAAATCTTAGAGCTTTAATCAGCCCACAAAATACCCTAGTTGCGCCTTTCATTGGGGCGATTCTAAGGATCCCTGCTGATTTGGAAAGAGTTGAGAATGACAGGGACATCCGTAGGGTCAATTGCAGGGGAGAAATATTGTCGCTCCCATTGTCGCTTGCGTTGCAAACACTCAAGTGTTTGATAGCGGTAAAAATATTTTATTGTCCGATTCTCTTTCAGGGAGCGAGGTTTGAGCACTTTCGTATTCCGCCCTCATTGTGGGGAGGCTGGATCCATCACACACTTGGTCTCAGCGTTTCTCACGGCTGACAACATTTCACATGGACTCAATCTGAAAAAGGTACCTGCCCACCCGTTAACAGCACAGAGCCAGGGCGGGCCCCAGCACTGTGAGAAACACAGCGTGATTCATTAAGACTCCAGTGTGGCCCTCTCCACACATTCAACACATCATAAATTTCTTCCTGTCCTTAGCATGAAGACCGTTGTCTTCAAATTTCACACTTGGTGGAATTTTGGGAAACGGACTTCAATTCAGTCTCGATTGGAACCCGATTGGCTGGCGTGTCAATAACAATACAGGTGTTCAGGACTGTCAATTTGATGGGTCAGACAGGGATCGAGTTGGGGGTAAATAGGAAATGTGTAAATAAAAGCAACACTGTTATAAGGTGCACTGTATGAGCATGAGTTCCCTTATTGCATTGGGTTTACTGTGCTGGTCACACTCAGAGAAAACATTTCTGAACTATATCACTCCCATTGTTTGCAGAGTCCGGTGCTTCAGTACCTCTACTACCTTGTTCAGCTCCCCATCGCCATGTCTCCACTCAGCAACAACAGTCTTTTCTTAGAGTACTCCAAGAGCCCACTGCCAGAGTTCCTGCACAAAGGCCTCAAAGTCTCTCTTTCTACAGATGATCCCATGCAGTTCCATTATACAAAGGTAAGTGCCTTCCATAATAATAATACTTACATTTAACAGAGAGCCTCATCTTGTCGTTGATAGCACTTCACAGAATGTACTGTAAAGTAAATTAACTGTATATTTTGTGGGCAAAACGCAGCAGTCAATTGCACACAGCTTAAACAGACCCATAAACAATCATGGATTGAGTGACCAAATTATTATTATGTTCTTTTGGAGGGATTATTACCCTCGGAAAACGATTCGCCAATTGACCAATAACTGGGTTCCTACTTACTGCTGGGCAAACAGGCATGTAGAGTAAGGTAACTTGCCAAAGGTTGTGCCCTGCCCAGGAATCAATGCCGAGTCCTGTCACTTGCAAGGCGAATGCTCTAACCGCTAAGCTGCAGGACTCCTCGACTTCTCATTTTCCTCTAAACATGCTGTTATTGAAAGTTGCTCTTAAAACTCCTTTTTCTGCTTCGCAGACTTAAAATGCGAGCAGGTGAGTACACATATGCAATCAGAGGCCTGTCGGTTGATTTTACCTTTGAAGTTAAGAGTAGGCTTGAAATACTGTTCCCATATCTTGGGAAACTCTTCCATCTGACCAATCCCAGAGTTGCAAAAGAATAACAATCTTTCAATAACACCAACAAATTGGATTGATAGTTCATGGCATATGGATAATGGGGTAATGTATTGCTTTTATTTTGGGATTCAGGAAGCATTGATGGAAGAGTACGCGATTGCTGCTCAAGTCTGGAAATTCAGCACCTGTGACCTATGTGAGATAGCGCGAAACAGCGTGCTGCAGAGTGGGCTGTCCCATATGGTAAGGACACATGAAGAAAACATTAGAGTGTGTTACTGTGACAGATACAGCACAGACATATCCTGCACGCCACAAACGAAACTCTAGCTGTACTTAGTCATTCCCTAGCTAGGTTTGCTAGTTCCTAATGCTACAACAACAAAATTACATTTGTAGAGCGCCTTTCACGCAGGGTAGCGTCCCGGAGCGCTTCACGGTTGCATTCTGACAATCAGCCAGGGGGAGAGGGAGGGGGGAGGTGACCGTAAGCACGATCAAAAAGGTCTTTAGGTGGATTTGAAGTTGGGGAGGGAGGGGGGGTAATAAAGGGATTGAGGGAGAGTTCCAGAGCATAATATCCAAGTCTAAGTGTAGTATCCTTGAGCTGTCTTTCCTCCAGTGCAAATGTTCCAGTTTCTGCAGCTTCTTCTCACAGCTCATGATTTGCTTTCAATTTGCCTTCAAAGGAAAAGCAGCACTTCCTGGGAACGAATTACTTAAAGGAAGGGCCTGAGGGGAATGATATCCGAAGGACAAATGTGGCACAAATCCGGATGGCCTATCGGTATGAGACGCTGTGCACTGAGCTTTCCTTGTTAATTGATGCAATGAAATCAACTGAGATCTGCGCGGCACAAGATTAAAATCGATTACTGATCAAAGGAGTGACAGGAGTATGGAATGGATTAGATTTTGGCAGTCTAACCCAAGTGATCTCTCAATAATGCTATTGATAGTGCACTTGGTTCTTAACTAGTTCACCTCAGTTCTTGTCTCATTATGTACCAAATATTTTAATGCATGCATTTCAAAATATCATGTATGCTATTGAATTACTCGATTGAAATTTACCTATTTTTAAAAAATAAAATGATATCAGAGGATGCAATTTGTCAATATATAGTATATAGCAGTCTATAAAGTGTGCAATACATCAGTTGTAAATTAATCCATACAGATTATCTTTCCAGAGTAAAGTATGCATTCATTTCTTCCCATATTTACTGAAATACTAATTCAGTCAGAGGATAGTTAAGAGTTGACTTAAGGTGTTCTGAGCACTTTGGTATTGGGGAGGTGGATTATCTTTGAATGTTATGTTCATTTTTATAATTTTACAAATAAAGGCTCATTGAATTGCATCCAGTATCCATTCATATAACTCACAAGAATACCAATCAAGGGAAATTTAAACTAGAAAACAAAGACATCAGCCTAAATGCCATTTACAGTGAATTTTGTTGATACCTGAATTTGTAGACTTGTGCAAGTGAAGCCCTTTGCTTATTCAGTGTTACTTTAAGGAAATGAACAATCATGAGACTGCATGGGACAACATGTTTTATTGTACTAAATCTAATAGTCAACCCCACCCCCACATGACCAAATAAACAAACAAGTGTTTCCAGAGTTTTAAATTAGAGAAGTTATTATTTTAGTGTAAACAAAAAGCAGCGGGTTAATAATTCGTAGTAGTCAACCTAGCTCATTGGTATGTAATTAAAGAATTAAAGTGCGCAGGCTACATCTCACTTTCAAATCCTGGGTATCAAACAAGCAAGTCTGTGCTAAGATCATATTAAGATCAAACAGTTCCATGAACTTCAACTTCTTCCAATCCCCAACAGAACCAGAGAGCAGACAATAGTAAGCCAGACTATTTTGCAAGCAAGAAACTAACTCACGAGTCATGACTTAATACCTCAAAACGGTTCAAGATTTGTTTTAGGCCGATATTAATTTGAGTTTTTCACTATTCAGTGTAAACCTGATTTGTATTCGTGTAATGTAACAGTGTTTGAACTATGAAGTATGTCAATCATGTGCTATTTCACAGAAGCACTCTCCAATCTCAAAATATTTCATGAAAGATCTTGTTTAACAAAAAGGTTCTATCCATGTTGTCACAAAATGAATAGCAGCGAATGGCCTTCCTCTTAACAGGCCTTCTGTTAAAAAACAGCACAAGCTATTTTTTGTGAAGAAAGGGGAGCAGACGACTCCTACAGTAGAAGGTAAATAAAATAGGATGCTTCAATGGAAATGGGGAGGGGGGGAGGGACAAGAGAGAAAGAACAAAACACATTCACTCACATAATATAATAATCCTTGCATTTGATACAGCGCCTTATCTCGTTGTTGAGATGTCTCAAAGCACTTCACAGCCTGTGATTTCAGGGCAATTGGCAGGTTATCATCTACAACTAAATTAAGGTGTATTAAAGTTGCCCATGTGTGCAGGGCAAAAGGCAATACAAACTCAGTATTCGCTTCATCAAAGCAAAACTCCCAATACAAATCATTAAATTCCAATGTTCTTGTTGCCAACACAAAGCTGAATGTCTGTAAGCTACGACCATTATTAAACCTCAAAGTTTCTTGAGTTCCAATCCAAAACAGGCAGGTTAGGTTCTAAGAGATCAATACTGTTTATATTTTGGCCTCATTATAGTAAACCACCAGTTTATTCCTCAATCATGAGTTTGTAAAATCTAAATATAATCTTATAACCCATTCACAAAGCAAAATCCCTAATCTAGTCTTAACAATTTACATTACATTTTGTTCACTCCTTAGCAAGCATGAAAAAACATAATCAAAAAATATTTAAATCTAGAGCGAATCAAAAATCAATTGAAAATGCCAGTTTGGTACTCACAGCTTCCATGCATTGAACTACAGTGAACTCTACAGACATAAAGTGCATGAATATCAAGTTATAACTTTTAGCCTTTAAAAGTCAAACAGTGCTACAATTGAGCTTTTCCCCGATGTGAAGTGGTATGAGCAGATTTCCATAGAGGACTTGCTGGATATACAAAATAATGCAGTGATTGTTATGAAATGTATTGCAGACATTGATGTATAATGTAAAGATGTACCAAAAACAAACAATTCCTGCACGGATTTGTCCACTTTAACCAATATAGACAAAAACACAACTGAGAACTTCAGATATGTTTGGCAGTCTACCTCAATACACGATCAAACGGGCAGTAAAACCGAAAGATGCTATTCAGCCATTATGGCCTCAATGCTGGTAAAACTTGTTAAAAAGCACATTTTCTTTGACAAGGAGCCGAACGAAGGAGCCTTCTTCAGTTACACAAGGTTTAACCCTCATTAGTCTTAGGGCTTGTGAGGCTGCCCGGCCTCATCTGCTAGATTAAGAATGTAACTTGCTATGTCCTCTTCAGTAGGTGCTTCAGATACGACCCAAGAATCCCCGGCTTCAGTCACTTGCAGTCGGCAAATTGGACAATTCCTGTTGCGATCACTCCTGTTATAAAATTGAATAGCGTATGAAACTCCCCCAATCAATATGAAATTTCCCACTCAACAGTTTTTAAAAAAAACACAAAGCTACACCCAACTTAATCAGCCTAGCATATAATGTCCCTAAGTAGGGGAGATCTTAAAATATAAATTCAATTATTTTCACAGCTCACAGCAATATATTTCAATATATATTTTATCTTCTATGGTGGAATACGGCAGGAATAAAACCTTTTGTTCTCATATGAGATGTCCACAGTAGTTTAACCTCAAAATGTTAAAAAGATTACATTTATTAAGAGAAAATAAAACGCTAAGTAAAGATGTACAGAGAAGGCTAAAGGGTATTTTCGTGTGAACGAAAATAAATCTTGAGGCTTTTAATATTCACAGGACACACCACTTAAGCAACACCAACTTTTCATATCCACTATTTCCAGAAACCCAGATTATATTTTATCAGGTGTTTTTTTTATTTTTGCCTACAAGGCTGGAATGTGAAAAACCAACAGGCTTACCATTTATCAATGCATTTCTGACAGAAGCTGTGAGCGCAGGGCAAAATAAGGTCAGCGCGACCATCCATGCAAATGCAACATTCTTCTTCATCGGTCATCTGCTTGATCCTGCAGAATGCACAAAACAATGTTGGCACAGTATCTGATGAATAAAGGAACTTCATACAATCACATCTTTCACCTCCAAATTATTCCTTCTGCAATGCTCCATTCTTTACTTGAGGTGAGACTACCAGCTTCCATGGTTCTGCCAAAAGAACCTTTTTTTAATCTGGCCATCTTTGATCTACTTGATGTAAATATTAATACTTTCTTAATGAATAATCTTTATTTGTTAGGAATGCAATAATACTTAAAGCTTTAAGCAGACTTGCAACAACTTGTTGCTCACCTGGCGAAATTTCTCCCACTTAAAATTTGAACTATTCAGGAAAGTAGTTGCCACTGAATATTGCCCAAAATGATATATTGCCCAAAATGATATGAAAACATTTTAGCAAAAGTAGAAAAATATGCACCGTTAACTGCAGATATAAATATGTTTAACGTTAATACGTAAAAAGCTTAGAGAATTATTATATTACTTTATTATTGGTACTATAGTATTATTGCTATTATATTGATTCAAAATAGATTTTTCTTCAAAACTTCTTTATTTGGTGCATTAGCATTATGTTGTTTAAGATCAGAAAACCCAAAAAAGATAATTTATTGGGCTCGTATGGATTTATTTACATATCCATATCCTCTCTATAAGCAACATGGTTAAGGAGTGGACAGTCTTATATGAAGAATTTGGCACCATCGTGTGGTCTTTATAGACCAAAGCAGACAAGAATAAGCTTCAGTCCTCCTGGTACTGTAGCACCGAAGCTTGTTCACATATACACACAATGTTTTTTAAATGCACCAACCTTGTTGTTGGTTAAAGCAATAGTAAATAATATTACTTTTATAATATCAGAATGATTATGTAACAGCATCTACTGCGGATCTTGTGAAATATATTGTATTACAGAGCATTGAATTGTATAGAATATAAACCATTTTGAGGCTACAAAAGCATTCCGGTATTCTAATTAAATTAAATTGAGCCTGTGCCAAGATGTGGCTTTTGGCAAAGTTAATACAGATTAAGTTACAATATTGCAAATACAAGTTTAATACACTACTTTAGCCAACTCAAAATATTTACTCACTTGCCGAGCCACAGACTGGCATGAGAGGAAGATACTGAAGAAACACCTGCAGTTGTTCCATCAGACATGCTGCTGTCTTGAGTCAGAACTCCACTTGCCTGAACAGTGATCTCCCGATATAGCTGGGTGAACTGATAGAGATTTAAAATTCTGGAGGCATCGATATTTCCAGTCGTCTTGTTTATCTGTTAAAATTATGATAAGTGTACAATTAAAAGCAGCAGAAGCAATGCACAACTGAGTAAAATACACACAGTGTCCCATAAACAGCCAAAGAAACATGCCACTTGTTTCATACCTTTGAGCAAACAACCCGAACAATAATTTTCCAAAGGGCTGAGGAATCAGAGCCAGGCTGTACTTCGAACAATAAGCACTTCTCTTGGCCAGCAGCTAACCTTTCTGTGCTAAGGTGGGTGGAAAATAAAACATTAGTGTCTCACTTCTAAACTGGTTCTTAAAATCTAAATATTCAAAGTTGATTTGGAGCTTGTAAGATAGACTTGAGCCACCTTCCCACAATTACATTTTAAAACCACCACCGTTTTGAAGCCATATGAAACAAAAAGCAATTTATAACACAAAAGGAATTAAACTTACATTTCATTAAGTTCTGCTACTCTGGCAAGAAATTCCTCATACGTCAAGAAGCCACTTTCTCGTACCAAAGCTGCGTGTTTCATCACTTTATCTGGCAATTTATTTAAGACAGTCGGAGTTTGGTTCGAAATATGTTGACCCATCATTCAATGGCAGCTTAGTTGCTGCTAGGGCTAATGGAAGGCTCTAAGTTTTAGTCATTTGTCGATCACCTGTTTTTAAAAAGATATGATGTGAAAAAATTCTATCAACCTCCCTCACAAAATATACTGCGAGCTGTTTGTTTTTAAAAGCAAATGAAATAACATTACTTACCACCCTGAAACAATTATGTTTTGCTTAAGTATTATGCTACAATACAGTGTAGCTTACCGTAGTAACATCCTTCAATACTAGCATTCAATTTTACAACATAAAACAACAAATTACATTTGCATAGCGCCTTTCACGTTGGTCCTGTTCAGTTATCCAGAATGTTTGGTTTCAGTGGGTCTATTTTTGTTCAGAATGCTGTATAAACAATAGGGATGGGGTGAAACCTTATGCAAGTTTGCTTACTCCGGATGCCTCTGTTTATAAGGCACTAAGTAAGAACCAGGTTGTTAATCGATTGGTAAATGACTTTCCAGGAGTAATAAACCCTTCAATAAATAAATTAAAATGACTCAATCCACAAATGTTTGTGGGACACACTGTGCGTGGATTTGCTGCATTTCGTCCACAAAATATACAATTAATTCACTTTACAGTATATTCTGTGAAGCACATTGAAATGTCTCAATGACGTGAACGCAAGGAGTATTATTATTATTACTAAAAATTACTAAATCAGAGCAGAAACCTTTGGACAATCGCATCATTTCCTCATCTTCTCTTACCTATTACTGGTGTCACACACAATCTAGTTACCGAAAGGCATTTAATTGCATAGTTTCCTGCACAGGATGTCACAAAGCAGATTAGAACCATTTGAACCCCAATCAGATTGCAGCATTAAAATCACTCATATGGCATATTTTTAATTTTACATTGAATGTTATGGGTTGGATTTAATTTTGGATCACCCTTTTGTGCCAAACGTAGAAGCTATTTAATAATCTAGAGTCATTGCGCTCTGTGTTACTGACTGAGAAGCACAACATTCAAACCTTAAACTCTGCAATAATCAGTTTGGCTTAACTGATAGCATATTTGCCTCTAGGTCAAAAGGTAGTTCTGCTCCCCACCTCTGTGAGACATCCTGCCAATGTGAAAAGCACTTTATCAAATGCAAGAATTGTTATTATTTTGACTCAACGGTGTTAGTTAAAAAGGATATGTGCTTTTTATGACGTGTGATATGTCAAACTGAAAGGATTCAGGGGGTTGGCAAACAAAAAGCTGTTTCAGTTCTTCCCTGCTTGGAACAAAAAAATATTGAGTTAACAATATAGGGCCATTCCAACTGACCAGAAAATGAAAAGCAGACGGGTCACTCTGAAGAGCCACAGAGTAAACCAGTCTCACCGCCAGCTGCCTCTTCTGTTATTGCCATGGAACAAAATGAGCTCAATGTAAATACGGGATGCAATCACATTGGATGCTCTGTGCACGAGTCGAAAGTTTCATACTTGTTTTACAAGCTGTTAAGTAAAGTTGCTGATTTTCTAGATACTGCTCCCAGTCTCCGCTAGTTAATAGCCAACAGACAAACAAACTACAGTAGGTCACTCACTGTTCATGTGTGCATGGACCCTTTCTTACACCAGCTCAAAAAGCACGAACCTAAACCTTGTCACGATTTAGGGCCGATTCACGCCCAAATGGGCGTGTTCTTGTTAATAATAATAATAATAATCCTTGCATTTGATATAGCGCTTTTCACGTCTTCCAGACGTCTCAAAGCGCTTCACAGAATAGACTGTAAAGCGAATTGACTGTATATTTGTGGGCGAAACGCGGCAGCCAATTGCGCACAGCGGCGTCCCCCGCAAACAGTCGTGGATTGGATAGAAAATGACCAGTTTATTATGTTCAGGGTTTTTTCGGGGGGGGGGGGGGGGGTTACCATCGGATTGTTATTGCGGAGTAAGGAAACGTGCCCGAGGTTTCTCCCTGCCCGGGGAATCGAACCCTGGTCCCTCGCTTGCAAAGCGAGCGCTCTCACCCCTGAGCAAGCTTAGCTTTATTTTAAAAAAAGAAAATGCTGAATTTAAACGGGCAAAAGGTCTCCAAACCCCCCCCCCGCCCCCCACACAAGATTTTTCTTAACACACACACACACACACACACACACACAGAGTCTCTGAGTGACTGCCACCGGTCACCCCACAGGCGGCGGTGATTGGGCTACTTTTGGGCTCGTGTTTTGATGGACTTTGGGCTACAAACGTTATGTGCCGTTTCCGGCAAACCCTCTGCGGGGGCTATGGTCCGGGAAGGAGACAACTGCGCGACTGTGTGTGGGAGGCTGTGTGGGGATGGGGGCATCTCGCGAAGTAGGGGTGTGTGTCAGGGGAGCCTGGCCCGGGGGAGGGGGGGGCTCAGCAGGGCCCTGTCACAAGAGTCCGGGGAACGCCTCACCAGGCCCGCCCTCGCCTCCATCACTTCTTTGTCGCGAAAAATCCTCCCTCACTCCCTCCACACGCACACACAGAGTGAGTGAGTGAGTGAGCGGTGCCCCCTCCTCCCTGTCTCTCTCACCTGGGCGCCGCTCTCATTCCTCGCCACGGGCCCGCCCGCCCTCGCGCCGAGACGCTGAGACGTCCACCAACCGCCGCAGCGCGAGACTTCCCGCGCGCGCAGGCGCACACCACACCACCCCCCGCCCCCGCCTGAACGCTCGCTGAGCGCATGCGCAGGCGTTACCGGCCGCTCACCCCGTCGTGACGTCGCAGCTCGCGGGTCCTCACGCTCGGCGAAGGTGGTGTCGACCACAGAGAGAGGGGGAGCGTGAGAGAGGAGAGAGAGGAGAGGGAGTGTGAGAGGGGGAGGGAGGGAGTGTGAGAGGGGGAGGGAGGGAGTGTGAGAGAAGAGGGAGTGAGAGAGGAGAGACAGAGAGGGAGAGAGTGTGAGAGAGGAGAGACAGAGAGGGAGAGAATGTGAGAGAGGAGAGACAGAGAGTGAGAGAGGGTGAGTGTGAGAGAGGAGGGACAGAGAGAGAGGGGGGAGTGAGAGAGACAGAGAGGGAGAGTGAGAGAGGGAGTGTGAGAGAGGAGAGACAGAGGGAGAGAGGAAGTGTGAGAGGAGAGACAGAGGGGGAGTGGGAGTGTGAGACAGGGAGGAGAGACAGAGAGGGACTGTGAGAGAGGAGAGACAGAGAGGGGGTGTGAGAGAGGAGAGAGAGTGTGTTAGAGAAAAGAAACAGAGACCGAGAGAGGAGAGGAAGTGTGAGAGGTCGTGAGTGTGAAAGGAGAGTGAAAGAGAGGGAGTGGGAGTGGGAGAGGGGGATATCAGAGAGAGTGTGAGAGGAGAGAGAGAGAGAGAGGAAAGAAGACAGAGAAAGAGAGTGGGAACTGGAAAGAAGAAGAAAAAAGAATCAAGTTGTTCCCGTGTTCTGGAAGGTCATCCTAGAAGTGAGAGAGAAGGAAATAAAAGGAAGAGAGAGAAGTTGAGGGAGAGACAAGGAGATGAGAGAGAGAAGATAAGCTCAGAGAGGGGGGATGAGGTGAGGAAGGAAGAAAGGATGACAAAGAGGGAGAATCGGGTGAAGTAGGGGAGAGGATGAGAGAAAAGAAAGGGGGATGGCTCTGCTTTGGCAGCATATTGCCACTGAGAACAAAGATTGTTACCTCTTTGTAAAACTGGCTAATTTTTCTTGATCATGTATTTAAGGGAAGTGTGAATTATGCTGTAAGCCGCTGTCAAAACGTGCTGGAAATGTTCTTGTAAAGTCACAATCTGCGAGTCTTACATCACGAGGCGGTAGCTGGCAATCACCATATGATGACTTTACAAAATGTGTAAATAATAACAATCCTTGCATTTGATATAGCGCTTTTCACATCTTCTCGACATCTCAAAGCGCTTCACAGAATATACTGTAAAGTGAATTGACTGTATATTTGTGGGCGAAACGCGGCAGCCAATTGCGCACAGCAGTGTCCCACCAACAGTTGTCCCACCAATTTCTTATTTTTTTTGTTTTGGAGGGATTATTAGGCGTGTGGAGTAAGGAAACTTGCTCAAGGTTTCGCCCTGCCTGGAATTGAACCCAGGTGTCTCGCTTGCAAGTCGATTGCTCTAACCACTGAGCTACAGGACTCCACATATATTGCAAGTGCACCAAAATCCTTGTCTAAAAATGGTACATGGTTGTCAGTACATTTCAGACTTGCTGAAGGTCCTTGCTTATGGGTATCAAATGTTCAGTATGTCCCCCAGATAGGAATCCAGAACAAGGGGGCATAATCTTAAAATTAGAGCTAGACCAGTAAAAAGTGAAAGCAGGAAGCCTTTCACAGAAGGGGTTATGGAAATCTGGAATTCTCCCTAAAAGGCTGTGGATACTGGAATTTTCAAGACTTAGGTGAATAGATGTTTGTTATTTAACAACAACTTAGATTTATATAGCGCCCTCCACGCCGGATGGCGTCTCAGAGCACTTTGCTTCTGAGTGCTTCGCAATTTAAGAATTGCAAAGGACAGGGAGAAAAAGGCAGGTAAATGGAATTGAGGTACAGATCTAGTAGAGTGGTGGAAGAGGCTTGAGGGGCCGAATGGCCTACTGTTCTTTTATCTGTTTGTCGTCAGTAACCCCCACCCCCCAACCGGAAATCCTGGATTGGAATAGAGTTTAACCTGCAGGAAAATGGGTCACAAAATGGTCTGAATAGCTGGGGCAGGAATGGGGACCTTTATGATAACTATATTCAGGCTCTTGCTATCAGCGATTCTGTAGCTGCTCAGTGGATGCACAGAAAACCCACCTCTTGCTTGACCTAATGGAAGTGTTCAGCATTTCAAAGGGAGTTGATAAAACACTAATAAAGGCTTGAAAAAACTTGTGACATCATTTGAAAGTCTTGCCAAAAAATGATAAGCATTACTGAACCCACTAACACAGCTTTATTTTCACCTGTGGGGCTGTCAAGTGTAAATCACTTTGTTGGTGTTTTCTTGGTGACAATACTGTCCAGGGAAGTGGCTGAAAGGAATTACTGCTGGCAGTGTGGTGAATTGTATGTATTTGATGTATATCTTAAATTGTTCAATACTGTACATGAAAAAAGGAAATAGTCAATTAAATTAAAAAATAAACACCCACTTAATTGTCTTTAGAGATACTCCAAATCGATTGCATATTTTACTTGAAAAGTCGGGTTGCAAATTATAGTGCAAGTGCAAATCACAGCTCAATGTCACTTATGTCACTCTGGATAGTTTCTTGTTGATGTATTTCTGTTAGTCCAAATTAAGCGATGGAGAAATCTTATTTGTGATCAGTGTTATACTGTGTTCTTTGAGAACTAGAGGATTCTTGTGGAAACGTCAAAGTGATATTTCATATTGCCGATTGCGAGGACTTATTATTGTGTCCAAACAGTTTGTGAAAATGAAACTCATTTGGAGATTACTTGTAAAATTGTAAGTGATTATAGACATAAGAGTGTATAAGGAAGGATACACTGTCAAATCACATAGGTTTGGCCTTGTATATGCACTTGTACTAAGTATCTAATCCAAGTTGAGATAACTGGACCTTTGAACTGTTTGCTTCTTCTAAAAAAGAAAGGCTTTATTGAAGTAGCACTCTTAGCATACAAGATAACTGCTAAACTAAATGTAACTATATGTGTATGAAGATAACAAACAACAACAACAAGATTCCATTTATAGAGCGCCTTTCACGTCGGGAGGACGAACAAAGCCACAAAGTTCTTTCTATTTTATAATACCTATTACAAATGTTTTTTTTACACACAAGCTTGGTTGAATATCTAGGAGACCATCTCAACACAAAGTTCTTTCTATTCTGTAATACCTATTACAAATAATAATGTTTTTTTTACACACAAGCTTGGTTGAATATCTAGGAGACCATCTCAACGTTTGGTTATTTGGAGAGCCTGTGGATTTGGTTGATTGGTGTTTCATTTCAACTAATCGTTCCCATTGTCTACCAAGTTATGGTTCCACTCTTCAATCTCTACGATTTCTTTTGGTGGTACAGCTTCAAAATCAAAGGTGTTCCACCTTTTCCTAGAAGTCAAAGATCTCAGTGTCAATCAAGTACTTTGGGAGACCTCTTGAGTACATTCTGCATTGAGTACATTTTGCCCTAAGGTTTTTTTTTGGCCCTTGGAAGTTTTGTTTCATTGAAAGTTGATATCAGAGTCATGGATAGAAAACCTACTGCAGAATCTGACCAGCTTTACAACCATAGACATTTAAGGGACAGAAGGATTCGGTCCATCACACCAGTCCTCTCTAAAGCTATCCATTTAGTCCCATTCCCTTGCCTTTTCCCACAATCTTTTGCATTTCTCCTTTTCAGATATTCATCTAATTCCACCTTAATGGTGAATATGGATTCTGCATCAACCTCAATTCAATTCCAGACAGGATATTCGACTTCCAAACAACCCTCTGTGCTTAAAATACATCTCTTAAACTCTGCCGAGTCAAAGTCAAAGTTAAAAACAACATTCTCTTCGTCTGCAACATCGTCATTATGCAATGTTTCTTAATATATTTGCTCTTGGGGGATGAGTTGTAAGGGCATCTGCTGTTTTTGGTACCTAAGAAACAGATATATTTGGTTCTGTCTGATGACAGCTGCCTTTGTACCTGACTTCTGCATCCCCAAGCATAGGCACTAGGGGCCGCACTGGTTAAAGGCAAGGCAACAGTGGAACTGCAGTCATTGATCCAAGCTATTATTCCTTTCCAGAGTGACAAAAGAAGCAGTCTTGTAAAAAGACAGCAAGCCCAAGCCTTGGCTCTTGCCAACCTGTGCCTATACCATCTGGATAAGGCAAGACTTACATCCCTAAGGGTAAAGGGCAGCAATGGGTGGGGGGAGGTGTTGCCTGGGGTGACACAGGTTTCAGTGAGGGCCAGGATGTCGATATTTTCAGCAGTGATGGGGTTATTGATGGTCAGAGCCTTGTTTCAGAGGGAGCAGACATTTTGAAGGCCAGTGTGGAGGGGACAGTTGCCAGGGGAATTTGTGAGACGGGAGGGCGTGATGGACTGATTGGCAGGGAGGTTGGGAACGAAGACAAGGAAGAAGAGGTTGGCCCCTGGGGTCTGGGTTTGGTGGGGTTTTTTATAATAATAATAATCCTTGCATTTTGTATAGCGCTTTCACATCTTTGAGACGTCTCAAAGCGCTTCACAGAATATACTGTAAAGTGAATTAACTATATTTGTGGGTGATAGTGGGGAATTGGGCAGTCAGTGTGGCTGCTGCTGGACAGCCAACGCTGAGTGCCATGGTGAGCCTGGCGAAGGATTCCCTAGTTGGAGCAGAGGGAAGCTGTGGGCTGGTCAAGTGGAGATAGAAGGTGAGAGACAGGCAGAGCGGGAGAGTTGCAGGAATGAGGGCATTTTGGGGGAAGGACAATTTGAGTCGGGGGCGGCAGCCAAGATGCGCATGCCAAGACTTGAGGCAGGCAGTTTGTGGGGTAAGGTCAGCACAGTTGCATGGAGACTGGGGGGGGAGGCTAGAGTTGGCGCAAATTGGAGAGAGGGAGCAGGGCTCTCATTGGGTTATCCGCCAGGTTGCCCAACCTAGGAGATAACACTGAGCAGCCCGCAGGGAAAAGAGAGGAGGGGGAGGAGATACAATAAACTATACTATAAGCTATACTATCAGATTCTTGTTTCAATCATAATGTGATTTTTTTATACTAGGATGTGAGATGTTGTCACCTACCACACATCACAACCATGATTTCCAGACTTCCATCATAATAAAACCAAAATATTACATTTTAAGTTCTTTCAAGTGCATTTTGCCAGGCTCCTAGGCAGCATTTAGCACTGTTAAATCATACTTTAAGAAAACTGGCAGGGACCTTTTGGGCCAAATGGCCCATTTCCAAGCTGTTGACTAACATTCTATGAGAGCTCTTACCTTGTCAAATGGCAAACGATGATGACCACAGTGACTATTATCAAAATGGCAGCTAACACCGTCAGAACTATTACCACTAGAAACACACAAAGAGAATAAAGGTTAGACAAGGTTAAGTGAACCAGGTGCTCATGTGAACTGGTTCTTTCGTATGTGATGTTAGAGCAAGATGCATATAGACAGTGGTACAGTAGTGTAAAACACGGAGGAAATAACTTACATTTTTACAATGCATTATCATGTTGAAGCACTTCAAGATACATTTTTGTTATGACTGTTAAGTATAGTAAATCTTGCATTTTGAAGTACCTTACTGCATCATCAAGGCACTTTACAAGATTGCATTGCGAGGTATAGGTGAACGTAGCAGCCAATTTGCACACAGTATGACGAATTTCTATCTGGGAGAAATTCTCTTTTCGAGTAGTGCCTAACATCCACCTGGACAGGCAGATGGGACATCAGTTTAACGTCGCATCCGACAATTCAGCGATCTATCAACACTGCAATGGAGTGTCAGCCTGGACCGTGAGCACCATCAAGGTCTCTACAGGGAGTCCTGTGGCTCAGTGGTTTAGAGCACTCGCCTCACAAGCGAGAGACCTGGGATTGATTCCTGGCAGGGCAAAACCTTGGGCAAGTTTCCTTACTCCACACACCTGATAATAATCCCTCAAGAAAATAAATAATAAATTGGTCACTTCATTCCACGACTATTTGAGGGACACTGCTGTGTGCAATTGGTTGCCGTGTTTCGCCCACAAATATACAATCAATTCACTTTACAGTATATTCTGTGAAGTGCATTGTGATGTCTAGAAGAAGTGAAAGCGCTATATCAAATGGAAGGATTATTATTATAAACAGTCAGTTTTATTAGTGTTATGGGATCTTTAATGCTCGTCTGAAGAACAGGCAGAGGGCACTTTGGTTTGATGATATATCTGAAGGATGATGCCTCCAGCAATGTTCCAGGCTGTACTGAGGGGAGTAGGGGAGAGAATAACAATAGGGGCATTAAACAGACAACTTCAATATATCAAATGATTAAAATATATCAAGGATTCTATAGATTCCTTGTTTTGTTTTGAGTCTCACCCAAACGGTTGGTCTTGTTGTTCATCACTGCTAAGAATAATTCTGTGGTTGAGATGAGGGATGTTGTAGTTGAGATGAGGGGCTTTGTTGCCGAGGTACTGGGGTTTGCACTGGAAATTGGCAGCTCGGTATTTGCTCCTGGAAGTCCATGTGTTTCAGTCTCTAGTTGAGGGGAAGTTTCAGAGGGCTTAACCGATACGGTCTCCGCATGTGTGAGATCCAGGAGAGTTGGCGACGCTGTTTCGATCATACTGATTCCTGTGGCTGTGATTTGCAGTAGTGGCTCACAAGCATTCACCTTATGGGCATCTTAAGAAGGTTGAAACAAACAAATAGTCAGGTCACAGGTTTGCTGTCAATCAATGACCAGACAAGCTTATCAAACGCACAGTCGCTTCAGGGAAAATCAATTAGAAGAGTTCAGACACTAAACTGAACGTTAAAACTCTAATAGTTTCAGATACACCAAGAATTGGTGTATCTGAAACTATTAGAGTTTTATCTGACCACAACCCACAACTTTTTGACTCAGAAGCGAGAGTATTGCCAATTTAGCCAGACTAATATTAATAGATGCAATCTAGTTAAAGACTCAATAAAGTTGGGATAGGAACTGAATTCTTGATTCTGTGTTCTGTGTTTTTGGGGTCAAATTTTGTTCCAATAAAAAAGGTGAAGCAGACCAATACAGAGAAATAGATTTTTTCCCTTTTGAGTAGGAAACAGACCTAGCATATGATTTACAAATACTGAATGCTGTCAGAACCAAAGTCACGCTGACTTTAGGAATTCCAGTCCAATGGGATCTCCTTCCTGCTCTCTCTCTGCTTGTATTTGTTATACGACTTGCAGAGGCTTACTCATGACAGAATGCGGTATCAAGCGATGTGGTAAATGGCGCATGTCCCTTGGAAAAAGTGTTTATTACTCAAAGGTTAATCAGTGAAGTTGTTTCTCTGCTATCTTTCACGAACGCACACCGATAAAGGAATGTATAACTGCCATAGAAACATTTTTTTCCCCCGTCAACATTTTAGCAGATTTATTTTAAACATTTTGTCCTGAAAGTACATTTAGTGGAATGTGATCTATCTCCATCTTCTTGTTAAACCTTTCTTGAATACCTCACTGTTTATTTCTCCTCCTTGCTGTTATAACCATAAATAGAGCAGAAATGCTACGATCCTAGATATTTTGGAAGACAGATTCTTTCTGTAGGACTGCTTTTAGTTAAAAATGTTCCATTTCCTCCTGGCCAATTTTTTCTCCTCTACTTTCCTTGCCCAACTGACGTTCTTTGTGTAAATATGTCTTGATAGTGACTGTGACTAGGTCATTCTACAATAGGGGGCATCAAGTCCAAGACAGATCCTAACACTAACTGTAAATCCAGAGCAATACTTTAGGATGCACCAAGACAAGGGAACAAGTGGATACAGTTGCAAAGGGACAAATTCAGAACAGATACCAAGGGAGTATTTCTTTAACTAGAGAGTAATTAATGACTTGATTATCCTTTGAGGAAAGGGTTTTTGAGACCAGGACTTATTTGAAAAACAGCGTGATGCTGTGATGGAAGGATAGTTGGGTAGGTTGGTGTTCTGGAAGGATGAGATCTGACGGGTCCAAAAGACGTTCTTTATCTGGGTTAATCTTGTCATCTCTTGGAAAATAGCTCCATGGAGGGAATAACCAAAAAAAAGGAGGAAGTGGGAGGAGAAAGGGAAGTGTCTGGTTTCATGCAGTACAATAATGCCATCCATCTAAAATTCTTTTGTGAGCAGTACAACCAGGTCAGAGGAAAAAACAAATTGTTTAGAGCAGAGGAATGTGCTGAGCTCAGTTCTTTGCTGTTGGAAACCAACGAATGCCAGCCATTACTCTACTCCACCCCCCACCCCCTTGTAACCCAAGTAAGAACGTTTTTAAAAAATAATAATAATAATCCTTGCATTTGATATAGCGCTTTTCACATCTTCTAGACGTCCCAAAGCGCTTCACAGTAAAGTGAATTGACTGTATATTTGTGGGCGAACGCGGCAGCCAATTGCGCACAGCAATGTCCCACAAACAGTCATGGATTGAAAATGACCAATTTATTATTGTTTTGGGTTTCACCAAATTCTCTTCCCCAAAAGGCTGTGGTTGCTGGATCCATTCAAATTTTCAAGACTGAGGTGGATAGATTTTTGTTAGGTCAGGGTATCAAGCTAATGTTCTTTTGCCTCTCTTCCTCTCTTGTCTCCTTCAAGGCCGGTCTCAAGACCCTCCTCTTCGATCGTGCCTTAGGTCGCCCTCCCACCTCTCTGCCTTCCCTCAGCCCTACCCCACGCTCCCCCATGCTCGGGCCTTGACCCATGACTGTCCAGCGCCTTGGGACGTCCTCCCGACATGAAAGGCACTCTATAAATGTAATTTTGTTGTATATAGGGCAAAGGCAGGTAATTGGGGTTGATGTACAGATCAGCCATAATCTAATAGAATGGTGGAACAGGCGCGAGGGTCTGAATGGCCTATTCCTTTTCCTATGTTCCCCCATATCTAATCAGGTGCCTTCCCACCCCCACCACCGTGGAACAACTTGCATTATAGATTTTGTTTATCCACAAAGGCGGAATTGATTGGGATGTTTAAAGGGAGATGGAACTGAAAAGCTGAAGCTAATCCATTCCAACCGCCCTCCTGTTGTTCATACGGTTCAAAGACCCCATTTTATACAACGTTGACTGCGGAAGGAAGACCGTTGGAAACACGTTGGGTTTGTGAAATCCTTTGTATCCTGCTGTTAATGGGAAACTTCCTGTTGGCCACTTGATATGTTCTTCCTGTCACTTCATCCAGTTCCATATAAAAGATTCATTGCTACAATTTCTAAGAGGTTTCAGACAGGCAAAATAATTTCTTATAATAATAGAGCTTTTATTTTCGGAATTGCTGTGGCTGTTAATACAACTGGGATTTCTAAAGGGTCAAGAGGCCAATCATATCACATTCAACTGTATGGATATAAATAGCAAACAAAAATTGGGACATTTATCAGGTCCTGTGATACTACTTGAAAAATGAAGGGAATTTCTCCTGGTGTCATGGCCAACAAGCCCCCACATAAAATCAAATCACTTTATAATTTATAGTATAGAATTTACTACATATAGTATATCATTTTTATTGGAAAGTCCTGTAGCTCAATGTGGAGTCCTGTAGCTCAGTGGTTAGAGCACTCGCTTTGCAAGTGAGAGACCTGAGTTCAATTCCAGGCAGAGGGCGAAACCTTGGGCAAGTTTCCTTACTCCACACAGAGCCTAATAATAATCCCTCCAAAAACCAAAACAATAATAAATTGGTCATTTCAATCTACGACTGTTTGTGGGACATTGCTGTGCACAATTGGCTGCCGCGTTCGCCCACAAATATACAGTCAATTCACTTTACAGTGTGTTCTGTGAAGCGCTTTGGGACGTCCTCCCGACGTGAAAAGCGCTATATCAAATGCAAGGATTATTATTATTATTATCATTAATAATATATAAATTCACTTCTTGGCTAATTGTGGGACATTGCTGTGGCAAATTGGCTGCCATGTTCACCTACAAAATAGTTACTACACTTTCTGGTATATCCGCGAAGCACTTTGGGACATTCACCTGATGTAAAAGGTGCTGTATCAAATGTAAGGATTATTACTATTTGTTAAAGTTGGCCGGAGATTTATGTGCTGAAGCAGCTTTTTTTTAAAAACTTCCTTCACTTTTTTTTCTTTTTATTTTGTGGGGAGCTATTTTACTGAGCAGGTCTTGCAATCCGAGGCCTAAATAATAATAATCCTTGTATTTGATATAGCACCTTATCACGTCTTCAAGATGCCTCAAAGCGTTTCACAGAATATACTGTAAAATGAATTGATGGGTATTTTGTGGGCGAAACGCAGCAGCCAATTGTGCACAGGAGTGCCCCACAAATAGTCATGGATTGAGTGACCAAATTATTATTTAATTTTTTTAAGGTATTATTACCCTCAGAAAAATGATTCACCAAACAACTAACAACCGCGTCCCTACTTATTGCTAGGTAAACAGATGCGTGTGGAGTAAGGAAACTTAATAATAATAATATTACGTTTCTTGCCTAATGAAACTTGCCTAAGGTTTAACCCTGCCCAGGAATCGAACCTGGGTCTTCTTGCTTGGGAGGCGAGTGCTCTAACCAATACGCTACCAATGGTACACGGATTTGCTTAAAGTTGCATCTGCCATATCCATTCACTCTTTTTCAGCCTTGTCATTAAAACTTTACAAATTCCCCTCGTTGTTTGAACAAGTAAATTTCAGTTACCTTTGATACTGATGCAAAAGCCATCATACAGACGGTTGATATCCATCATTTTTATCACTCCTGTTTGGTTATTTCCACAATTTATCATTGGAGTGACTCTTGATATTACGGGGTATCCATCATCCACCCAACCGAATCTGGAGTTGGAAAAAAACAAAGGAACAAGACTTCTTATTAATTAAAACTGCATGTGTCAGACACCTGACTAATGACAACAAAATGAAATAGGAAAATGTCTCAAAGTGCTTTACTGAGACGGAGTGAGAATCTAAGGAGGGCGGGAAATCAAAAGTTTGGATGTAATGAAAGAAATGGGGTTTTAGGTGGATTTGAAAGTAGACAGGGTGAACGTGAAGAGATTTACGAAGAGAATTCCAGAGAGCAGGTGTAAAGCTGTTACGCCCCATGACGGGTGCTATATAAATGCAAGTTGTTGTAAGGCTAGGAATATGTATGAGTTGAGCACAAGTTTCATTTCCAGAAGCTGTGATAGATGGATGGCATTTATGTTTATTTATTTATTGGTCAGCCGGGTATCTGAAACATGCGGAAACCCATGTGGAGGGGAAAATGATCGAAAGCGCTGTCAGAGTTGGGTCTTGAGAAGGACCTTGAACGAGGGGAGGGAGGGAGCAAGTCGGAGGGAATCGAGATTCCTAATTGCACTTTCTAATCTCATCCAGAACATTAGGGTCTTGTGGGCCTAACTTTCACAAGAGAACACAAGAGAGATATTGGTTGAGGAAGTCTACTGATGACTTGCTTGTTTCAGTGCAACACTACCATCCGGTTTGTTATGAAATAAGATACATTAATATTATCTTTCCATTTCCTCTGTGTGCAAGTTGCTCACTTGTGCAGCACCATCATTGTCAGCAACCAACAAGCACCACGCGCTTTGCAAGGCTGGTTTGCCTATGTTTATTCATTGCTATTAGTGTGAGGTGCTAGAATAACCAAGATCTGGTTAGAAGCACCGTTAAAATCGAGACCGGCATATTAACCTGTCCGAACCTGACATTTACAAGCTTCAAGTTATAAAATAAGAGTTTATATCTTTACATGATTCTGATCCACAACTAAACAAGTTCTGGAATGTCCCAATTTCTTGGTATCGGGCGAACTTTGTCATAATATTTACGTAGCGCCTAATGGGATAAAATTTATGGACTTTATGTTGCTCAGAACACATTATCAATCGCCCCAAGCTTTACCCCTATTATATTTATTTTAAACATTTTATGAGCTTCATACGCAGACATAAAAAAATGTAAATACCAGAACATAGAGATGTTAAAATAAATCATATAAGTTGTGCCGGGTAATAAAACGACAATTATGATCTGAATGTGAGATATAAACCATTGCCTATAATTTATTTTCTAACCCGTTCTCCCTTTCAATCTATTTACTATACCTGATGAAGGCTCTAACTTGTGATAGAATACTGATACTCTCCCTATCTTGGCCATGTTGCAATTCTTCATGTGTGAGCAGACTATCAATGTTGAGTCTCATCTTGTCCTCGCTGCATAGAGATCTCGAGCAGAAAACCTGGTTGATTTTCCCCTAATTAATCCTGTTGATTAAACTCTGAGCAAAGAAATACTTGCTGATGTCTATCCTAAACTTGTTCTTTGTATCCCTGAACCTGGGACTCTCTTGTCCTGCTGCCTCAGTGTAGCTGAAAGTACTGTTCTGGCTTTACTTTCGGGTTTCGCTCACAAGATACACAATGAATTTACTTACAGTATATTCTGTGAAGCACTTTGTACTTCTCGAAGGCATGATAAGGCCCTATATCAAATGCAAGGATTATTATTATCCCAACCCAGCATCTTTTATACCTCCATAAGGTCCCCTCTGAGATGTTTGTTTTTGAATTTGAATTTGAATCATTAAACAAGTTCTTTGCTACTGTCTTCACCTTAGAAGACACTGAAAACCTACCAAGAATAGAGGGGAACCAAGAAGACAATGTTAGCGAGCAACTTGGAAGAATTAATATTAGTAAAGAAATGGTTTTAGGTAAATTATCAGTTCTTAAAACTGATAAATCTCCTGGACCTGATGGCCTGCATCCTAAGGTTTTAAAAGAGTTGGCTCCTGAGATAGTGGATGGCTTATCTTTGATCATCCAAAATTCTCTGGATTCTGGAACGGTTCCCATTGATTGGAAGATTGCAAACGTAACACCACAATTTAAGAAGGGTGGGAGAGAAAAGATGGGGAACGAGAGACCAGTTAGTCTGACATCAGTGGTAGGGAAAATTCTTCAGTCCTTAATTAAAGATGTCGTTATGGGATTCCTGGAAGACCATAACAAGATTAGACAGAGTCAACGTGGCTTTACAAAAGGGAAGGTATGCCTAACTAATCTTTTAGAGTTTTTTGAAGATGTATCTAGCAGGTTAGATAGGGGCGAACCAGTAGATGTAGTATACTTAGATTTTAAAAAGGCATTTGACAAAGTACCACACAAAAGGCTATTGCACAAGGTTAAGGCCACGGGATTAATGGGAACATATTAGCATGGATTGAAGAGTGGGTAACAGGTAGAAAACAAAGAGTAGGGATAAACGGGTCATTCTCGAATTGGCAGGATGTGACTAGTGGGGTGCCACAAGGATCAGTGCTTGGGCCTCAGCTATTTACAATTTACATCAATGATCTAGACGAGGACATTGAATGTAACGTATCTAAATTTGCGGATGACACTAAACTAGGTGGGAGAGTAAGCTCTGAGGATGATGCAAAAAGATTGCAACGGGATATAGATAGGCTCGGGGAGTGGCCGAGTAGGTGGCAGATGGAATTTAATGTGGGCAAGTGTGAAGTTATTCGCCAAGGTAGAAAAAATAGAAAAACAGATTATTTTCTAGAGGGGGAGAGATTAGATAGTGTTAGTGTTCAGAGGGATTTGGGGGTCCTTGTACACCAGTCTCAAAAAGTTAGTTTGCAGGTGCAGCAGCAACTAAGAAGGCGAACGGCATGTTAGCGTTCATTGCAAAAGGTTTAGAGTACAAGAGTAGGGAAGTCTTGCTGCAACTGTATAGGGCCTTAGTGAGACCGCACCTACAGTATTGTGTGCAGTTTTGGTCTCCATATTTAAAAAAGGACATACTTGCCCTAGAGGGGGTGCAGCGTAGATTCACTCGGTTAGTTCCTGGGATGAGGGGACTGACCTATGAGGATAGGCTGAATAAACTAGGGCTATATTCTCTAGAGTACAGAAGAATTAGGGGAGATCTTATTGAAACATATAAGATTCTTAAAGGACTGATAAAGTAGACACTGACGGTCTGTTTCCCCTGGTAGGAGAATCTATAACCAGGGGTCACAGTCTTAAAATTAAGGGTCAGCCTTTCAGAACAGAGTTGAGGAAACATTTCTTCACTCAGAGGGTAGTGAATTTATGGAATTCGCTACTGTAGACGCTCAGTCCTTGAACATCTTCAAGGCTGAGACTGATAGATTTTTAAAAAATAGAGGGATTAGGGGATTTGGGAATAGAGCAGGTAATTAGAGTTAGGTCTGAAGATCAGCCATGATCTTATCAAATGGCGGGGCAGGCTCGAGGGGCCGAATGGCCTACTCCTGCTCCTAATTCTTATGAATCCAAAGATCTCTAGCTTTTTGCCCGAAACTGAAGTGGTGCGAATGAGATTGGAGAAGGAGCATTACCTACCTGCAAACCTGAAATCCAGCCAGATTGGCAGCCTCAACCTGAGCTTGTGTTGCCAATTTCACCCCGAGTGATCGGCAGTTGGCGTGAGCTGCCTCCAGCGACATATTGTATCTGTTATTGATACCGATATGGAACACACCCAAAATCCGACAGCTGCCATCAAGAAGATCTGTGACAGAAAGAAAGCATGCTGTTTACGCCAGAAAAAAATGCAAAGCAACAAAATATACTGGCAGAGTTGCGGACACTTCTGTACGCAATTGACTGCCGATGTTTCGCCCCACAAAATATACAGTCAATCCACTTTACAGTATGTTCTGTGAAATACTTTGAGACTTCTCAATGACATGACAAGGCGCTATGTCAAAATCTTTGATAATAATAACAATATTCTTGGATTTGGGCTTAAATTAAATCTGGTTGACGGGCTGAAGCTTAAGCAGATGGTCCTGTATTTATGGTGTGATGGGGTAAAAGTCAGATAGCTTTTTTTAAAAAGCCAGCACAGGCACGATGGGCTGAATGGCCTCTTTCTGTGCTGTAAGATTTTATGATTCTAAGTCATCAAAGACACAAGGGCATTTTTGGAAAAAAATCTTTGAACTTTTCCCCCGCCCCATCCCCCAAAAATATGGCTTGTGATCTAAGAACGTATGAGTGGTGCAGACTGACTAAACAGCACAGGAAGAAGAGGGTGGAGCAGTATGTTTGATGGTGAGCCCCTTGTATGTCATTACCATTCTCTTCTCTTCAGTGCTGGCTGACATTAACAAGCTCTAGATCGTAAAGTAAAGTTTATATCATTACATGGTTCTCATCAGCCACAATTAAACTAGTTCTGCAATATCAGTTGTCTAGGCATTGGTTGTACCTTGCCTTAATTCAAGACAAGTCTGTAACTGTCAACGTGAATGTGTGTGCTAAAGAAACAAGACAAGATAGTTCAGCCGACACAAATCATTAGTTTCCTCAGACGGTGTGCAACCTAGCTCGACTATACACTCTCTCCCACTGATTTAATGGGAACTTGGATGATCATTTCTTTTACACTGTCAACATGTTTGCAGGAGGCATCACTCGTTGCTTCTAAATCTACTTTGACTCTTCCTTGCAGGTTCCACACTCTTTCTTTGATCAGTCGTAGGGTTCTATAAACTACCACTGAGCACTTTTGCAATGCAGAATGTCAGGCTAACTGGTCTATAGATAGCGGGTGCACATCTCACTTCTGTTTGGAATTTTCTAACAATGTTTTCTCTCTGTCAGGCTTTCACGACAGCTCCTGACGCTTGAAAATATTACAGAATCTTTAACATCCTCTTGTTTAATCTATCCTCCAGTTGAGACGTTAAACTGAGGTCCCGCCTGCTCAGGTGGACGTTAAAGATCTTGGGGCACAAGTCGAAAAGAGAAGAGAGTTTCTCACTCCCAGAGTCCTGGTTGATAATCCTCCGGATTAAATTGGTCATTCACTTCAAGGCTGTTAGTGTGACATTGCTGTGCGCAAATTGGTTGCCACAATTACCTACAAATACAGGCACTAAACTTTACAATAAGACTACTTTGTCGTAGAAATATTTATTTGGACACTCTTGTTGCTGACTGCAACACCAACATTCTACCATATTGAGCCCTCCCTCACCCCAATCCTGCCCCCCATGCTCGGGTCCTGATCTCCAACTGTTCAGTGCCTTGGGATATCTTCCTGACATGAAAAGCGCTTTGCAAATGTAATTTTGTTGTTGTTGTTTTATGTCTTCTACCTTTTCACGACCTTCTCTTCCTGTGCTACACAGTGCTACTGCTCAGCCCTCGCTGGTTATTTTGTACCTTGTATTTATTAAAACATTCCTGCTTTATCGCTCAACATTGGCTTCTGAAAACACAAGTTATCTTCAAATTTGATTTCTCAATCTGCTGAGCTGTTTGAACTGTTTAAAACCATTAGGGCACAAATTAGTTACAAACATACCTTCATCAGTCTGAACCAACAACAGCAAACTCCAGCTCAAAAGAATTGATGGGAGAATCCTATGCTTTTCCATGTCTGCAGACGTCTAGGCAGTTCCCAAGTAATACAGTATTATGGGAAGACAACTGGTTTCCAGCTATTGTTACAGTAAGAGTGTAAGACTGCGCACCCTATTGCAGTCTCACTGGCTGATAAAGAATAGGAAACAGGAAGTGAAAAGCAGCGAATCAAATCATTTTGTACCCATTTCAGAGGTTGCTATCATCAGTAGATCTTGCCAATGTTGCACCCAAGGTAAATGTGTTGTTTCCTTCGAACACTTTGAGCAAACTTGTTATTAAAGAGAGGAACGTAGAGGCTCCAAACTCAACTGCAGGCTGCCAGGTTTTGCCCACAAAATATACAACCAATTCACTTTACAGTATATTCTGTGAAGCGCTTTGAGACTTCTCGAAGACATGATAAGACGCTATATCAAATACAAGGATTATTATTATTAAGACCAACGCAGTAATCAACAAGCAGCAAAGGGAGAGTGTCGAAACAATGGGATGCAGAAATAATCAGGTGCAGAAATATTGGGGTCTAAATGAGGCAACTAGCAGTTTGCAAGACTGAGATTAGATGCCAGGCACACTTTGTTGGAAGCACAGCACATGATCGGGGATGTGCTTTGGCCAGAAAAACTTTCTGCTTCAACTCAAAGATCTGTCTCCCCCCAGAAAGTGTTTCTACTCACAACCTTCTGACTCAGAGCTGAGAGTACTACCAACTGAGCCAGGTTGGCAGCTTGAAAGTGGATGGAAAGTTTATTCTAGTGGGAGAGCCAGTGGATCGATTTCTGCTGTAAATAACCTTGATAACCCAGCAACTGTAGCATTTAGCAAAAGAAAACCCATTGATTGTTGACAACTGAGGCATTGTGGTTGTGCCTTTCAGACCACAGCAAACCACCTATGAGCAAAACCGTGAAGTAATGTCAAACCATGCGTTAAAAACAGTTTTTTTAAAAAAACTTACCATTTTGCTGTTAGATTTCTGTGAGGTTGAGATCAAGAGATAGGAAACCACATGATGCGGGCAAGCCTTCAACTGCTCTCATAAACTCCATCCCAGAGTTCCTTCCGACTTGCTCCCTCTGTCACCTCGCTCGTTCAAGGTGCATCGTACCTCAGTGACCACACTTTTAGTCACCTTTTCCCTCCCCCCTCCATCTCCCACCCCCAGACTCAAGTGCCCAGCCAATACTGTTAAGCGCTTCGAGACGTCCTCCCGTTGTGAAAGAAGCTGTAGAACAACAACAAATCACATTTGTACAGCGCCTTTCACATCAAGAGGACATCCCAAGGTGCTGGACAGTCAGTGATTTGACCCGAGCTGGGGGTTGAAATCAGGAGGGATGGAGGGCAGGGTGGGTAGGGGTAGGAGGGTGGCCAAAGGCGCGGCCGAAGAGGATGGTCTTGAGACGGGATTTGAAGGAGGCAAGGGAGCGAGCGAGGCGAAAGGACTGGGATGGAATTCCAAAGGGCAGTGGCAGATAATGCACATTTGTAATTGCATTGTATACTTACTTATAAGAGACAGGGTAACCACAAGTAATCAACAGTTTTATTTGAACAAAATCAAGTAGGTGGGCACTATACAGTACAATATTTAGCCTTTAAAAGTTGAAAACCTTTACACGATATAAAAGACAAATATTACGACACAAAAGAAAATGGAACGTTTATTTTCGAAAAGCTATCAATACTATCAGTGCTTTGGGAGGAGGGAGGGACGGAGGAAAATAAACTACAGTGATCAAATAATACTGACGAGAAAATATTGCACTTTAAAACAGACATATATAGAGTGTAATAACTGGTTTCTTTCAAAAAGGTGTCCACTATCAAACTAACAAGCCAGCGTTCAGTCACGCACTTTTTTTCACTGTGGGGCAAAGGGCATCACTTCAAAACAAAAAGATTAATTCGATTGAGTTTTCGATCGTGGAAAGCCACGGTGAGAAATGGTCTAACTTGTCCTGTGCAAAAGGCACCTTTGTCACGACTGTTCCCTGGTTTCAAACCCAAGGAAAGAGGTACCGAAGCCAAGGTCTCCCCCTTGGATTTACCAAAAAGCTCAAGCAACTTCACGCCTCCTTGGTACTTTTACCAACCTCGGCTGAACTTACACTCTTAGATCGAGATGAGCTTCAGTATCCAGCTACGTAAATTAAGTGTCCATTCCAGATGTGCTGCTGATCTGGCCAAAACCACGACAGGCTGAACAAGCGCATGTTTCCTGGTTTACCTATTGCAGACTTAAAAGGGTGGGGGTAAATTTCTACCGTTCTATTGATCTGAACCAGGTTGGTAAGGGTGGAGAGGATGATAAGAGGAGAGGAGGTGAGGGCCTGTGTCAACAATTTGTCAGATTGGATCAGTTAAGGATATAAGAATTTGCCAGGTAAATGCCCAAGGTGCATGCAGTTTGCCTTCCACCATCCTGGCAGTCGTTTGTGCATGTAATTTCCCAAGCTATATACCGTATTTTCTTACATTATTTCCTGACGGAAATTTTATCTAATTTTTTTGAGTTAACAAAATTTGAAGTCTTCGAGTAAGTAGCCTGGTGACCACACCATACTAGCTCTAACCGCAACTCTAAAGATCACTGATCATCATAGAAAGCCACCACCTATCACCATGGAAACAGCTTGCAGTTAGACAACATCAACATGCAGTGTGCTGGCGGTTTGTGTTTTGTGCGAGGATTGACGGGGCCTCAGAACAAAAATCTTTGGCCAGTAGGAGATAGTTTATCGCGACATCACAAGAGCGGTTCAAGATGAAGAAGGCCCTTCGGCCCATCTGATCTCATCCTTCCTGAATACCCACCCCACCATCCTCTCATCGCAGGGACAAGCTGTCTATTTTTTAAATGACCTAACAGATGCCACTGAACCATACACACAAGACTGCAGGGAGATACAATAAAACTTGCGCAAGTCTTTTATCTTTACAAAACCCATAAGCCGTACATTCACCCATAAACCCGAGGCCCATTCAGTTTCCTATTAAAACCACTCCCCTTACCCTCTATTACTCGAGCTTACCGGAGGTCTTGAATCCCCTCGACACATATGCACTTACCGGCCGGCTGCATTGAATCGCGGGAAACATAGTCTTTGTTCGTTGACACATGTGCAGAAGAACTTCATTTCCTGCGATTCAAACGTTAGCCAGTAAGTGCGGTGAGGTGTCAAGACGCATTGAATCATGCGAAATGTAGTCTTAGCCGTCCACTGCATGCGCTCTCACCAGCTGCATTATATTACTCATGGTCATGGGCAGTGTAGCTCAGTGTGGTACAACAGACGGCCCACGGGCCACATCCGGCCCACTAGTTGATTTTATCACACTGGATGCAGTCTGTGGATCTTTCTCAAATAGGGAATCTGGCCTGCGGTAGCCAAAAAGTTGGACCACTCTGGTTTAGATTATTGATCAAATCTGATTTTCTACGATTTCTACAGTTTGGCAGGAACTCGGACATCGCATTAAAGTCGTATTAAATATTATGGTCCTGACTGATACGACTGATGTGAGTTTTACTGTATTTAGAAAGTTGACGTGTGGACGCTTAATGATCTCCCTTTTGTAAGACACACGATCACAGCAGTAGGTTATGTTAGGGCCGACTGGCTCGAGGTAGCTTTACCCATATTAGAGCAGCACAATTAGCATAGGATGGGTGTGAGTCCATCTTATCTGGAGACTGACGACAGTGTAACACAAGCAGCTCGGATAAGAAGAGAAATGGGATGTATCCCAGTCTCGAGTTTGAGACCATTATTTGCCTCAAAATGTAAAATTGGGCAGAATTCTTTGAAAAATCCATAAATTCAGTCTTAATTTAGAAACCAGTTCTTTGTAGTCTGTTTACATGGGTGGGGGGAGGGGGGAACGGCTCCCGAATTAAGACCAATTGAAGGTTTTTTTCAAAAAAGCTCTGCGCCACCCTAAAATCTAGGGCCACATGGGCTGAAATTCCGTTCTTTGGTTTTGTCTCTCGCTGGAGGGATCACTCCCATTCTAATCACTAATTCCCAGAGCGAGTGGAATTTTGGCGCAATTCGTCTTACGGTCAATAACGCCAGCAATTCGGGGTCCCTACAGAATGCAATGGGAAATGATCCCTCATGTGACACTGCCTTGGACGTGAGCCCCAGGTCAATCTGCGAAGGAGAGAACCCTGAAAGGACACAAGGAAAACTCTTAGCCAGGTGAGCCTAACCGTTCCAAAGGTGGCAAGCCACTTGCGGTGCAACCGGTGAAACTTACAAACTGCTTCTGAGATCCCAAAGTGAAAGCAGTCAAGAGCTGTGCTTGGGAAGGTTACAATCTCTTTGTCCTGACAGCAATGCTTAATAAATAACTGAGAGGCTCGTAAATACTATATATATATATATATATAAATATACACATATAACTGCTAAACCTTTATAAATCACTGGTTGAGTCTCAGCTGGAGTATTGTGTCCAATTCTGGTCACCACACTTTAGGAAGGATATCAAGGCCTCGGAGAGGGTTTCAAGAACAACAAAATTACATTATAAAGCCCCTTTTATGTAGGATGTCCCAAGGCGCTGGGGACGTCATGAAAGGCACTATACAAATGTAATTTGTTGCTGTTGTAGAGGGAATTTACCAGAATGATACCAGGAATGAGAGACTTTAGTTATGTGGAGGGACTAGAGAAGCTGGGTTTGTTCTTCTTAGAGCAGAGATAGTTAAGGGGAGATTTAACAGAGGTGTTCAAAACTATGAGGGGTTTGGTAGAATAGATAGGAGAAACTGTTTCCACTGGCAGGTGGGTCGGTAACCAGGGGACATAGATTTAAGATAATTGGCAAAAGAAGCAGAGGGGAGAGGAGAATTTTTTTTTTTTTTTTTTTTTACAGAGAGTCGTTACGGTCTGGAACGCACTGCCTGAAAAGCTGGTGGAAACAGATTCAGTAACAACTTTCGAAAGGGAATTGAATAGGTACTTGAAAAGGAAAAAATTGCAAGGATATGGGGAAAGAGTGGGGGAGTGGGACTGATTGGGTAGCTTTTCCAAAGAGCCGGCACTGGCACGATGGGCCGAATGGTATCCTTCTGTGCTGTAATATTCTATGATTCTCTCTCTCTCTCTGTATATATATATACACACACACACACACTCAATGGCAAGGGGAATTAAACAAGGGGCTTCTTTTCTGTTGGCTCTGAAATGGCCCAAATTGATGGCAACGATCAATGGATCTGGAAGCACTTCAGAACATTATTCCACATGAAAGGCGCTGAAAAGTGCAAGTCATGTTTTTTTCATTTTGTCGGAACTGAAAAGAGGAAGTTGGTAAGATGGAAAGTTTCCTTTCCTGTGCGATCGAAGCACACGGTTGTGTTTGTGACAACTTCTGGTATCCAAGCAACCAAAATAATTCTAGCTCTAAGCTGTCAAAATCTGATATAATGATTCATGTCCTTTGACGTTGGGGTGGGTTTTTTTGCGTTCCCTATTTGCATTCTATATGTCGTCCCAACAAAATCTGTAACGGGGGGGGTTGAAGGAGAACAGCAGGCGAGCGGAGGAGGGGGCTGGGTGGGTGGTGTGTGTTTAGTTTGGTAAACAGTTGAAAGCTGTGATAATGCAGTAACGCAAGAATGTGGTTTGTTCCATCGTTGGCAGTTCGGGGGTTAAAGTCGAACATTTATGAGGTTAAAAGGCGGTGGTGGCGGTCGTTGGGGGAGGGGGGGGCGGGGAGGATGGAATTCAATTGGAAATTAAACGCTGACCGGATTATATCATCCACTTGCAGACTGACAGCAACGTTCTTAAAAGATGCCGTTCCAAGCATTTGGAGGCCAGGAATAATTACTTTTTACAACTCCGGTTTCAGCACAAACTAACATAGGAATGGCCATATTCGGGCGGGACCTGTGGTACACCTGAGCGATCAGCACCCCACTCCTTGCTGACAGTCACCTCCTCCCTCCCGCCGGCTCAGGGTCAGGCTCCACCACTGTTAAGCGCTACGAGACATTTCTCCCAGTGAAGGGCGCTGTATAAATGCAAGTTGTTGTTGTTGGCAATGCCAACGCGCCCTTTCTCAGCTCCTTGCCGGCTCCAGTGGTCTCTCTCTCTGGCGTAAACAGCCAAGAGGTAAAATGTCCCCATTTTCTCCGCACACCAGTGAACAGATTCCTTCGGAAATCCTGTGGCGTTGCTATCGCTCAATTCTTCCATGACGGTTTTGGCTTCCGTTTTGCCTGAACGATATGTCAACAGCGTTTCAGGCCTCCCCCTCATCCCACCTTCCCCCTCGTTGCCCCCCTCACCCTCTTCCCAATCCCAGAGCAATGGACAGTCCCGCTCACACAGGTGCACGGTTCTTATGCCGGGTTCCCGAGTAAGGCCACAAGTACTGCTGCACGGCTGAGCACGTGCTCTTGCCGTTGGGCGGGTTCGTCGTGTCGTCGCAGGGATAACGGAGAGACGTGACGATGCTGATCACAACAGCCAAGAGGACCACCACCATGGCCAGAATCCACACCACATTCCGATGCTTCAAGCACTTCGGGCACAGTCTGTCGATCAGGTCCGAGACTTCACCCAACTTGCTACGAGAGAGAAAGAGCGAGGGCAAGAGTTTGTTATTCACATTCCGCTCAAGAGATATAGGCACCCTTTTGCCATAAGGACAGAGTTTGTTGGGCGGCGGAAGTGTAATGCTTCTTAATGGAATTCCGCAATAAGGAATCCCGTTCCGATTCCCAATCCACCTCCCCCGCAGAGGATTGCGTCCCTTGCTCACGTTTGACCACCCATTCTCCCTCCCCCACCCTTCCTTTTTCCTCTCATTTCTTCGCCTTGTAACATCGTAATGAAAACATGGATAAAATTAAGTTGCAGTTAGACTGAGGCCAGATTTGCCATTAGCTGCTTTTTTTTATTCACAGGAAGTGAAAGCACAATAATTGTCCATCGGATTGTGACTCAGTCAGTGTCACCATGCCATCAACAAGCAAACACAAATCATCTCCTTAAATCCTTAAAATGAATCATCTTCTTCCTCAAGTCTCTAGTTACTCCGCAATAAAGCCCTGAAACTATAGACTAGTCAAACTGCCTCCAATGCCTCTGGTTTCCTTTAGAAAGCAGAAGTGCAACAAAGAGTCAGTGGAAAATCAACAGTAAATGTCAAAAACTCACCGTTTGTGGAACGTTGCTGTGGGCTGCCACATTTGCTAACAAAACACACAGTCACTGCCCTTTACAGTGTATTATCCTGTGTGGCATCCTCCTGACTCCGTACCAATGTAAGAATTATTATTATTATTAAGGATTATTAGCACTTGTTGAGAATCTAGAATTTACTTGCATTTTTGCGTTTATTTCACGTAGGGAGGATGTTCCAAAGTAGTGGACAATTGACTGATGACTGCTGTGTGATCAAATATCAGCTCAGAATGAGTTATCCCCATCTAAAGCGTTGCAAGTTTCTCGGTAAACAGATGAATAAGAAACTAAAATATCTGACACAAGTTGAAAGATTTTTTTTAAAGAAGCCCGAACTCTATACCTAACTAAGTTAACTAAATAATGCAGTACTTGTTTTTGAAACAGGGTCATCAAATCTTCTCAAAAAAGCTTCATAGGAATTCATTGCAAAATGCAGTGACTGCATTTTGTAGGTGAAATTCATAGCAATTTCCCCCAAACAGCTGTGCAACAGGTCCCACTGCAAGGAATCTTAGGGCAACAACTTTTTTTTATTTAGATAGTTTCACAATTGGAGCCTATTTAATCTCAGATTAAAATGCAGTGTGAATTTAAATGGAAATCTCTCACCTGCTGAAACCTATTCTATGAATTCTGACAGGAATTATCTGTACAAAATCAGCACACTATCTGGAGCTGAAGGTGATAGCAGATACAAATGCAGACACTGTTTAATTTGCTCTCAAACCACAAGACAAGACAATCTTGCACATTGGACAGCAAATTCAACAATTAGCATTGCTTTGCAGAGCTGACTGTTGTCACTGAGGTCTTGCCAAGTGCAACAACAACAACAAATTTCATTCATACAACGCCCTTCACATTGGGAGGATGTCCCAAGGCTCTGGTCAGTCAGGCATTTGGACCTGAGCAGGGGGCTGGGATCAGAAGAGGTGGAGGACCGGGTGGGTAGGGATAAGAGTGTGGCCAAAGGCTTGGTTGAAAAGGAGGGTCTTGGGACATGCGTTGAAGGAGGTAAGGGAGGGAGCGAGGCGCGGGGACTGTGAAATGGAGATGGAATTGGGATTGGGGACATGGGGCAAGCCGGAGCCTGCTGAGTGGAGGGAGCGGACAGGTTGATATGGTGCAAGTCACAGAGGTAGGAAGGAGCAAGGCCAAGGTAGGCTTTTGAAGGCGTGGACGAGGATTTGAAGGGGAAAATGAGGCAAAGCAGAGGGAGTGAGGGAGAGTGCACTGTGCGTACACTGAATGGCACAGTCCCTCGGCTCAGGGTAACTAACGGGAGGTTAAGGAAGGACCCACCTGCTCTTTCTTTCCTCTTTGAGGCTGGGCTCCGGGATCTCGTCCGCACTCACTTCCTCGCCCTTCCCCTCCTCATCCTCCTCTTCCTCCGGCAACTCTTTCAGCTCCTTCTTCATCTGGGCCTTCAAGCCTTCTTGGTAACTTTGAAACAATTGAAAAAAAGCAAGTTCAGTTTTGAACAGTTTGTTCTGAATTCCATGGAGGCCTCAGGGCTGTTTGCCTCGCGCTATCCCTCGTCTCCCCACTTCACCATTGGCAGCCGTGCTTTCATCCTCTGATCCCCCGACCCTCTGAAACCACCTGCCTCAATCCCTCCGCTTTGCCTCCTCTTTTGTGCGTCTTCACATTGCACCTGAAGAGTCTCCTCTTCGACTGTGCTTGCAATCACCTCCCCTTTCTTCCAGCTCGGCCTCAAACTACGCGATCGTTAAGGGCTCTGAGACTCTACGGTGAGTAAAAGCTGCTATACAAATGCAAGTTGTTGCTTAAGTGTTGGACTGGAGAGTCAATGGATTCTAACCCCTTCCCAGTCACTTAACAGCACGAAGAATTGGCCCATCACTTCATGGCTGTTTGTAGGGACATTGCTGTATGTGACTGCCGCGTTGGGTCTACGAAGTACACAGTTACTACGCTTCCCAGGCATTCCGTCAAGCGCTCTGGCAGGGGTGGAATACCGAGAGGTTTTATTGTGGACATGTTGAGGGAAAAGAGTCAGTCATTTACAGGGAGGAGGAAGAGAGAAGCGCACTATCTTCAGGAAAAGAACCTCAGTGTGATAACGGGGCATGTAATGGGACTTCACGTGACATTCAAAAAATCTGATCAGGTCCAAAGAAGAGCCACCCCCCTTTCCACAGCCACACACCCCCCCCCCACATTCCCCCCTCCACGAGCAACTGACTGTGCTTTAAGCATCTTCCTGTTTACTGTCAGAAGGTACACAGGCTAAAAAATGCATGGAAAAATTCCAATTTTATTGTTGTTACTAAATAATAATCCTTGCCGCTAATACAGCACCTTTCACATCAGGAGCAGCAACATCCCCGCAAACAACAAAAAACAAATTGCATTTATACAGCGCCTTTCGCACTGGGAGGACAGTCAAGGGTTTGCACCTGAGCTGGGGCGAAAAAGTGTGAAGCGGCCATGAAATTAGTTTCACAGACTTTTCCCACAAACTCGGTATTACTTATCCACGACCTCAACTGTTCTGAGCCAGTGGTTTTGTGCCATACCTCCGGCCTAGGACTCTCAACCAGCTTCGTAAATCTGGATGAGACATCTGCTTGTTCAAGTGGACGTTAGAGATCCCCTGACGCTATTCAAAATAGGAATGGGAGTTTCTCTCTCTCGGTCCTGGCCAACAATCCCTCAGATAAAATCGGTCACTGACTCCATGGCTGCTTGTGGGACGTTGCTGTGTGCAAACTGGCAACCGCGATCTTGCATAACACTTTAAGGTGTCGCAACGTTACAAAGATAAGCGTTATCAACTTGTTAATGTAGTTTAACAAGAAGCTCAAATTCAGCATGGCGTTAGCTGCTTGCTAAGAGAGGTCAGAGCCCAATGATTGGGTTGCGAGGAGTGGGGTGGGGGGTTGGAAGGGAAAGGGAAGTGGTGCCTGTTTACAGAATAGTGAGTCAAGTGAGAATAGTCTTGTGTGCGTTTGGAGGATGGGTGCGTATCCATTCTGTAGGGACATCCTTCAATTCTGTGCAGTGATTCTTTCTCTCACCCTTTATTGTAGGCTTCCTCTTCAATCTTGGCCTTTGTCTCGGGCTTGCTTATCTCATCCCGCTCGCCCTGGCCTTGAGCAGGAGTGTGGCTGCCGCTGGTTCCTGCTCCGTTCTGCTTCCCACTTCAAGTTTGTGGAAGAAAAAGATTTCAGAGAAGTTAAAAATAGCACTCTCGCCTCGCAAGCGAGAGAACCTGGGCTCATTTCCCAGGCAGGGCAGAATCGTAGGCAAGTTTCCTTACTCCACACTCCTCTGTTTACCCAACAGCAAGTAGGAACCCGGATGTTATTCGATTAGCGGATTGCTAAGTTCAACGATTTGCCTCATTTTGGGTGCTCTTGAAATGCCATATTAAACATAGTAAACAAACACCCAAGTGAAATGTCTACCCCCATTATTATTATAATAGTAGTAATGATCCTTGCATTGGATAACACCTTATCACATCGTCGAGACGTCTCAAAGCGCTTCATAGAATATACTGTAAAGTGAATTGACTCTATATTTTGTGGGCGAAACGTCGTGGATTGAGTGACCAAATTATTTTTATGTATTTTTAAGGAATTATTATCCCCGGAAATATTCTAAGAACCGAAAGTAGGGGATTACCAATAGAAGGAAACAGCTCAATCTCTCTCTTGGCTTTTTGTTTTCAAGATGATCTTAAAAAACATGGTCTCGTGGTTCTGAATATTTCCTTAAATAAGGCTTAATGTTGTACGTGCTGGAAAGCACCTTATTGGAACTGTTCTGAGGGGGAAGGGATGGGTAGTTTGTATAATAATAATAATCCTTCCATCTGGTATAGCGACTTGCACGTAAAATAATAATAAATAATCCTTGCATTTGATATAGCGCTTTTCACGTCGGGAGGACGTCCCAAAGCGCTTCACAGAACACACTGTAAAATGAATTGACTGTATATTTGTGGGCGAACACGGCAGCCAATTGCGCACAGCAATGTCCCACAAACAGTCGTAGATTGAAAATGACCAATTTATTATTGTTTTGTTTTGGAGAGATTATTATTAGGCTCTGTGTGGAGTAAGGAAACTTGCCCAAGGTTTCGCCATCTGCCTGGAATTGAACTCAGGTCTCTTACTTGCAAAGCAAGCGCTCTAACCACAGAGCTACAGGACGCCACAGTTGTGCACACTTCACAGGATTTACTGTGAACCACAGAGACTCTGTATTTTTGGGCGAATGGAAATAAAAGACCATCAATAAGCTTCGAAAGTGTTTACGTAAAGGGGGTCTTACTTCTCCACCAGAGGGGTGAGTGGGGGGCCACACTGCACCCCTATCCGGCTGACGGGAATGCTGGGATTGTTGGGGCTGATGGGGCTGCTGGGATTGCTGGGACCGGTGCTGCTGGGGGTGCTGGTGGTTGTACTGGTGGCCGCTGGGCTAGTTGTCTCTGGCTGGAAGGAAAAACACACAATGAATGAATCACACCCAAACACACACAGGCAGGCTTGAGCCGAGGGCAGCGGAGCTCACGCACACCCTGTGACGGTCTCCTGATGTTTTCCGATTCCTGAGATCGCAGTGATAACAAGAGGCCACATCTACCTCGCTGAGGCAGACCAGCCTCTGTGGGGGGAAGGTTTCCTTCCCAACTTGGCTCCCATCAACCCTGCAAGCCAAAGGTCTAATGGGTGGGCTGGTCATAGCTGGACAAGCAGCACAGAAAGCTTGGTAAACGGTGCTCTCAATGGCAAACTGTGCAGTTTTAGCTGGTTAGACTGCAGCAGTTACCCCAACCCACACTCCCAAGCCTTTGCTCTTGCCTACCAGCACCTAATATGCTCTGGAATTAGAGTGGGTCCCTCCAGGGAGAGATTGTTACTCTTTTTTTTGCCTCCTCCCATTTCCCAACATCAGTTTCCTCATCTCCGTTCCCAAAAACATTGACTCCTGCTGCTCCCCCTGTAGCAGTTCACCCCTAGGGGGCAATCTTCTCCAGTGAGTGTGGTGGGGGGGGGGTTGGGAACTGACTTACCATGGTTAGTGTGGCTGGGGGGCCTGAGGTGCTGGGAGGATGGCTGGGGAAATTGATGAATTTTGGGACCACAGCCACGCTGACCCTTCGTCGAGGCACCGTCTGTCAAGGAGATAACACGTTGTGAACATCCACAGAGCACGCAATAAACACACAACAACAAATTACCCTTGTATAGAGCTCTTCACATCGGAAAGACGTCTCAGGGTGTCTCCTGGACAATCAGGAGTTTTGGACCTGAGCTGGGAGTTGGGTTCAGAAGGGGAGGAGGGCGGGGGGGGGGGGGGTGGGCGGGGGGTGGGTTGGGGTGGGAGCGTGGCCGAAGGAACAGTCGAAGAGGAAGGTCTTCAGATGGGACTTGAAGGAGGCAAGAGAGGGGGGTGAGGTGGAGGGATTGCGGCATAGAGTTCCAGAGTGTGGGGGTAGAGATGCTGAATGCCCGACCGCCAATAGTGGGAACTGAGGTGTGGGCGACCTGAAGCAGGCTGGTGTCCGCTGAGCAGAGGGAGCGGACAGGCTGATATGGGGTTATGAGATTGGAGGGGTAAGGGGGAGAAAGACCATGGAGGGCCTTGAAGGTAAGAACAAGGGTTTTATATTCGATTCTCTGAGGAATGGGGAGTCAGTGAAGCCGGGCAAGAACGGAAGTGATGGGTTCTTGGAGCCTGATGTGGGAGAGGACACGAGCTGCAGAGTTCCGAATAATCTGCAGCTTGTGGAGGGAAGAATAAATAACACAGCACACAATGAACACACAGAGGACAATAAACACACAGCGCATGCAATAAATACAGTAAATCCACAGAGCACGTAATGAACACACAGAGCGTATCATAAACCCACAATACTTCAGGCTGAAGCTGAAACAGTTTCTTTAACTGAACGCTGATAAAGCCTGCTCTTACCTTTCCCAGAGTCAGGGACATGGAACGTGCTGTCCTCGGGATGCCGTCATCTGAGAACAAATCAATGGGCCTCAATCACACCTTTCTCAGGTAATGAAACTAGTGTTAACAGCAACTGTGCCTCTATAACCTCTTGATCTCCCTCCATCCCCTTCGTCTTGCTATTCCCCCCCCCATCATCACCTCTATCTAATAATAATATAATAATTCTTGCATTTAATAATCCTTCCTTTCACATTGGTAAGAAGACTCAAAGCACTTCACAGGATTTTGCTGTACAGTGTGTAACGAGTGTGCATTTCGCACACAAAATATCTGTCTTTAAATCCCATACATGCCTTTAATCATCTTCTCCCCCCCCACCTCCCTCAACCCAATGTCCATCACCGTCTCTGTGAAGTTCTCTGAGACGCTATCCAAGGTGAAGGACGCCGTATAAAATGCAAGTTGTTGCTATTGTTGTTGTTGTTGATCAGCGCTTGGGGGTATTTTGCACGGTGTTAATCTGGTTAATCTGCCACCTCCTGGTGTCAAAGAAACATTACATCCCATGGCTGAACGGTGATGGTCTTTCACCCCCTCTTCAGGAAACGCGCGCGCGTGTGTGTGTGTGTGAACTACAACAACAACAACTTGCACTTATATAGTGCCCTTCACGCGGGGTGGTGTCCCGGAGCGCTTGAACCCCCGTAGTACATTGGGGGACTACGTAAAATTGTCATTCCACAGCTGGACACAGTGCTGTTACACGTTCAATTTGAAATCAGCTGTTAAATTTTAAATCACCTCTCTCTCTCTCTCCCTCTCTCTCCTCCCCACTTCCCCCAACACAGCCCCTCGACCATCTCCCAACTGCCTTCGCGATCGGTAAAGTGAGCCGGGTCAGCACAGACCTACCGCCGTTCTCTCCGTACGAGCCGTAGGTGCGGTTCGAGTTCTGATTGGCCAGCTTTTTGTATTCGGTTAACTCGGCGTGATCCTTCTCGTACGTCCTCTTGAGGTTCTCCACGTACTGCATCATCACCTCCGTGGCCTTGGACATGCGTTTCTCCTGCAAACGATAATCCACCAGTAACAATTTTTACACCTGGTACAGTGGCTCTCGTGTCGGGAGTGGGGGGTGGGGGGGTTGGGGGAGGACACCTCGAAGCGTTCTGCAGGATTTTTACCAAAAAAGTGGAATGACTGTGTGTTTTGAGGGCGAACACGGCAGCCAATTTGGGCCCAGCAACGTCCCACAAACAGCCGCGAACCGAAAATGACCTATTTTATTTGGGGGACTGTTGGCCAGGGGCACTGGGGGAGAGAAACTTGCTTCTGATTTTGAATAGCGCCGTTGGATCGTTAACGCTCACCTGACCGGGCAGACAGGACCTCGGTTTAACACCTCACCCGAAGGACGGAACCTCTGACAATGCAGCACTCCACCGGTACCCAATACCTAAACCCAAAGCAAGGCTTGAACCCACGACTTTCAGTCCCAGGGGTAAGAGTGTTTCCGACTGAGCCTGGCTGATTGGCGGATTGCCAACCGAGCGTCACAAGCCGGGCAGCGCTGAGCTCGATCCTCACTCAGTAAAATCTCAGTGCGGAATGATTCTCACCTGTCGGACCGCCCCGACCATTTCAGCTCGGCTAGAGAGCCTTTCTGCCAAGCGGTGGAGCACAGAGATCGTCTCCAGCAGCCGCTGGTAAGCGTCCCGGTGATCAGGGCGTTGCCAGAGAGTGGTGGAAGACTGAAAATATATAGAAAAAAAAGAAAAAAAGGAATTTAGCAATAAGAATTATAATCCTTGCATTTTCTTTTGTCAGACAAATGTCTGACACGTGTGGGAACCCATCGCCATGCTTAAGAGTATCCAAACCAAACAGAGAATTCCATACATCCCACCAACATGTGGAAATTCTAGAGATAGATTTTTGGAATCTATATAATCCTTGTTTGATATAAGGACACCAACATCTGAGAATAAAACAAGGGGCGTCAATCACCTTTCTCAGGTAAAAGGAACTGGTGTTCGCATCAACTGTACCTTTATAAACCTCTTGATCTCACTCCCCTTATTCCATTCCATTCATCTCGCCCCCCTCCCAACCCCTGCCCCCCCACCCCATCTAACACAACGACAACTTGCATTTATATTGCACCCCTCATGCAGGGTAGCGCTTTGAAGCACTTAACAGTGTCGGAGCCTAAGACCAAGCCGGGGGGAGGGGGGAGGCAGGAGGTGATCGTAAGCATGATTGAAGAAGAAGGTCTTCAGTCATGATCTAAAAGAAAGGAAGGAGGGGGCAAGGCGGAGGGATTGGGGGAGAGAGATCCAAAGTTTCGGGGTGCAGTGGATTAAAGCACGGCGACCGCTGGTGGAGCGGATGGGATGAGCGGAGGGGCGGGTAGTGGAGTGGGGAGAAACCAGGTCGTAAAGGTAGGGACGTGCTGGGTAATTAAGCAATAATAATAATAATATAATCCTCGCATTTAATGTTGCATTTAATAATCCTTAACGTTGGGAAAATGTCTCAAAGCGTGTGTCCCACAGGCTCCGTGAGCTCCTCTGTAGCTCTCACCTTCAGCTCAGCAGAGAAGTTCTCCAGTTCCTTCTCGGTATTGTCCTCAGTCAGGTTCCTCTCCCTCTCCGCCAGGTGAAGCCGAGCCTCCAGTGTGTAGCTGTCGTTCTTGAACGCCAGCGACAACTGAATGAACGTGTTCTGTGGAGAAACACAAACAAAACGACACCGGGAGTGTGTCAACAGAACCGGCCGTGAGTGGGTAACAACAACAACAACTTGCACTTATATAGCGCCCTTCATAGGGGGTAGCGTCCCTGTAGGGCAAGAGTCACTGTTAAAATCAGGCCCCAATTAATTCCCTCTCCATCATGACTATCTGCTGACTCCTCCAGGACCCCTCCCTCTATTTTCCCACAAGTATCTGAGCTCAAAGCTATCAGTCGCACGAGCTGATGTTGGGGGATTCCCTTAAGGCGCTGAAACTGGACCTTTACTCCGCAAAGGAGGGACCACACGAGAGCTGAATTCGATGACGGAAGGTCATTGACCCGAAATGTTAACTCGCTTTCCTCTCTCCATAGATGCTGCCTGACCTGCTGAGTGTTCCCAGCGACTTCTGTTTGTGTTATAGCTGAATTAAGTACGCTTCTCAGCTCAGAACTGGAGCTCGTTCAAGTGTTGTTGTGGGATCGTAAAGCGCTCTGGTGTCAGATGCCCTGCCAGGCCTGACTGAGGCTGGGAATGTGTGCTCTGACCAGCAGCCAAACATGCACACATCACCACTGTCCCTCATGAGACATCAAGGCTTTTGATGCAGCCTCGAGGTATTTAGTCTTGTGTCGTCGCCTACATTTCTGATGTGGATTGTTTTTTTTCTTACACCCCCAGTGCAGTGCAGAGAGCAAACCTAATAATAATAATAATAATAATCCTTGCATTTGATGTAGCACCTCATCGCGTGCCACTGAGATGTCTGAAAGCACTTCACAGGATATACTGTAAAGTGGAGTGACTGTATATTTTGTGAGCAAAACGCAGCAGCAAACTGCGCAGAGCAGCGTCCCACCAACAGTCGTGGATTGAGTGACCACATTTTTTTTGAATGTATAATTATCCCCAGAAAACGTACGTATCCGCCGCTCAACTAACAACCGGGTTCCTACCTACTGCTGGATAAACAGAGGCGTGCGGAGTAAGGAAATTTGCCCGGGAAGCAAAGCCAGGTCCTCTTGCTTCTGCGGCTAATCACTACACTACAGGACTCCAAGAGAATAGAGTAAAGGGAGCAAATTCACAATGCGCAACAGAGAGCAAATGGACAAGACAGCACAGAGAGCAGATTTGCAGTACAGAGAAAGTACGATGATTGAATTGGAACCAAACGACACTCACCTCGACCTCTTTCTCTGTGAGAGGAGGTACGCTGCAAAACACAAGCAGAGACAAACCGTGACAACCTGTTCCTGTAACACCGACATACGGCGCAGAATCAGGCGCTTTGTACATTCTAACAACGATTCTCTCCCTTTCCAACTTTCGCAACTTACATTCCCACAAGAGGGAATTGTTTTATACTAAAAAAAGACCAATTTCACACAACCATTTTCCCTCACCCCTTCCACACTTGTCGTTTTTATTTTATTTTATTCTATTTGGTTTACTCCCTCCACACTTTCAAAGCTCGCCTTAAGGCTCACCTCTTCGACCGTGCTTATTGGACAATGTTCTCCCCCCCCACCCCCCGCCCCCACCTCCAGCTCAGTCCAGCTGTGTGAGGCGCTTTGAGACGTCCCCTCGACATGATGGGTGCTGTGTAAATCTGAATGTACTGCATTGTAATTGGACTGTGTCCTGATAGGAGTTACAAATAAATGGTGTGTTGGTCACACTTCCATGTCCCATCTCCAACAGTCTACTCTTCCAACGTTCACCATAATGAGCTGGAACATGAAGAAAGCCCAGTCAGCCTTTCCGACAGGCTGGGTGACTGGGTTCTACTGAAAGTGGAGAGGAGGATAGAGGAGAGGAGGACAGAGGAGGATAGAGGAGGAGGATAGAGGAGAACAGAGAACAGCAGAGAAGAGCAGAGGAGAGGAGTGGAGAGGGGACGTCAGGAGAACATCAGAACTTAATAATTACACACATAAATACCAAGGCTCGAAACTGTGGCCTTTTCCACTCACAGGCCCTTCCAGCTGAAAGGTTATGGGAAATGGAGAGCCGGCAGAGTGAACAGCTGGAATTCCTTACCCTCCAGGCAGGGTTCTGTGAACCTTCAGCTTCCGCAGCAGGGAGTCAGGGATATTAGGCATGATGTCCGAGCCACCTTTGCTCTCCTTATCGGCCGCTGTACAGGGGGTAGGGGATGGACCTTCAAAACACAGACCGTTTCAGCGTTTTTTTTTAATACCAGAAAATGTTACGAAACCAGCAAAAAATAAAGCCAACGACTTGCATTCATATAGTACACAAACAAAAACAGAGATCGCTGGGAACAGGCACCATTACGGAGAAAGGAAAGTGGGTTAATGTTTCAGGTCCACGACCCTTCGTCAGAACTGGGGGATGTTGGGAGGGAGAGGTTTTAAGGACTAACAGAGAGGGGAGGCGGGGCAAGAAAGACAAAAAAGAAAATGGGGTGGAGAACAGGGGATGATGGCTTATAGAGGTGTTAATGATGCATTTATATAGTGCCTTTCACATGGGATAGAGTCTAAGAACAATAATAATAATCCTTGGATTGGATACAGCACCTTTCACATCGGGAGCACGTCTCAAAGCGCTTCGCAGGATTCACTCTAAAGTGGATTAGTTGTATAACTTTTTAGGCAAATGGAAAGGCTCAAAGTGCTGGACAGTCACCCGAGCGTGGGCTTGGGATCAGGAGGAGTTGAGGGCAGGGTGGGTTGGGAGTAAGAGGATGACCGAAAGCGCGGTGGAAGAGGAGAGTCTTGAAATGGGATTGAAGGAGGCAAGGGAGCAAGCAAGGCAGAGGGGCTCTGGGATGGAGTTCCAAAGGGTGCTGGCAGAGAGGCTGAAGGCCAGACCGCCGATGGTGGGGTGGGCAGGGCAGGAGACGGAGACGGAGCAGGGCTGAGCGATATGAAAACTGTAATCAGGCTTCACATCCTCTCACCTTTCTCTTGTTCAGCCGACTCGCTGAGATCCGGCAATCTTAATCCAGACAGGTTCTGGTTCCGCATCTGTTTGTTCTCCTGGTTGAAGTGAAGCACAGCCTTTTACGGATCTTAATCACACAGTGGATAAAGCACAAAGAGCAAGCAGTGACTGAACCAAACCAGTCAGTCAATTGTAACAGCGATTGGATTACTCTGGCCAAAACTCCAGCTGTAAAGCCCTCTCCCTCCGCCTTCATTTGAAAGAAGAAAAGAATCACTAAAGTTACTGTAAATGCATGTGTATACATTGGACTAATGTCAAAGCAGCATGGAACATAAGCTGCAACTCAATCAACAAATGCATGCCGTTTACTCACTGGTTATTGGGAACCATATTTTAGGGCTATAATTTCTTTGCAAGCTGTTTTAGGTGCGACTTTATGGTTAGCTGGATATCCGACACATGGCAAAAACCATCACCCTGCTTTGGAGTCTCCAAGTCTCAAAGCCAATCCACCAGGTGATCGTCATCTGTGTGGTTTCTTTGTTGGTCTGATGTGGAGCACCAACTCAGAGGGATGCATCCTCCTTCCTTAGCGTCCTTCAAGTCCCGCCTCAAGACCCTGCTCTTCGACCATGCCATCGGCCACCCCCCTTCCCCTCCCCTCCCTTCCCCCCCCCAACCCCAGCTCAGGTCTGAAATGCTGTACTCTGTCCAGCGCCTTGGGATGTCCTCCCGACGTGAAAGGCGCTATACAAATGTAATTTTGTTGTTGTTGTTATCTAATCTCTGAGAATATTGGGCGCAAGTTGGCAAGAGCCCAAGGCTTTGTGAACCCCAGAGTGTGAGTTGCAAAGTGGCGGTGGGGGAGGGAGTGGGGGGATGGGGGGGAACGCAGCTGGAGCTTAACCCATGAAAGCCGGTCAGCTTACCATTGGGAACAGTGGCAAGCATTTCAGTTGCCTTGGCTGGCTAAAACCAATTAACTCGCCAAAGCCTGAATAACACTGAGAGCAGTGGGTTTACTTAATGGAATGTCCCATTCATATAGCGCCCTTTGCGGGGAGGGGTAACGTCTCGGAGTGCTTAACGATTGTGTAGTTTGTCGCTGAGCTGGAAAGAGAGAGGAGGAGGAGGTGACCTCGGAAATAGTTGTAGAAGAAGGTCTTCAATTACGGTGTAAAGACAGACAAAGAGTGGGGGGGGGGGGGTGAGGCGGAAGGATTGAGGCAGAGAATTCTATAAACAGTGACCAAAGTCGATCCTTAAGTTCTAAGCCATGCTGCATTTTGTTGTGTTCCCCTTCCCCGGATGCAGAGCGATTTTCGTATCGATCCGGTCCATCGTTCCTAACGGATTCTATGGTTAACGCAGTGAAATAATCCGATTGCAGGTTTCCATGCAAAACCGAACACAAGCATGCTCCAACACAACTACAGTGCCCTACAGATTCTTGGCGTGATTTCCACCAGACGCTCACTGGTCGGAGAAAAATAAAAAGCAACCAAGCGTGAACATTCGAAGCCGCGGTGTTAAAAGCGTGCCCCTCGAAACTCTACTCCTCTGTGCGACTCTGGGAAACAGAGCGGGGACATCTTGCTTATTACTGTGCCCCGTGTCCATCCCCCCCAACACGCACACCCTCCACCCCGTCCTCTTCGTTCTCTGCAAGGCTGACACCGAATGGTGCAATCCAGGTATATGTGACCGTGGTCAGGCTTGCTCACGTGCCAACAGCCTTGCCTGCCCACTCGTGTGGATCAACAAAAAAAAACTCATGCTTGTTTCTGCCCAGTGACTGCTCTTTGCTTTGTGGTTCCGTGCGTGTGCCAAGCCTTAAACGTGCGTGAAGGCCGCCCGGCCCCCGATGTTCGGTGACGACCGGCTCACGGCCACGACGTGGCATCTCCTTCCTGCTCAGCCTCTCACGAGACGCCTCACGTACCTCTCGCAGCTTGGCCAGTTTGTGCAGCTTCCCGTGGGGCTGCGAGGGGGTTTCCCTGCAGGCGGGGGGCACGGGGCGGCCTCCCGCAGACCCCTCGCCGAACGCAAACGCATCCTTGGTCTTCTCGGATGGCGAGTGGGGGTCGGCGTCGAGCTCCATGCACTCCCAAGACACAGCCCGCAGGAGAGGAGGCTGCGAGCTGAACGACTTGATCTCGGCATTGCAGGGGGTCTTGGAGCGAGAGGAGGCCTGAGGGGCTTGGGGCAGTTTGCACTCCACCACCACTGCCTTCTGCTTGGCAGGACTGCTCGAAGGTAAGTCCGCTGCCAAGTTGGCATCCTTGCCAAGGTTTGTTCTGAGTCGGTCGCTGGTCTTTTTCAATGGTTTGGGATCGCTGTGGGCAGGGGGTACGAGCCAGGGAATCTCCCTGTGATCGAGGGGAACTAGCTTTGTTGGAGGGGAAAGCTTCGCAGCTGGAGGCACCTCCCTGGCTTCGTGCACGTCTCTGGCCGGGGAGAGTTTCCTGATGTGCTTCTGGTAAATGGTTCAAAAGAAAAAAGTCGTTCAAGGAGCATACGGCTCATCAAAACTCACAGAGGAAGGACAACAAGAGCAAGAAGAAAAAAACAACCCACTAACTTAGCTGAAAATTTAGCCTTTCATCTTCCTTTCTGCCAAGGAACCTCCAAACGCTGTCAGTGAGTAGCATCTCACCTCAAGGTACTGCTCCACCAACACTTGCTCATCATCACTCCGACTAGCAATGTTCTGGCCGACAAAACCTCCTGAAGACGGCGTCACTTCGGAGTGAGTGCCGTAAATTCCGCAAGAGCTAATCCGGGAAATCGATTTACCCTGAACTCGGGAGGACAGCACGACCGTTGGAAATTGATCCAACTTCACAGGACTCAAAGGAATTTACGATGGCGACAAAACTAACAACTTGGATCTAGGCAGTGTTCTTCAAGCAGAAATACTGTCTCAGAGTGCTGAATAGTGATGGAGTTGAGAGCCTAGCGAGAGAGAAGGGTGAGGTGACCACATTCGTGATCAGAGAAGTAGGAGGGGGAGGGAATGTCATCTCCTGGCACCACCAGGGAACCAGATTACTAAGGAACCTGGTGCATGTGTGTCCGTGAGTGGGTGAAGCTCACTGCTCAATCAGTGGAAGTGGAAGGCGGAGATGATTCAACAACAGGAGGAGACACAGTCAAAGTAGCAACAGGAGTCAATGGGAGCAATTAGCACAAAGCTCTCCAAGTCACCGACTTCACACAGCATCAAAAACGTTCAGGAAATCATCAGTCAAAGCGGATTTCACAAGATCGCAAGATTGGTTTGGGCGAGCGAGACCTCTTTGGCTTGTCTGATCTCATCTCTCCAGCACATCTGACCTACCATCCCCCCATCACAGCCATTTAACTGCTTTTTTAAAAAAAAATGAGTCCCAGTGTCCTGGACGCAACTTGGCAACCTGTTCCAATCGTTAGTTACTCGAGACTCGCTCTGTTTATGTAGGGTTTCAAAGGGTCCAGAATTGTAGCAAATTGTTGAAATCGGTCTTTAACTTTGAGGTTGATTTTTTTTTCTTTGTGGACTCTCGAAAGAAAATTTACACAAAACCGGCTTAAGAATTCTGGACACTCTGAGAGGCCACATAAATGGGAAGTACCTCTAGAGCCAGGGGGGAATTTCTCCCTGGTAGTGGGACCTGCTGGGATCACATTCCAACGCTGAACCCGATTCTCGCTTGCTCGCCTCGTCTGTCTTTGTGTTGGAGTTTCACTCTTCTTCTCTCTTTGAAACGCAGCTATTTCAACTCCACAGGCTTCCCACCATCAAAGAGCCACAGTGTACCTGCCAAAGCTCCTATCAGATCCACACTCGTCATCTAAAAATATTCTCTCTACTCTCTACAGAATGAACTGAACTGAGCTGAAGCAATTCTGTGGATTTGCTGTTATTCAGCAAGTGGGCACGCACTGTTTCACCCACCGCCCCAAAACTAATGACCCTCTGGCCCTTCGCACGCACGGCGGGATTCCGCATGGGGCCAGGTGTGAGCACGAGGAGGCTTTACCTTCATGTCTTGGTCTCTGTTGGGCGACAGCAGTGGTTTCTCTCCCACCTGCCCCGAAGGCAACGACACCCCTGTCCCGTTCACTGCCGATGCCTCAGAACCTAAATATAATAATAATAATCCTTGCATTTGATATAATGCCTTATCATGTCTTCATGACGTCTCAAAGCACTTCACAGAATATGCTGTAAGTAAATTGACTGTATATTTTGTGGGCGAAACGCGGCAGCCAATTGCGCACAGCAGCGTCCCACAAACAGTCGTGGATTGAGTGACCAAATTATTATTATTAAGGGATTATTACCCCCGGAAAAGCAATCCGTCAACTGACTTACAACTAGGTTCCTACTTACTGCTAGATATACAGTCAGGAAATTTACCCAACGTTTTGCCCTGTCGGGAATTGAACGCACATCTTGCGAGAGGAGTGCTCGAAACACTAAGCTACAGGACTCCTCTTATTTACCAATAACCTGCGTTACTAAAGGCAGAACCGTTGAAAGCAGTGCGCCAGGACGACAACTCAACACAATTGCCATTTAGATAGCGCCTCTCAAGTTGGGAGGATGTCTCAGAGTGCTTGGGTGAATCACTTCATTTATGTCCTTTAAATCCACGGCCTTGTAGCACATTCTGAGGCCACGACCCTGGAAGCTTTTACCAGTATCTAAACGAGTAGTTAAGCCGCTTGTGCAGCGAATATCCATCAGAATCCCGACAGCGTGATGAGTTCCTTGGTTAGATAATGGGGTCTGCGCCCTGATATCGAGGGAGAACGTCACCTTCTATCTCTGAAACTTGTCGGATCGACACGACTGAACTAGTTTCCCCCGCGAGTTACTGAAGTCTCACTCACACCACCACCACAACAACTTGTATTTGTATAGCGCCCTTCACGCAAGCGTAGCGTCCCAGAGTTCTTGACACCCACAAGGGGGTGCAGATGTTGTTGCTCACGTACTGGTCTGGGCCTGTGCTGCCACAGAATTGCTCTGCGAAGTGTCCAAGGATGTTCTCGGGCTCAGCGACGGGGTGAGTGCTGTAACAAGCCAAAGGAAACGGGGACGTGGGGCTCAATTTGCAGGAATCTTATATGCATGCCCTTCATTATTCAAGAAACAGCATACTTTCATAATAATAATAATCCTTGCATTTAATGTAGAGCCTTATCATAGGGTCATCAATTGCGCACTTTTATTAAAATAGCTTTGAGATTGCCTCCTGCTTTGGAGATTGCGCTGTTTCCTTAAACAGACGCGTCAATGAACACATTTTTCCCTGGCGGACTCTGGATTTGCACGTCACGGCACCGGCTTCACGAGCCGACGAAACACAGTGGAGTCTGCGCGGAGGCAAACGGTGACAATGCGTCACTTCCCCCCCCCCCCACTCCAATACACTACGTGAGCTCAAGATACCTTGAGCCCTGACTCTGCGGGGGTTTGAACCCATGCAGCCCTCCTGGCTCAGAGATGAGAGGGTTTTGCCGACACCGAGCCAGGCTGACGATCAATCCTCCCTCCGCCCTACCTGTCGGTGACTCGGAATTCCCGGTTCTGGACCGGCGGCTCCTGCGGGTCAGGAACCTCTCGCTGACCTTCTTGGCCTCCTCCAGCAGCTCAGTGTTTTTCTTTTTGTCCTCGTCCGACAGATCCACATCTGGGAGCTCGTCGTTTAACAGATCATACACGTGGCCATCGCCGTCTGCTGCCAAGGAAAAACCCACATCAACAACAACAAGTTACATTTGCACGGCGCCTTTCAAGTCGGGAGGACGTCCCGAGGCGCTGGACAGTCAAAGGTTTGCACCCGCTCTGGGGGTTGGGATCAAGAGGAGTGGAGGGCAAGGGGTGGGGGGGGAGAGTGGCCGAAGGCACCATCAAAGGGGAAGGTCTTGAGATGGGCCTTGAAGGAGACAAGGGTCAGGGGTGGGGTTGGAGGGCGAGTCGGAGGGGCTCTGGGCATGGAGTTCCAATGGGTGCGACCATCAAGATGGGCCAGCAGGGAGGGGACATAGAGCAGGGCAGTGCCCGCAGAGCGGAGGGCATTTGATACGCCGCCTTAGCATGTCGACGAGATATCTCAAAGTGCTTCACGCTTGTAAAGTGGCGTGACTGTGTATTTTGTGGGCAGACTTTGCACGCAGTGATGTCCCACAGCGAATGGCCAATTTATTTAATTTAGGGGATTGTCGGGCATGAGTACCTCGAGGGAGAAACTGCCTTCTCTTAATTTGATGCCGTTCTCTTACCGACAGAAGTCAGGGAACTTGCTGAGGACAGAGATGCCCTGGAGTTCCGGCTGGACCTGCTCTGAACAGGGCTGTGTGATCTGCAGAGAACAGTGAGACAGGACAGAACTTACACTTCCAGTAAAAACACAACAATATAATTATAATAGTAATAATAATAAGCCTTGCCTTTGATACAGCGCCTTATCACGTCATTGAGACATCTCAAAGCGCTTCACAGAATATATTGTAAAGTGGTTTGGCTGCGTATTTTATGGGCAAAGAGTGGCAGCCAATTGCGCACAGCTGTGTCCCACAAACAGCCGGGGATTGAGTGTCCACATTTTTTTTCTAAGAGATTATTATAGAGTTTGCAAAATCAGACAGTTACTTGAGTACATTGAGCACTTTCACGCATCAGATACAAAGGCAGCTTGAAGCTCTCTCTGAACCCATCCTACGATTAACACCCACCACTATGCATTAATCACCCTCATTCTCTATTTGACGGAGGCTGCAAAGTAGGTTTAGATCGAATCTGTTGATGTGGCATTTTTAGCTCATCCAGAATTTGCACTTAACTGGAGCACTTAATTTTCGAGTCTTTTTTTGTGTGTCGATAAGAACTGCAGAAAACCAACTTCAAAGCTAAGGCCGAATACGACAATTTGCCAAATTCGTGTCATTCTGAAACACTACGTAAATAGTACCCGGATGGAATCTCTCCCCTGAGGTGAATGTGCCCTTTCTCTCATCGACTCATGCCCCCAGGAACAGATCTGGAAACTGCATCAAATTCATTCACTCAGGCCTCTCTCTTGCAGTTGACAGGGAAAGAGAAAGGCCGTTTGAACCTCAACTCAGATCTTCACTGCAAAAGGGTATCTGCTTCTTTTTACTGCACAATAATTCATCCCTTTGCAAAAAAAAACACAGCAATAAAAGCATCGGATGATACAAAACTATTGCATAATTGAGAAGCCGATCTGAACATTAATTCCTTATCGTGGATTTAACTGGTTCACCTCCCACTCATCGCTCTGATGAGATAATTGCTGGATTTCAAATCAAACAGGAATATTTTATTTTATGGCACTTTAAAGAGCTTTCCTCTTTGAGCGGAGAGAAGCTTTTAAGACTCTCTCTTCGCTCTGGAAGCAACCGATCAATGTCTTGTAAAACTGCATGTGCGAGATAAAGCAATAAATCTGAGAGGGACGTCCTTTCTGAAGCCGAAACGCTCCATACAAACATGGGAGACGTATGTTGACTAGTTTTGGGGCCAGACAGAAATGCACCGTCACTTGCAATCTGTTGGTGTGGTAACTGAGTGACAACTTCCTGATTATGCCAGGGAGATAAGATAGTATCTATGCCAGAGGAAGTGGTTCAAGAGTTCTTTGCATTCGATACAACCTCTAAATGTCAAAATGTCCACCGTGTCGTTTAATAAGACGCTGTCTCCAGCAGCTAAAACAAAACAGAATCTGAGAGCCTCTGCCTATAGGGAATTTGCAAATCACATGAGGATTTGTGTTGTGTATTGAACTGACAGAGATTTAGAAAGAGGGCACTAGACGTGCAACTTCAGGATACGGAATGAACGAGGAGAACAGGTTGCCGGGAAGGGTGGCTGAGGCAAGGGCAACAACAACAGCAACAATGACGCCGCATTTACATGGCACTGTTCACATCAGAAGGATGTCCCAAGGCACTGGGCAGTTAAGCACAATTAAAAAAAAATCTCGATGCTGTGATGGGAAGTCAGTTGGGCAGGTGTTGAATAATAAAAAATAATAATCCTTGCATTTGATATAGCGTCTTACCATGTCGGTGAGAGGTGATAAGGCGCTATATCAAATCAAAGACGTCACAAAGCGCTTCACAGAAAATATTATAAAGTGGATTGACTGTACACCTTGTGGATGAAACGTGGCAGCTGATTGCGCACAGCTCTGTCAATCGTTCTGTGTTCTGGAGGTTCTGAAGGGCTTTCTTTATACGGCCCAAACTTGGACATCTTCTACGCATTCCATTTTCACTTTAAGCATAGGTGGCACTTACCTTAGCAGTGTGGATGGATCAAACTCTGGGATCGTAGTGATGGCGGCCTCTGGGAGAATGATTGTGGGTGTACTGCTTGTTCTGGCTTCAACTGCTGTAATCTGCAAGTACATCATGTTTCATGTGCAAACAGAACAGAATGGAAAAGGTGCATCGTCTCACTCTTTCCCCCCCAACCAACCCCCTCCCCACCCCCAACTCACACACACACACACACCCCACGTCTCTTTCGAAGTTGAGTTTGGCAATTTGAAGTGGAACAAACTGGCACTTTAACATACTTATGAGTAACAAAACAACACTGACTTTCTTTCATCTGTTTACGTCCTCGAATTCCACTCAGCGGACTCTGGCCTGTTCCATGTCTCGCCACCCTACCCACCCCTCCCTCGGCCTTCGGTGTTTCTGTCCTCCTCTTCCACTGTGCCTTCGGTCACCCTTCTACCCATATCCTACCTGCCCTCCACCCCTCCTGATCCCGACCCCCAGCTCGGGTGCAAATCCTTGACTGTCCACCGACTTGGAAGCCTCTATACAAATGTAATAATAATAATCCTTGCATTTGATATAGCGCTTTTCACGTCGGGAGGACGTAAAATAATGTAAAATAAAATAATGTGTTGTTCTTGTTGTGGGTAGGGGAGCAAGGCTTGTGATGCCTCCAGTAGAAGCCAAAGTCCATCCATCACCATGCAACAGGAGGATATTGTCTGCCAGAGAGGATCTGTTTCTGCTACTTTGTCCTCCTCCTGCTCCACCATCGCTCCCTCCAGCCCCTTCCCTTCCCCCCCAAACCTCCCAAGCTGAGATGGACGCTTTCCTATCGCAGAGAAATCAGCCTGGAGGCTCCCGCTGGGGGTTAGAAACAGCTCACTCACTGTGATTGAACTACGCTCACGACTGAAATTCAAGCTTTAACACCGAAACTTTCTCCTCAAGCCCAGAGAGAGAGGGAGAGAGAGACAGAGAGAGAGATGAAGAGAGAACGACAGTGAGAGAGAGGAAGTGAGCGAGAGAAAGATAACGAGGGAGCGAGAAAGAAAACCTCCACCACGGCAATAACAGTAAACAAGCGGAGTTGAAACCTCGGGATGTCCGCTTGGAAGTTTCCCAAGTTTTCCAACAAATCTGGCAACACCACTCCTCCTGCAAACCTCCGCCAACCTGACCACTCCCCCCACCCCCACCCAGATGTTAGGAGAAAGCACGGGAAGCTCCATCGGTGTTTTACCCCAGTCAGGGAGCCCTGCGCACTCGTTCCTCGACCCTCTCCGCCCTCCTCCTCCTCGGGCAAGGTCGGCATCGCAGGGGGTGTGACGCAGTGCTGAGACCGGGCACGGCAGCCACCAAGCGGTCTGAAGGGGCCGATCTGCAGCAACGGCAAACTAGTCAACAAGGATCGAAGCGATGGGGTCAGGGTCGACTCTTCTTCCTCCGGGAACTGCAGGGGAAGGAGAAAGGAGGCAGGCATCTATCAGGTCAGAGCTCGTAACAATACGTACAGCACTCGAACTCCGACCACGCGGCAAAAATCGGTCGTGCGTTTCATGGCGGTTTGTGGGACACTGTTGTGCGTAACTGGCTGCTGCGTTTCACCCACGAAATACGGTCAATCCATTTTACGGTTTATCCGTGAAGCGCTTCGAGACCTGTCAACGACGTGATGAAGCGCCGCCTCAAATGCGAAATGCAAGGCAACTGAGGATGAATTCTGCGCGGCTCGAGGGAAACACGCATCTTGGGATGTTCTGTGCCTGTTCTGGTGCGAACGCCGTCAAACTAGCACCAGAGCAGAAGTGCGGAGGGATGGAAAAACGGCAATTATCTCATCAGGTCCCGGTTCAGATCCTCATAGGCCCACAGATAACACTGCGCTTAACGGCAGGTACCATAAAGCTCTTTCGAGGAATTTGGGTAATGTGGGCATTATAATAATAATCCTTACAACAGTTGCCTTTGATATTATGCCTTTCACGTCAGAAAAACGTCTCAAAGTCTTCAAGGGATTTATTGCAAGGTGCGGTGAGTGTATTTTGTGGGGAGAATGCGGCAGCCGATTTGCATGTGGCAATGACCCCTAACAGCTACAAGGCTAATCTGCTGTGTGTCCCTTAACCCCTCTGAACTACCGTCTTCAGCTGCTACACTCCTAACCTCTGGTGCAACCTCCCTCAATACCCTCCGCTTTGCCTTCTCTTAATCTAGCTTTAAACCCTAACTGAAGACCTATCTCTTCGACCACGTCTAAGGTCACCTCCTCCCTTTCTCCTTCACCTGCCGTCCAACCCTGCCCTGGCACGATGGACATCATCTGAATGCAAGCTGCTGCGTTGCTCTGAGCTGTCATCTGGGAACTGAATTCAGCAGAGCAAAATGAAACAGGTTGCTTCCCAACTCTTACAGAATTCAGCACAGCACAGTAAAAACACACACACACACGTAATAATAATAATAATCCTTGCATTAGATATAATGCTTTATCACGTCGTTGAGACGTCTCACAGCGCTTCACAGAATATACTGTAAAGTGAAGTGACTGTGGATTTTGTGGACAAAATGCGGCAGCCAATTGCGCACAGCAGCGTCCCACAAACAGTCACGAGTGGAGTGACCAATTTATTATTATTATTTATACACACACACAAACTCCAGGAAGTGATCATCCCTCAGGGACGTTTTCCATACATGGATAAAGCGTTTTAAAAGTTCCGGTTCCAAAGCTCCTGCTGCCATCTTATGGAGCCACGCTCTGGGAGCAGGAAAGCGAGGCAATTGCCGACTTACTTCGTCCGACGCTAGAGGGTCTGCGGGTTGTGCGTTGCTGGCCACGGGCTCGTGTCCCTCTGATCCCCGTTGCTCGGGCTGCGACTGAGAGCTGCTTGCGGCCGAGTGATTTCTTCGATCAAACCAACGAGCAAAATTCAAATAAAAACGAAAATGAGCAACTCGGTAAAGAGTCGTCGTGCAAGTTCCAAATGGAGACAAAAAGTGACTCATCTCAGATCGTTAAGGATCCCATTTTTGGGGGGTTTCAGCCGGGTGTCTGACACAAAACCTAAGAGTATCCAAACCAAACTGTGGTCCTCACCTGCTAATCCCCCCTCCCCCCCCCCCCCCCAACCCACCCTCCCACCCCTCCCATCCTCCACAAACAGATAAATCGGACACTCTTTTCATGGCTGTTTGTCTTGCTGTGCAAACACTGGCTGCTTACAAAAACATAGTCACTCACTAGACACGGATTGCAGTTCTTTGAGACCTTTTCAATGATTTTGTCACAAGATCAAATGGACGGATAATTTAGTTTCACCCACAAAATGTATACAGTCAATGCACTTTACAGTGTATTCTGTGAAGCGCTTTGAGATGTCTCGACGACGTGATGAGGCGCTCTATCAAACGCGAGGATTATTATTATTACTATTATAAATTCGATTGCTATTGCTCGCTTTGTGACAAAAGACTTTCAGCTATTGTTTAAAAAAAAGTCTCTATTTAACCTTTCTCTCTACTTTTCTGGGCTCCTCTCGCACCTCCCCGCCCCACCCCCCCCCCCCTTTCTCTCGCTGTTCCTCCTCCACAAGGGAGGAAAGGGAAGAAAGCCCCCCCCCCACCCCCGAACCCTGTTGAATACTCCTCTTAGCCAGCCACCAGGAGGCATGAGAGAGCTGCAGAAAGTGACTGCCTTCTCATATCCTTTTCTTTCCAGCCTATCTCTATTTTTCCTCTTCGACCGTGCCTTTGGTCATCTTTCCATCCCCCACCACCGCGCACCCCCCCCCCTCCCGCCAACCATCACCCCATTGCCCTCCACCCCTCTTAATTCCAGTCCGCAGCTTGGGGGCAAACCCTTGACCTTCCAGTTCCTTGGTCCTCCCGAAGTGGAAAACACTGTGTAAATGCAATGTGTTGTTTCTACTTTTGTAACCAAGCAGAGAGACCATTTGGTGACCAATTGCAAAATCAGTGTGTGGTACCACCTCGATTAATAATTAGCACATCACAGGTCATATTTCCCCCTACCCCGCTCACCCTCGCACCCCCCATCCCCTTCGCATTTCATTTTCCAGCAGGGTCACGTCTGACGTTCGCCTACAAAATACATAGTCACTACACTTTGCGATAAACCTTGACCACCCCCCCCATGCTTTGAGATGTCCTCTCGGCGTGAAGGGCGTTCTATCAAACGCAAGCTTTGTTGCTGTTTACGTTGCTGAAAGGTGTCGCAGTTTCCACTCACCTGTTTGGGATCTGTGTCTGATTCTCTTCAGAATGAGATTCTGCTTCAGTCACCGCGCAGCCCAGTGACAAGGGTCTCAAATCCCTTTGGCCTCCCAACGGCTGATGAGTCCCAGAAGGTTCAAGAGTAAAGGCATCTGGTAAGGGATAGCGCGAGAAACGTTAAACCTGTGGACTGCTCACTCGAGGGCAACACGATCAAGACTTAAAGCGAGAGGTTTATGCATGTCATTCCTTTGCCATTAAAGATGTCAAAGATGCTGCAGTGCTACTCAAAAAGAGAAGGGAAGTTCCTTGATGTTCTGACCAACAACTGCCCTCCCACAGCCCACCTCACTGTGCACAATCGTCTGCCGAGTTTTGCCCACAAAATACACAATCAATTCACTTAACAGTAAATCCTGTGAAGTGCTTTGAGACATCTTGAAGACGTGATAAGGCGCTATATCAAATGTAAGGATTATTATTATTATTATTATTAAGCTGCTATATTAACTACAATACTCATTATTGCCTTTGGTTACCTAGAAGTAGAGCCTGTTGTGTTGAGTGGCCATGGTCCGATGACTGGCCACCCTGGACCTCTAGCGCTGCCCCAAGGCTCTCCTGGGTCGAAGGCTGGACATCAGTCTCTGGTTTCTGGATCCGAAGAGGAAAAACAATGGATTAGGATTGTTTGGGATAGCCATTCGGCCTGGGGAGCCTCCTGCGCCTGTGGAACTTGTCAAACGAAGGCACGTATCCTAAAACAACGGCTAGAATTTCACTCCTTAACTGGATATCAACCTCCATTTGGATGGGAGTCATTTAAATAGGATGATTTAAAAAAAAAATAGGCACACCTGGATGTACGACTGGTACGGCTGTTTGGTTCAATAGCCAGAGGTATTTTGCAGAGCTAACATCTCTCTAATATCACCACCACTTCCGACAACCTCACTCTCCCTACAACACATCCCTTCTTCCCCACAAATCTGTTAGACAACTGTCAAAGCTTGCTGAATCACTTGGATGAGAATCTCAATGGAGAACAGTTGTTTAAGGCTCCCAGTCGAGGATGCTGTGCTTTGGGCTTATGCACCTATATTAAGCTTATCTCCTTCCCTGCTTTCACATGGGTGGAATTCATAGCCGTGCACTCCGCCCTAGTCTCGGTCGGTTTGATCAAACGCTTACAGTTCACCTCCTTGAGCCACTGGAGCCTGAAACAAACATTCCCCGGACATGAGTAGTTCACCAGTGATTCCAAAGTGATGTGCCAATAAGGCACTTACGAACAATAAAATGTCACTTTGACGAATGCGCAAGAGATGTGCCAGGGTATTAAGCAGGATTCAAATTACCGCACTGTTAAGCCAGGATACGTAAGACGTGATTTGCTTAAGACGTTGCTGGCACGGATTAACCGCCCTTGTGTAACGACATTCACTTCACTTCATATCCATTGTGTTTTGTAAAGCACTGCACGACATTTATCATTAGTGCGGTCAGCTGAGTCCAACAGGTCAACGAGCGAGTGAGAAGTGGAGCTCAAAAAGTGGCGCATAGCACAGTGTCCCACCAACAATCGTGGATTGAATGGCCAAATTATAATTTGTTTTTGAAGGGGTTATTACCCTCTGTAAAGTGATCCGCCAATTGACTAACAACCGGATATCTACTTACTGCTAGGTGAACAGAGGCAGGTGGAGTAAGGAAATTTGCCTAAAGTTTCTCCCTGCCGGGGTATTGAACCGCTAAGCTACAGGACTCCACGCTCAACATCACTTCCTGCCCATTGCATACATGCACCCAGAAGTCAGCCATTTTTTAACATGTGTAACCGGCTACTCAGTCTCGGGATCCAGGTGTACGCATGGATCCACAGTAGACCTGTTCGTTAAGGGAGGCAACGCTAGAGAGAAGGGAACGGTAGCGGGTTTCCTCTGTGTTATTATTACGACTGAGTGCAGTCACTTGTTGATTTCTAAGCAATTAACAATCGTCCAAAGCGTTTTATGGGAGGTGTGGTCGAGGGAAACGCAATGACCAATTTTATCCAGGGGATTGTTGGCTAGGATACCGGGAGAAATTTCCTTCTCTTTTTGAGTAGTGCCAAGAGGGACTTTAACTGGGTTAGATTAGGAGATAATACAATGTGGTTTTGATGTCAACGCAGTAAGGATGCAGGGAGCAGAAAGTGTGCGCGGGTGGGCGGACAAAGAAAAATGTAGAATCGAGAGACGGGAGGGAACACGTTGACACACTCCACTGTTGCCATGATCCTGGGCTGAGTGCTGCCATAAATAAGGGAATGTAAACACTTTCTGAAGAGTTAGAAGTCAGCCAAGGACAATTAAAGCGGATTTCAGACTCAAACAAAAATCTCCCTATCTTCCCAGGGCAGAACGCCATTCATTCTCAAATACTGCACTGCCTGTTGAGTCATTCCATTTTGCAACGAGCATTTCCGTCATATATTTAGCGTGGCAAAGAAGTGGGTGGAATTCCACTTGGCTAGAGGTTTGTATTCGGGAGTTTATATATATGGACTCCTCAAGACTTCTGGTACATGTTATATGTTGTTTTAAATATCCTCACCCAGCCCCTGCTGGATTCTGATCAATATCAAGATCTTCAGCCACACCCATTTGTGTCATTTTTTAGGACCCACTCTCTATTGGTCTCTAAATCATAGCGCATGAGCAAACAGTTTCCTCTCCTGTCCTCCCTCCCTGTGAAGTGAGTCATCCCCCTACGCGTAGGGCACTATATCAATACAAGTTTTGTTTTCAAACTTTTTACATTCATAGACACTGAGCATCTCTCAAGTCATCGCAACGATCTTAGATTAATGTTGCAAATGTACAATCTCATCCGCACCTCATAAAACTCCCCCTTGGTTTCCTGCCCTACAATTCCTGGAATTTTCTTTATTTTGGTTGCACATTTCAGTTGCCGCTCGCTCCAAAGCCTACTCTTCAATCATCAGCCAATGCAAAGCGCTCTCTTGTCAGATCCAATGAATCGTGTAAGGTGGTGTGCGGTTACTATAACTGTGGAAAATATCTGTAGAAAATGGTTTTCTGTAAGCCATTTGCCGCCCGCCTCGATTACGCAACATGTGAGAATGTGTCATCTGATTACGAATGGCTCTGTTAGGGATTGGAATACCGTATTGAGGGAATTTCTCGGTAGGAAATGCTTAAATGGTGCCTTTATTTGTGTGTAGTTAGACCAAAGAAAAGGATATTATAATAAACCTAGCTATAGACATGTCATAAATTTGACAGCTTGTTAGCTCTGGTGGACTGGGCCAGCATTGCTACAGAACAATAGCACAAATAACTTTCAAAGCCTTTTAACCTTGTGATTTATCGGAAGGAATTATTAGACTACATTAGCAGAAAGCTTTTCTGATCAAAATCGTAGAGCTCTGAAACCCTATCCTGCATAAAGGGCACTATATAAATGCAAGTAGCAATAAGTAAGAACCCAGTTGTTAGTCAATTGGTGGATCGCTTTCTGTGGGTAAGAATCCCTCAAAAAAAATTGAGTCACTCAATCCACGACTGTTTGTGGGACACTACTGTCCGCAATTGGCTGCTGCCTTTCGCCCACAAAATATACTGTCACTACACTTTACAGTATATTCTGCGAAGCACTTTGAGGCGCCTCAAAGATGTGATAATAATAATCCTTGCATTTGATACAGCGCCTTATTACGTCTTCTAGACGTCTCAAAGCGCTTCACAGAATATACTATAAAGTGAATTGGCTATATATTTTGTAGGCAAAATGCTGCAGCGAATTGCGCACAGCAATGCCTCAAAAATAGTCGTGGATTGAGTGACCAGTTTATTATTATTTTTTAAAAATGTTTACATTTTGTATAGTAAAGTAGTTTTGACACAGACAACACCTAACATGCCCAGAATTAAACAGATTACATAATAAAGCCAGTGTCTCAGTTTACATAGAGCCAACGCGCTGAGTAGTTAAACTACTGAACTAACAATCACTTACTGGGGTTCACAAGATCAGTCTGGATGAAGAAGGCTCTTCAGCTCATTTGATCTCATCGTTCCAAAATAACAACTCTACCATCATTCCAACACAGCATTGAGCTGCTTTTTTTTAAAAATGAGTCTCAGCGTCCTGGCCTCTTTCTGGCCAACTGTTCCAGTTGTTAATTACCTTCCAGGTAAAGAAAAGCTTCCTTTTCTGGTGTCTATCCTGAAATTGGTCCTTTCCAACTCGAAACCGGTGTCCTCTTGTTATCTTGTCTTGGTGGTTCCTAAACTAGTGTTCTGTTTTTTTTTCCAATTCCATTTAAAATCGCATTACACACCTCGGTAATGTTCCCCTGGAGACGTCTTCTCTCAGAACTGAAGAGCCCTGGACTGTCTAATCGCACTATACATGAAGAGAAACACGTACGAAGAGGGGATCAGAGGGCAGCCGGCCGGCACTATTGGACATTATCCCAGAACAGGCTTGCTGCCTGATAATCACTGCAGTGCTCGCTCTCTCCACTCATCCCTGTTTAGCACTCACAATAGGCAGTGGGTGATGATGGAAGGAGAGGTTTGGTGATGCAACAAATACATTTATAGCACAGGCTCGGAACACCGTGGGCAAATGTAAAGACACTGACAGGTTTCTCACAACCAACGCCTTTTTCCTGCCAACGTACCGGGGATCTGACAATGTGTGTGCGAATCAATGGGATTTCTCATTGTAAACGCAAACAGAAAGGTCTTTCGTTCTAACCAGAATTGAGCCAAGCCATTTCTTACATAAGTCCAATGTCTTCAAACACGACCACCCTTCTTCGTTAACCTGCCCTGGCCAACAATTCTTCAGATAAATTGTGTCATTCATCTCACAGCTGTTTGTGGAGATTTCTTGTGTGCAAATTAGCTGCTAGGAGCGGGATGGTGGAGGGTAGAAGGGTGGCCGAAGGCACGGTCGATGAGGATGGTCTTGAGACGTGCCTTGGAGGAGGCAAGGAATTTGCAGCAACACCAAAAGCCTTTGCAAAGCTCACTGCTGCTGTATATGGGAGCACTCAATCATAGTGGACTAACACTCAAGAAGAGTATCAGACATGACATTCAGATAACATCAGA